CCCAGCTGGAACCGCTGTCGCCAGTGCCGCTGGCGCCGCTGCCACCAAAATTGGTCCGCAAGAAGCTGGGCGAGGTCGTCAAGCCCGTCATCCGCGAGCTGCTGCTCCACCGTCGCGCCCGCTCCCTCCCGCTGACCCCTACTTTGAAAGTGCACTTTGGCATCGACACCGACGTCAAGTACTTCCACGAGTGCGACCGGCCCCTGGCCATCTCCAACCCTAACTCGCCCGACGCCCCCCACCTGGACTCGGAGTGGCTGGAGTCCGACGCTGAGCTCAACAACTGGTCGCTAGACCACTACACCGCCGACACCGCCTACCCGCGCCCGCTGCAATGGCTGATCCTGCTCCTCAACTTCCCCCATCTCTCCTACACAAAGTGCATCGCCCACAAGCAGACGGTGTTCTTGGAGCGGGTGTTTTTGCTGCACGAAACGATGCTGCTTGTCGGCCACGTCGCCGTGCGCAATCTAGCGTTTGAAAAGTTTGTCACCGTGCGCTACTCGCTCGACAACTGGCTTACCATCATCGAATTGCCGGCGTCTTATCTGGAAGACCGCCCCGACATCTTAAAGCGCAACAACTACGACCGGTTCGTGTTCGACATCCCGTTGGAAAAATTGTTTAGCTCCTTCTACATTAACCGCTCGGCACTGGTGGGCGCCAACGAGCGCACCTACGAGTTCTGCGTCAAGTACATTGCTGAGGGCATCGAATATTGGGACAACAACGGGCACGCTAACTACAAAATCACCCTCCACCGCAAGGTGACCGCCCCACCACGGCCGCCGACGCCCTCGGCCGCCCAACAAGTACTCAATGGCCACAACGCCACGCCCAAACCGCGATACTCCAAGAGCTTCTTGAAGCGGCGTACCCCGGATTCGAACACCCCTCAGCCCTCAAAACAGCTGGACTGTGACACTAAGCTGTTGGACTTTGAATCGAACCAGTACTTTTTGAGCCTGCCCATGCTCTCCCTTTACAAGCATGACGCCCCGGCTCGCAGCGACACCGCGCTGCCGATGCCCGACATTGAATTGTCGAAGCAATTGGCCGTCAACCAGTCGTTGGATCTGGGCGAGTCCCAACCCAACCCCCTCCCCGAACCAGATCGGGTGGCTCCAAGCCAATTGGACTCACAACTGTACAAAGAATTATTGGAAAACTACTGCTTTTTCCGGGGCAACGAAGAGCAAGACGACGAAACCAAGCCCGAAGGCCACAAGCCATTTACTGTACATGCCTTTTTGCATTCATGATACCAACAACCACGGCGTTTTACTCCATCATCTTCATTTTATTGTGTTAAGGGTTTTATCTTTTACTTTTTTTTAGGAAACAGGGTCGTTTTAGGAACATAGAGAGTATAATGATTAATGAGAGAATATATATCGTGCCACCTTTTGTACAGCAACTGGACTCCCCCGCTTCTGCACCTGGTTTGGAACCTGCGTCGTTTAAAAAGTTAATCTCGATTCAGATGACTGCCTGAAATCACAAGACATTATGAGGGGGGTCATCGATGACGACAACGCTCGTTGCGTTTGCTTGTGTGCGTTAGCAACTACAAAATCGCTTTTCCCCAAAGCCGCACCGAATCGGGCCTGCTAGACTGTAGGCATGAGCATCGTCAGACACCGAGATGCCCCCAAGCTCGGCCTGGAGTTTGAGCTTGAGGGTCACCAAGGTGCCGTTCTTACGGCTCAGTTCGACCCCAGCGGCACCAGGATCGCCAGTGGTGGCGTGGACCGTAGCATACTTCTATGGCATCTCCCCACCACCAATATCGAGGCGAACTACGGGGTGATCAAAGGCCACAAAGGCGCCGTCACTTGCGTCCAGTGGAACGATGACCGTCTTTTGTCAGCTAGCTCCGACGCTACCGTGGGCTACTGGGACGCGGAGACGGGGTCTCGTCTCCGCAATTGGAAGCACAAGGACACCGTCAATCAGGTGGTGGCCTTAGGGGTGGGCGCAGCCTCGGTGAGTGATGACGGGCTGCTATTGGTTTGGGACTCCAGAGAAAAGAATGCTGTTGCTAGCGTTACCAGTGAGTTCCCCTTGTTGACGGTGGCCACAAACTCCGCTCAAACGACACTATGGACAGCGGGTGTAGATGGCACCGTGAGAGCATACGATACCCGCAAATTCGACCAAGAGCTATGGACGTGTGCCGATCTAGGAGATACGATCACGTCGTTGAGTGCCAATTATGATAGCCTGATGTTACTGGTCCGCCTTGCTAATGGGACGTTACGAGTACTCAACCCTCGAGATACACTTCCTGCTAGCATGTCTCGTTTAACCAGCAGCATATTTAGCGGCAAGGCCCCGAAGAGTCTATGGGGGTGTCGTGCTTGTTTTACCCCTTCAGGTCTTGAGATCATCAGTGGCGGCAATGGAGGAGTGATCTTTGACGTGACTCTGGCTCGCTTGATGAGACAATTCCATGATGAAGATATCGTTATAGACGTAGCGGTGACCGCGACCAACATAGTTACTGCTACAAATAAGGGTTTATTCATTATGCCCGTTTAATAATACAGTCAGAACCGTACCTTCTTGTGAGTGCGAGGCCGTTTGGAATCCATTTCGGGCTTAGACTCCTCAGGCTGCCGCCAACGTTTGCGTGATTCTTCCTTCTCTTTGATCTGAGCTTTGATCTGATTCAACCTGGCCAAGTTCTCTTGTGAGAACGCCCACATTTGCCACACTCGTTCCTCGTCAAAGGTTATCTCACTGCAGTGCGTAAGTAGACCACCGTCAGTGTCATTGCTCAGGCTCATGTCTTTATCGGTGGTTGGTGTAGCCTCAAATTCGATATATTCATCACGAGCTAAATCAAGAAACTGATGTCGCTGGATATATTGTTGAATGGCATAATTGTCTATAACAAACTTCTCCTTATGATCTTCCAGTGTCCGGTGACGATACATCTCCTCTTCCAAAGTATCACGTAATAATAGCGTTTCCACGTATACTGGTTTCCTTTGACCAATTCTGTGAGCCCGCTTGATGGCTTGAGCTTCTACCAGCTTCTGCCACACAGGACTAAGAAAGTAAACTCGAGTGGCGTCGATGATAGTTAGCCCATGTGATGCTAGTCTTAAATCCATAATCAATGCCGTACCTCCAATGGCATCACTGAACTTCTCCAAATTGATTGCTCGATCATGAGGAGATATGAAAGTGGCATACAAAATGTAATCAAGACCCAATACATCAAGTAACTCCGCCAAGTAATAAGCATGATCCTCAAAGTCGAAAAACACAATCAGCTTCAATCCCTGACGTTGGTGTTCAGCTAATCTACTAGCAAGGTAGCTCAACTTCGACAGAGCAGTCCCCAACAAACGGGCTTTACGGAGATTCTCAAACGATACGTCCCCATCGCTATCATCAATGAGAACTTTTTCATGAACGAGTTTGATTTGTTGCTCCTGGTTGGCAGCGTCAGTTTTGATTTTGGTGGCCTTCGCTCGAGCAACACGTTTTTGCTTCTGTTGCGCTTTACTCAACGGAAGAGTATCGTATCGGCTTTTCTTTCTCTTGGGAGAGGGGGCTTCTTCTGTTTCAGCAGCAAACTTTTTCGATCGTTTGACCCCTTCCTTCGAATATTGCTTATTGAATTTCTCAACAGCTTCAAGGATTTTCTCCCGAAGTTTATCCGCCAGAGCAAACCGATTCTTGTACACCACCTCTTGAAGCACCCCCAATTGAGGCGCACCGAGAACGTATTCCCCAGGAGTTGCCCCTAAAGCTAAATCTTTCACAAAAAACAGGGGTATCTCGTTTCTATCAAGGTAGTATAACAACTCATGAGCCACCAGAGCTACTCTCCACCTTTGATTATTAAGTGCAACCTCAGCATTGGCACGCGACTGCTCCAACAACAATATATCACTGGCTGAGTAGCGTGGATCAGTTTCTTCACGATTAAGGCAATTAGTGCACACCTTTACAAGCGCTTCAAGATCTTCAATCAGGAACCCTGTCCAAAATACGGTAGCTCGACGGAGATTATTAATCAAGCGACGTAACTGACCTTGATTTTTCGGATGGAACATATAATCAATATCTTCACGTTCTGAAGATACTGCATTGGTCGCTAGCACCGCCGTGAAATTGTTTATCGCCAATTGGTTGAAGTACAGTGGTTTAAGATACACCACTTTATGATGGAGGGGAGGTAATTCCATATCAACATCTGCGTGTCTGATCATTAGCTGATTGAGAAGACCGCCAAGCGCTAACTCCGCCAGCGGAGCCCCAGCCTCGAGCGGTTTAATGATTGTGTTATGCCACAAACGAGGCGATGAAAAGTACGGCTCTAGTCGAAGAAACCGTCCTATAATCACCCCTAATTTCCCCAAATCTTGCTTGGAGTCAAATTGATTTCTCACTTCTTCCTCAGCCATGGATAAATGAGTGAGTCCCAGTGTCGGCGTCCCTGAAACAGCCCACTTGCGCTCACACATAAACACATTAGAGCATGTATCACTTGTACGAGATTTGGTATGCAAAGAATGTCCCTCATCCACAATAAGTCGCTTCCAGTATATCAGCTCTAACCCTTGCATATCTCCTTTGTTTTGCGTTACTAGCCGCAGGACAAACGAGGAAGTGGTCACCACAACGTCATGTCGCAAAAGCTCAGCAATTGAGGGCACTTCCCGAGTAAACCAAGAATTGGTTTCAGGATCTCTCGAGTCTTTGCGGTAATGTGTCAGAATATAAACCTTCTTTAGGAATAGCGGATCGGTATGTTTGTCAATTTCATTGTTCCACTGATGAAATAGATTGTCAGGCACCACCACCAATGTCAGCGAACTGAGCCAGAGTTTCCTGCGTTGGTCAAATTCTGGTATTCTTGATGATTGTCTCACACGTATTTTGGCATATTGGTCATAATGATTCCCAATAACGGCTATTTGAAACCCAGCGGGGTTTTCATGAAGTAATTCCACAAGATGCGGAGGAAGATCATGAACATAAAACTTCCAGGGGAGCCCTTTGTCTCGGATTTGGTCTAAGCATAGCTGTGTAAGGCGTGGAAGTGGTTTTGCTGGTTCCAGTGAAGCTTCAGGCTTGACAAAATCGTCACCAATGTAGTAAAGTTCATCGTCCGATGAATACTGCTCCTCATCCTCTAGAGGAAAAGTTATCATGTCTTCTTGCGGAGGTATCACCAGCTGCTGATGCTTAGTAGCACATATCACGGCGATACATATCAACGTCTTGCCAAGCCCCATATTTTCCGCAAGAATGCCACCTCGGGGAAGCTTGATTTCTTCGTGATGGTTGAAAATTTGATCGGTCAAAAGGTCATAGTACTTATCTTTAAGAAATTCGACGTAATGAGGTACGGGAAACTTCCTCGATGATGCCAGCTCGCGTTGAAGCATTGCGCTAACCGACTGGCGTTGATAACCGTACAATCTGGTCTTGACGCCATTTACTCTACCATTCTGCACCTCAATGATTAGATCATCGGTCGTAGGGATTTGCTGGCCACTTTTCATTAACCCATCAACTTTTGGTGGTTCTATCAGATTATATATCCGATTTACCCTGTGATCTAAGCCCTCTGATCGATTGGTGGCAACACCACTAACCCACTTTTCCACGGGAGCGTAATCCCATTCCCACGACGCTTCGGTAGCCCTAAAATCGACCACAAACTTAGACTTCCCCACACTAATACCATGTAACATGCGGTACCACTGGAGCCTCAGCGCCACCAGAGGTCGTTTGCGCCATTCTAGCACAGGCCATATGTCGTCATCGTCAGCAGGGAGAGCATACACCGATAGACGAGCAACTCCCTCAACAACTTTGAAGGTACACATAATATACCGCTGAAGTTGCAACTGAGCCATGTCTTTGATCAATGGATGGCAGTCTGGAGCTCTCATGGTCAATAGTTCCAAATCAGCCCAACGCTCTTCCGGGTCATCGTCAGTAACCGGTGGGGCATACAAGTCGGTAACATGTAACGGTAAATTGATGAAAAAAACGTGTCCTAGTAGGACGAACTTCCTGAGATCGTTGGTGATGTGAGCGATTCTCTGGACTTGAACCATTACATCAGGCAGCAGTAGTTAATGAAATGAGATAAAGTGCGTGCACCGTGGTACAGCATGTGGCAGATATCATACCCCCACCTCGATAACTAACAAACAAAATTTACTAGCCTAATAAAATGGCAAAATTTGCTTTGCTAGATATTTGGTCCACATGTGCAATCCCGATTGGACTCAGCCTCGACGTCATATGTATTCGATCATAGTCGCACCACCGCAACCACATGAAGACCACCTTACTTCAGATCCCCAGCAAGACTACAGAGGAGGTCAATTGGTTCAAGCCGCTCCACAATTACCTTGTGCAGGTGTATGGACATGCCGCCAACGAGTATTCGCTGGATGTGACGAGCTTCAACCAGCTACGCCAGGACCTCCGCGGGGCACACCCCGACGCCACTGGAATCAAGTTGTTCTTGAAATACTATTCTCAGCTTGAATTGTTGGACCTACGCATCCCTTTCAATCTGATTAACACCCCCACCCGAACCAGAGTTGAGTTCAAGTGGACTGATCTGTTCGAGCCGGATATATCCAATAGTCAAGGTGCCCTTGCATTTGAAAAGGCCAACGTACTCTACAACTTGGCGTCGTTATTACTGCGTCAAGCCAGCATCAAATTGTCTAATGGCAATTTCAAAGAAGGAATGGTGGCGCTGTGTCAAGCCGCTGGCGTGATTGACTTTATCGGCGAGAACTTTTTACACGCCCCTCTGCCTGACTTGGCTTTAGGGACAATCAAATTATTACTGCAAGTGATGATGTCACAAGCTGCTGAGTTGTTTGTGTTACAGGCGATCAGTGCCGACGCTCAACAGAAAATGAATCAATTGGTAGCTAAGCTTTGTCAAGGGGTCGCAGAAAGTTATGCTCTTGCATTATCACTAGCTCAATCGGGAATGGGTCTTCACCGTGACTTTGATGCTGACGAGGAAGATTTCTTGAACCAGCCTGAAGATGTGCTACCAGAGGTGCCGGCACTTATTGAACCTCGCTGGAGAGCGGTGTTGGACTTTAAACGGGGTTTATACCAGCTGTTGGCTTGGTACTATCAAGGGCTTCTGGCAGAAGCCAACAAAAAGTACGGGGACGCAATTGCATATCTCACGAAAACGCAAGAATCGCTTGAGCAAGATCTCGGAAGTATCACCGAGGCAGCTGCCGATCAAAAGATCACTCTTCCTTATGAGATGCTTGACTATTTACATTACCAAGAAGACGCAGTCAAGATCAAATTGGCTGATCTTTCTAAGGACAATGATTTAATCTATCATGACCTCATTCCCCTGTTGGTGACGCTTACGCTGCCCGTGGCCAAGCAACTGGTTGAACCAGTTCCATTTGGGCAGCTTCCTGGACTCAGTGATATCAGCGACTACAATTATCATAACTTTTTATCGAATGTGGTGCCGATCAAGATTCATGAGTTGCTCAGTTTGTATTCGGAGGAGAAATCTCAATTGTTGCGCAATGAAATTGATCATGTCGAAGTTCTGGATCTGGAGGTGGCCCTGGCATTATCAAGCCTCCAATTGCCCCAGCAATTGATAGCGCTTAAGGAATTATCGTCGGGTTCAGGTTCTTCGTCCCTGCCGCAATTTGGTGATGAAGTGACGAGGTACGCTAACGAAATTCGCGCTAAGTATGCAGAAGACAAAACCAACCGGCAAAAGATCGAACAGTATCGCCAACAAATCTATCAGGCGATACAGTCACTCCCACCCAGTGATGGGGCTACTCAGTTGAAGCGGGCCTTTTACCAAGCCACCACCAATGATAACGAGATTTTCGGCTATGTGACTGATACTGAGCTTCATGATACTCTCGGCAAGGGCCAGTTGCTGCGTTTATCTACCCAAAAACCTGTTGAGGAGGAGCTTCTGTTGTTGGACCTTGACGAAAGTAATCGTCCTATCGACCAAATCCTTCAATCCACTGAAAAGATTCTTGATGAGATAGAGAAGGCTAAACGTCGTAAGCACGACATAGTTGGAGCTCTCAAGACGAAGATTCACGATGATGACATTGCCGATATTCTTGTGCTTAACCTGCGGGTGAAACTGACGAAAGAGATAAAACTGGTAATTTTCCCCGAAGAACTCAAAAAGTTTGACGAGTTTACGAGCGAAATTGACGAGATAGTGGAGACTGAAAGAGGTTTGGTGGCTAAATTAAAGCAGACGTGGGCGCAAATTATGGCCAATCCTGAAGTAAAGCGGTTGCGGCAATCGTCTACATTTCAAGCGGAGTTGGTGAAGCTGCAACTGGACCGGGTGGTTCAGTTTTACCATCAGTGGCGGAAGTATAGTGAGGGTCTCAGGAAGGGCACTCAATTTTATCCCCGGCTTTTGCAATGGGCTGAGCAGTTACGAGCGCCGCTGGTTCTGCACACAAGCCAACCAGCATCGGCACCGCACCAAGCACCAGCCCCGCCTGCCAGCAATGCTCGGCAGCCCAGCCATCCCCAGCAGACATCACCAGCAACCCCCAATCTGTCGTTGATTTACGACCAGCCCCTGACTTACCAGCCGAACATGTACCAGTTCTTTAGCAAACAGTGATTTAGTCAAATGTCTGTATTGGAATATATTGCCTGCAGGAGCCGGTTACGATCGCCACCGGGCCCCTCTCGCGTGCACAAATTTGACGAATAAAGAAAATAGCCCTATTGACGCGTAGTCTAAAATCAAAAGCGTGTCGATTGTTGTCGCGACGTGTTTCGGTATATTGAACGTTAGCAATAAGGATGACGGACGTCGATCAGAGATTGCTGGTGCTGGATCATGATACCATGACCCGCTTCACCCCACAGTAGGACGCTATGAATAGAACTAAGCCGAAATGCATGCGCCGTGTGCCGGAAAGCATAAACAAACAGCTGGAAAATTTTACAGCGTGCGCATTACGGCCGTGTATAAAACTCACGATAAATCCCGCTAACGTCATTTACAGAAATCACTATGAAGTTGGCGTTGATGACGTTAGCCGCGGCGTTGACCTCCATGGTCTCCGCCGCCGACCAAATCAAATGCTCAGAACTGTCTCCTTGTCCCGAGGATCAACCTTGCTGCTCGCAATTTGGCGTTTGTGGTACCGGGGCCTACTGCTTGGGCGGGTGCAACCCCATGTGGTCGTACAACATTCTGGCGTGTATGCCTCAGCCGGTGATGTCTTCGTTCAAGACTGAATTCACTGACATCGGCCAAGTTAAGAACCAATACACTTACCTCGGTAACTCCCTGGAGATCGACTGGTTGATCTCGGGTAATGCTACCATCGACGACGGTGCCCTTCAAATCCAGATGCCCGCCAACTCGGTGGGGGCGGTGGTCTCGTCCACCAAGTACTTCTGGTATGGTAACGTCAAGGTCAACATGAAGACCTCGCGTGGTGCTGGTGTGGTGCTGGCTTTCATCGTGTTCTCGGATGTCCAAGACGAAATCGATTTCGAAATGGTCGGTTCGGACTTGACCGGCCCCCAATCTAACTACTACTACCACGCCGAACTCGATTATAAGAACGCTAAGCGTGCTGACGTGTCGGACACTTTCGAAAACTACCACGAATACCAGATTGACTGGCAAGAAAACGAAATTAATTGGTACATCGACGGCAACCTTGTGCGTACCTTGAAGAAGGAAGACACCTTAAAGGAAGACGGTAAGTACCACTTCCCTCAAACTCCTTCGAGAGTTCAATTTTCGCTTTGGCCCGGTGGTGATGCTTCGCAAGGTCAAGGTACTATCGAATGGGCCGGTGGTCCCATTGACTGGAACCTGCAAGACATTCAAGACAAGGGTTACTACTACGCTTATGTGAAGGACGTTGATGTCCAGTGTAACGACTTGCCCTCTGATTTGAAGAGAGTTGGCTCGGGCTCAGGTGACTACAACGCCTTCATTTACACTGACAAGGCCGGTACCTCCAACGATGTTGCTTTGACCAACGCTAAGACTTGGATCGGTCAATGGAACTCTACTGGGTTGAACCCTGAGAACGAAGAGAAGTCGTCGTCGTCGTCGTCGTCGTCTTCCTCCTCGAAGTCCAAGTCCTCTTCCTCGTCGTCTTCGTCAGCCTCCGCTAGCTCGTCTCTGGCCTCTGAATCCTCGTCGTCGAAGTCTGACGACAAGTCGTCCTCATCGAAGGATGACAAGTCCTCCACCAAGTCTGATGACAAGTCTTCGTCTAAGTCTGACGACAAGTCCTCGTCTAAGACCGACGACAACAAGTCTTCGCAACTGAAGACCGAAGACTCCAAGACTTCTGCTACTGTTAACGTCCCTCAAGGGAACCGTCCTGGCGCCGGCGGCTCGCAAGTGCTGCAAACTGCTGGTAACCAAGGCTCGGGTAACAACAACCAAGGTGGTTCTGGCTCTGAAGCTACTACCACCCGTGCTTCTGGTGGTGGTTTCAACCAAGGCAACAACCCCGGCTCGTCGTCGGCTTCAGCTTCGGGTAAAGCTTCTGCCGATGCTCGGACGCTGAACCAAGCCGCGGCTACGCTGAACGGTTTCTTGGCTGTGGTTGGTGCGGTGTTAATGGGGGCTTTGTCGGTGGTCATGTAATTTTACGAACTAATATCCATAATAAAACATTGAATAAGAGTCTAGCCCGAGTTCTGGTGACGCGCAAATCCGTAGGCACGGTCACTGGATCAAAACCAGCGCTCCTAATCGTAAACGAAAAGCAATTTTACCGAATTCGGTGTCGCCAAGAGGTTTAAATTTACACGAAGATGGGCGTTTTTTTCCAAAATCATATGGCTGGTCTTTCGCCGATGAAATAGTTATCACTGCTGTCACTTGTTGAATGATGATGCACTCTCTTACGTCCGTTTAAGGTATATGCGGGACATAAGCAGCGGACATAAGCTGCCGAGGGGTCCCGATTGGTCGTTGGAACACGCAACGCACAAGATTGATGCAAACAATAAATATAAACTTGTTATGGTGTTCACGCAATGCTACAGCTGGTTACCAGCGCTTTGATGTAGATCACAAAGCGTCGCAGAAGCGCGGCTTAAGGCTCCCAACAGGCTCCGAAATAGAGGAAGACCAGAGTGTACAAAAAAGCCAATGTATATTCACGAATTCTGTGGTGTCATGACTTCAAAGATTTCAACTTCCCTTTACAAATTTTTTGGTTGATTTATGGAACACCATCAAACTCTAGATACAACTTCGATCCAACCATGTCAAGTCTTGTGACTATATACCTCAAGTATACCTCAACCTTCTCTTAGTGTGATGAAAGCTTTCATTATTCAACAAACACCCAAAACCATTCCTTAGCCTTACTCCGAATTTGATCACCGCTTTCCCGTATACCTCTGTTAGATACTACTTTCGGTGTTCCCTCTGCGAAGTTTGGCTGGAAGCAATTGCTAGTCTTGCGCACTCCACATTTTCGAGAGTCACCGATAATAGAAAAAGCCACTCTGTTCCTCGCGGCCTGGTGATGGGCAGTTAGATGATGATCGTTCCTAAGATACTTGTCAGACGATGGTTTGTCACCCAGGCGGTGCTATCTTGCTTAGTCTTAGTTGTTATCATCAACATCATTATTGCTGCTCGCAGCTTCGACCTGATCCCGCGAGTACAAAGCTTTGTGCAATCACATTGGAATGCTGACCCATTAACACTCCTGGGCAAGCCTTTGGACGAAATCTATCACGATGTTGTGTCTAAACTCGTCCAGTCCCCAAGAAACCGGGAAATGTTGATGGATGTGCGGCATGCCGAGCTGACGTTCTATGACTTCGAGAACAACGTTGTGGGCAACACTGAGCTTCTCCACAATCAATTTCAACGTCAGCCATATGTTGCAAACGGTTACATTGGTTCGCGGATCCCAAATGCTGGTCAGGGATTTGCTTACGATCAACTTGAACCAGGAAAGTCTGAAGAACTACTTAACGCGGGTTGGCCACTTTTCAACAAACGGTATCTGGGAGCGTACATTGCTGGTTTTTTTGATCTACAACCTAATGCCACGGGCTACAACTTTCCCGAGCTTTCTGATAAAGGGTGGGATTCATTCATTGCCGCTATCCCTCAATGGACAGCCTTACAATTGTCCATGAACTTAGATGGGAAAGAACACATTTTGAGTCCCGCCACGCTCTATCAGTTCAATCGTGAGCCAGAGGTGACAAACTACATGCAAAACATGAGTTTACTGACAGGTGTAGTGACTACGGCGTTCACTTGGCTTGATGTCGTTGATGTTACCTACACTGTTTTCGCTCATCGTTTACATCAACACTTGGGGGTCGTTCACGTTGACATCAAGCTGAGAAGCACGCTGCCCATTGAAATAGTGGTGGAAGACATCATTGACTTTGCCACGTCTGAGCGGTGTGCTCACCCGTTTCCGATATCCGATGGTGAAGGCATTGGTATGGTGTTCGAACCCCAAGGCGTACCCGGAGTCCATGGCGTGGTCTATTCTCGATTGGATCATAAGGCGCTCAAACCAAAACCTGAGGGTAACAAAGTTGTGCAATACCTCAACTTGAAATTGGACCCGGAGTCAGATCATGCGGTCGTTACGAAGTATGTTGGTATTGCCCTGACTGATGTAGTGGAAGACCCGTGGAAGGTTGCCAAAACCACTGCCATCAAAACTCGGCTGTTCACTGGCACTTATAACAGCCACGTTACAACGTGGAAGAAGGAATCAGATGTGGCGAATATGGCCACTTACAAAGGCAATGACTTGCTTACGTTAACACTGATTTCCTCCTTATTTCACTTAGCAGCAAACACTCGTATCGGTGCTGATGGAGTTGCTGCTGCCGTTGGTGTGGCAGGTCTTTCACTGGACAGCTATGGTGGAATGGTGTTCTGGGACTCGGACCTTTGGATGATGCATGGTATGTTACCGTTTTTGCCCCGTCACCTGGAGCAATTTGCTAACTATCGCCTTCACACTCATCATCAAGCTCGCAAGAACGTCAAGGAGTCGGCTTCAGATTACCATGGTAACGGAATTGATATTGACAGAAACTTTGAGGGTGCAATCTATCCTTGGACTCTGGGAAGGTACGGTAATTGCACAGCGACTGGTCCCTGCTTCGATTATGAATATCACGTCAACCACGCTGTGGCTCAAACAGCTTGGCTGATATACTTACTGGGTAATCAAGACGAGTGGTATTTGCGGGAAAAGGTTTGGCCATTGGTCCATGATGCTGCTCAGTTTTTCTCCACGTTGGTGACGTACAATCAAACACTTGAGGCGTACGTCACTGCCAACTTAACAGATCCCGATGAATTTGCCAATCATGTTGATAACGGCGCCTACACTAATGCCGCGATTCATTTAGTTATGGGTTGGTGCATCGATATCGGTCGTCACTTGAACATCGACTTACCCAAAAACTACACCGATATCCATCGGAAGATGTTTCTTCCCAATACTAATGGCGTTACCCTTGAATTCTCGGGAATGAATTCACAAGTCGCTATTAAACAAGCAGATGTCGTGATGTTGACTTATCCCCTTTATGTTGACGAACTAGTTGATGCCACCCAAGGCCGAAACAACTTGGAGTTTTATGCCCTTAAGCAAGTAAGTTATGGTCCTGCTATGACATTTTCCATTTTTTCCGCCGTTGCGGCCCAGTTAGCTCAATCAGGATGTGCAGCTCAGCTGTATCTTATGAAACTGATTACCCCATATATGCGGGCTCCATTTGCTCAGTTATCAGAGCAAAACCACGATGACTATACTAAAAATGGTGGTACCCATCCAGCTTTTCCTTTTTTGACTGGGAATGGAGGCTATTTGCAAGCTGTTTTCCAAGGCATCACTGGTTATTCTCCGACCTATTCCATCGAGAACGGAAAGCTCAAGCGAAAGCTTCGCGTTGACCCTATTCTGATTCGTGGCATTGGAGGTCATGCTCACTACCAATCAGTTCGTTACATGAACCAACTGCTTGAAATTGAAATGAATAGCACCGATTTTATTTTAACTCACCATGGTGGGGCTGATGGTTTTGATGACACCCCTATCTTTGTTGATGTTGCCGACCGGAATCCCATGGCTGGATCGTACACAGTTGAGCCTGATACTCAATTGCATATTCCAGTATTTGAGCCAGGTTCACTGTTTGAGGGGCTGAAATGTGAATGTATGTCAGCAGAAATAATAACCATCACTGAAGGCAAAATGGGGGATCATGCTTGGCTGATTAACGACGGTGACGTCACGCTGAGATGGCAACTGGGGACCAAGAGCAAACCAACGAAAATCTTGGTTGATCTTTTACTGTACCAGAATGTGCTGCTGGTTGAATTCAACTTTGGTGAAAAGCCACCGAAATATATCAACATCTACAATGAAAATGGGGACTATGCATATGAACTGGCACTGCATTTATTACTGGGAGTCATTTTTGATGATGTCGATACAATCAACAAATACCTGTGGGTCAACTTCAAGCATGACCCAAAGCCACAAGACGAAGTATTTACCGATGCTCTTGTTAAAGGCCATACAGTGAAAATCACGGCAAAGTGGAATCCTCACGCCCCAGTCGCACCCCCAAGCTTGTTTAACACGACTTTAATCGAACTTGAGTCTCCGCGGATGTCTCGATTCTTGTTGATTGAAACGGTCGGGACCCATGATGAAGACGACCTTGGTCCTCGCTTCGCAGAAATCATCATAAGGTGATCTTGTCATGTTTGATATTCTGTCTTGGACATAGCTTTAAATAGTAAGCGCTAGATTATCATTACTTCTTCAAGGAATCAGTGCCCCGAGGGATATCCCGATAACAAAAAGACTGGTCGACCTCGGTGAGGTTTGAACTCACGATCTTGCGATTAACAGTCGCACGCCTTAACCAACTTGGCCACGAAGTCACTTGCAGCGACACGTTCCTCCACTCAATCGTCCGTGAATGCATCTCGTCTTAAATGACGACATTTTCGCTCTAATAAAAGGAATTATTCGACGCGGTTACTAAAATTCAGCTGGTCTATTTGATATGTATAAGTAAAAAGTAGAAAAGCATACGATGACTCTCATTACTCATTCGTACATAACTTCGGCCATAGTAATCAATCGTTTGACACCTGTGTTCCAGTGACCCATCTCATCACTATGGTTCGTGGCCAAAGCCAAGTTAAGCGACGAGGCAGTGGCAAAGTCTTTAGCCTCCAACGCGTCACAGATCTTCTTCAATTCCCCAATTGCAGCCTCAGATAATAAGTCATCATTGTTGAGATGATCGTATAATATGTTGAGCCGCTTGTTCATGTCAACACCATGTTTGGCAAACCTTTCGGGAATCTTAGGCTTGATAGCTTCGTGAATCTTCAGCAAAGTTTCATATACGGGCTTTGAGCCCTCAGGGATATGAGAACGGTCACCCGGGGGGTATTTGCTAGTTGCAGGAACGGGCAGAGCCGACTGCAACGCGGGCGATTGCGATTGGCTTGCCAAAGGAGGGGCGGGCTGCATGGGACCACTCATTGGAGGGGCTCCAATAGGAGGGGCGCCCATTGGAGGAGCAGCCATGGGGGGAGGACCAACGGGAGCCACAGGGGGAGGGGCAAACCCACTGACGACGCTCATGGGGGGTGGGGCAAACGCTCCGGCAGCAGAAGGGCCACTGGGCATGGGAGCCATCGGCTGTGCCCCGGGAGGAGGGGCATAAGGGTTCTTAGGAGGTGCTCCTGTGGCCGCGGCAGGAGAAGCTGCAAACGACGTCGACGGAGGAACCGATCCCATGGGAGGAGGAACTTGGACCGATTGAGGAGCGTATGGGTTTTTGGGAGGGCCCTTTGCTGGTGATTGCGACGACCGAGTAGGCGGAGCTTCAAATTGAGGAGTGGGAGGAGCTACCGAACCAGGGGGAGGAGCGTATTTCGACTGGGTCCCTGCATGGCCCGGACGGGGTGAATTGGTAGCCAGCCCGTGGTTGGAAGATTTTGGAGGAGGAGGAGCAGTCATGCCATTGGCTTGCGAAGCCTTGCGAGATGGACCAGGAGGAGGAGCAGCATTGGGTCCTTGGAAGGGAGGAGCTTGCGAACCCGTGGGACCAAACGCCTGCGGGGTGGGGGTGACCGTTGCGGCGGCAGCAGCTCTTCTAGGCTTCGACCCAATCTGAATACCATCAGGCAAATCGTTCCAGCCTTCTTCCTTCTTCTTGGGAGGAGGGGGCGTAGCGTTCATCAGCATAAATTGAGGTCCCGGTGAGGTGACACCGCCAATGGGAGGCGGGGCAGCGTACGGGTTGGCCACAGGAGCTGGTTGCACTGGTTGTTGGGCTTGTTGGGGGGCATACGGGTTAGACCTGGCGTAAGGGTTAGCACGTGTAGCAGCAGCAGGAGTTGGATTCACCGGTTGAGGGGTGAATGACGGAGCCGGAGGGAAGCCAGGAGCAACAGGTGGAACTGTCGAGAAACCCGGGTTGGCCGCTGGCGTAGGCGGGATGCGAGACGTTTGGGCGGTCTGAGTGGGTTGCTTAGGTTGAGCATTTGGCTGGGTCGCAGCTCTAGCACCATAACGTCCGCCGCCAACGGAAGCAGCAGAGCTCGTGTTGGCTTGAGGCTTCGAGGTGGCTTTAGAGATTCGGTCCTTCTCAAGCTGGGCAACCTCGTCTGGCAACAATGGCAAAAATTGTTCTGCAAGTTCAAATTCCCCAGCAGCTGCAACCATCAGGCAGTATTCCAAAATGGCCTTGATGACACCTTCATCGGTGATTTGAGGTGCTTGAGCACCACTAACTTGGCGGTAAGTGGCGATCTTTTGAACAAAATTGTCCAAGGTAGCGTACCGCGCATCAGCCGGAGAAGAAATCTTGCTGTCACTACCGCTCAACAACTTTTCTTCAAACGCCGGCATGTCGGCAAGCCATATCGCGGCTATCTTATCTAAATTCTCGCCCGCAACAAACACCGACAAGGCGTGATCACGGTTCTTGATCCGACCCCCAAGATGAGCCATCTGCGTGTTGTATTGAGCAGGATCATTGGCGAAAGCAGCTATGGCTTTACCAATGTCCTCCCAGTTCTTGGTGTCAGCATGTGCAACAATATCGCCGACGTCACCCCGAGTTACGGAATACAACACACGCAGTTCAGTTGAAGCTTTGTTCTTGTTGAAGTAAGCATTACGGACTTTTTCTCGCAACGCTTCAGAGGATTTGGGGTCGAGTACCAACAACAACGCCTCCTCAAGCTTTCCATTATCCAAGCAGTATTGCACAGCAGCGGCACGTTTGTTAGACAAAGCCAACTTAACAAGCTCACTGTCGCCAAGTTCGAATTCGCCTTCAGGAACATAAGATACTGATTCTTCCAAGTGGTCAAAGAATGAATCTTCCTTCGTGTCTGAGTTTTCCTTCTCGTCGGTAGCGATGAACTGCTTCTTGTAATGTTGGTTGTCGCCGCTAAGCTTTTCCAAAAGCTTCCAGTCGCCCGAATCGGCCTCGGTAGTCTTTTGTTCAGTCTTGCTGGCAATAATTTCTCCAAACAGTCCCAGAGCAAGCGCCAGCTTGAAAGCCTCTCCGGAGGATGCACCCGAAGCAAAGCGTTTAACCTCAACTGTCAGTTTTCCGTTGGTGGTCGTAACAATGGCCAATTTGTTACCAAAACCAAATGAGGCCGAACAAGGGCACTTGAGCCATTGGGGGGCTTGCAAAACATCAAACTTTGGTTGCTGAGTTTCGGTGGTTGAAATTTGCGACCAAAATGCGTCATCTCCACCAACAGTCAGCGCAGCAGCCACTGCTGCCAGGACGGGAGGCGAAGTGTCTTGGAGAGTTTGAACGATCACCTTACCGTCAAACAGTGCCATGGCGAAAATGTCAGGGGATCTGGGAGCAAAACGCACATGGAAAGTCCAGTTGGCAGTGGTAGGGTATTCACCAAGCTTGGTGGCGGTAAGGGGATTCCACAACAAAGTGGTGTTATCCTTACCACTCAGCAATAACAAGGAAGGATCCTGGCGACACCAGTCCACCAGCAAAACCCCCTTCTTATGGCCCGAGAGCACCTGCTCGGGAGCATTAGAGTTACGCAAGTCCCACGTCATAATCAATGGACAAACGTCCAGGTCTGAAGCAGTAACCAATTTGGTCAGTTGAGTGGGATGCCATGCGACTTGAGAGAAATTGGCTCTAGCACCAGTTTGTGATTGATATTGCAAATGCAAAACCTCTCTTTTAGCTTTCAAATCCCACACCAGAGTGTAGCCCAGGTTCCCAGTCAGAGCAAAAATATGGGGAACGGTATTATTCCAGGCTACCGATGTGATTTCTTCCATAGGCGTCATAGCAGTCCCCGGAGTGGTGGGTTCGTCGAAACCAACACAATTCCACACGAATAACTGACCCTTAGCACCGCCCAGTACGAGGATTTGCGGTTTCAAAGGATTAAAAGCAATTGCCTTGGCCGGCCCTGAGGTGTGTTTAGTCAGCTTGTGCACACTGGCCTTCTTCAAGTCTTTAGTTTTGATCAATACCGCCGCGTCCCAGAATTCGATCAGGCCATCTTCGTATGCCCCAGCAATCAACCCTTGCTCCCGATTGTCGAAGGGTTTTGACCAAGCAAGTGCATAGAACCGGGCGTCAACACTGGCGGTGAATACTGGCTCCGTCGATTTCGAGGAGGTGAAGATGTCGTAGATCTCAAGAACCAGCAGCAGGGTAAAGTTCACGTCAATGGCGCCGGCGACGGTACCTGTCGCGAGCAACGGCAACGTGTCATTGCTCCAGGCGAACGTCAGAGTCGACGCAATCTCTTCGATTTTCACCATGGTAGTGAGATTTTTCTCGAGCGCGTTGATAACACGTTGGTACTGCAAAAACCCGCGAGCCGCACGCGCCAACCTCCAGTTAAGAGCAATCTACAATATTTGGTAATTATAATGATCTGTTCGGATACAAAACTTGTGCATGCTGACTGCTTCCACAATCAGAAGCTCTTCAAGGAGAGGGATTAATCTGGGCAAGCATGAATATAGCTAAAGCAATCCCAAACATATGCAACACGTACCACATTTGTACTGCGAACATTTGACATTGGATCACATGTGTAGCCGCGCATGCGATTTACTACCCCAGTGCTCATTTCTGTACTGGCAGACGATGATTATACCGTCTGAGATCGGTTGCCTGAGTTCCTACTAGCAGTTTGACGAAGATCGTTCACATACACATGAGCTATTCAACTAATCACTGCCAGGTGGAGTGAGAGTCCCAGATTCCTCCTCTTTATTGCCATCGCCATCACCGATAACATCGTTGTAAGGTCTTTCACCCAATACCGTGATCCGGAAATGGTGACGGTTACCGGTGGTGTGCCGCAAGAAGTCTAACGTTGCAGTGTGCAACAAGAACCGATTGTCCCATGCAATGACCAGGCGCAGATCACCTCCTTTATGAAGTGCTCTCACTTGGAACTCGGGGTTACTAGTGACGTGCTCGACCAAAAAGTTAAGGATAAAGTCCAGCTCTTGTTTCTTGACTCCCTCAACCCGCTGAATGAAGCCTCTGGAGAAAAACAACAGCTTCTCCTTGGTGACAGGATGTACTCTGACTAAAGGGTGCTTCGTGTATAAGTCACCGCTGACACGAGCTGGTTGACCATTGTGGGCAGCAAACTTGTTTTGATACACGTTGGAGTGAATAACGGTCAAAGTCTCGAAGAACTTTTGGATCGTTGGCAGCAATCTCCTGTAGGCCTCTCTAAGGTCAATGAACACGGTGTCACCTCCAGAGGGGGGTGCTTCAAGAGCGACAAAGATTGAGAACAGCGATGGATATTTCTCGAAACTTACATCTGAGTGCCATCCGTACAGCTGGGTGGTGTCTGCGTACACTTTTTCGTAACGCTCCTTAGTACCAGCGTTTCTGAAGGTGGTGAAAAGCTCTGGATAACCCGCGGCTGAATAGCTCACAGGATGGATGTGAAGTCTACCGAAATACTCGCCAAATTCCTTGGCAAACTTAGGGCCCTTATCACGGAAATCCTGTTGGCGAAAGACGGCCAAACCTCGCTGTTCCAAGAACAAAGCAAAATCATCCTTGGCGGCGTCACTCAATTGACTCAATTGAAACGACTCGTCATCGATTTCCGTTCCCAAGTCAGGAGTTATATCAAAGTGGTTATATTTCTCAATGCCCTCTGGGAAGATGTTTCTGAACTTGGGATCGCCAAAGTTCCCACGGTCTCTGGCAGCATGTCCAGGGTTGTCAAATCGGCGGTACTTCCCAATCTCATCCTTCTCGGTTTTCGCCAAATATTCGGGATACTTTACTGTCTTGCGAGCCTCTTCAACGTTTCTTAAGTAAACGTAATCAGTGGACAGGGTCGAGTAATTGACTGGCTCGAAAAATTCTGAAAGAGATGGGCGATAGGACATAATGGTAAGGAGTTAGATGTTACCAATTGATATTTATAGGTGCTGCTCAGATGTGGGGTTCAAGAAGCCACACTAATGCCACACTACGTAAATAGATAAAAAGCATCTCAAACCGACTACCATAGCTTGTAAACGTTAATATATGTCCAATATCCAATAAAAAGGGTTGTTTGATGCACTCGCTCAATGTTCGTTGTCCTTTAAGGGGAAGCATGGACAATTCAATCAATACTGGCAAACTAAAGCTGTAAACTTATACCGGTACAATACTAACTGAGAACTCGTATATGATTACTCATCGTATGAGTTAAAAGTGGTGGCGTCAAGCAAAATTGCCCATGGAGATGATGCTATGGTAGATTTGCCACAATCGTACGATAATTGTCTACTCAACCAATATCTTCGATTCGTTTCAGGACGTCGAGATTCTTTTGTCTTTCGATATGGATAGCTCTGATTACAACAATAGGTTGGAATGCTCACTGTTTGATTCTATATGATGAGGCCGCGAGTTCCTTTAGACACCCCATTTTTTCTAAATTTCGGACTAAACTCGAAATCAACGCTGATCTCCCGTGACCCTCATCTATTCCAATCTTACACCTCGACAGGTATCCCAATTATAATTAGCAGCATGGACTCGGTTCGTCAGGTGTCGCAAGATTTGGATTCCCTCGCTCAAGCCATCGTTGCAAAGAATAAGGAAATTGATAACTTGAAAACTGAGCTTAACCGTCAAATTAATATTGTTAATCGATATATTGAGCTACTAGTTGGAGATCAGTTGCAGGATAGTGATATCCCCGTCGCTGATTTGGAAAAAATTGTGATTGATCATCCTTGCCCCAAATGCAGTAATGAGGATGTCATTGTTGTACCTCGTCACAAGCTTAAACTAGTCGAAACCAGACTGATAACGGAAGAGTCTCAATCAGTCGATCAAGCTCCTCACAGGCCAAAATACACTCCACCCAAAACACAAGGCTCAGGGAAAAAGACATGTTCTTATTGCCACGCTCCAGGACATAAACGTGCCATGTGTCCGGAGCGACTTGCCACCCCAAAAGATCTGCATTCCTAAGTCTATATTAAAGTAAATAGTTTCGATTAATCATCATTCGTAATATTCATCACTTGCCGGCTTGAACCATGGCCTCCCGACGGGAAGCGTCCTGCAACAAGGTGCAATCAACCAGGTTGGGACTCATATGAACGTATCTCACAGTGGAACCTCTGATAAAAAGCGTCTTCACCGACCCCAAATGAGGGTATTTGCTTTGATTGACGCAAGACACGTTGTCGAGCTTGAGATTGAGGAACTGGTCGACCAGCTTAAGAGTTCCCTTGATCTCAATGTCGTTCTTGAGCTCGACGGTAACCTCCTGATCCACAAGCGTTTTGAAAAACGAAAAGAACAACATCTGGCTCGTTCTGTTGAAGATTTTCGTGAGTCGCGCTGATACACAGGCGAACCAAGCTACTTTGATCGGTGCGACAAATGAGAAGAATGAAGGCTGTGAAATAAGGGCTGCAATTTAAACAAACTTTGTTAAGTTCTTAAGTACTCACATGATGTGATTCGTTCTGCGGGAGATTTTTATGAGCCGTGTTCACGATACTACTCTACTTCAGAGGTGAGTCTGATTGGCCACAGTCATCAAAGAGGGCCATGGGTATCTCTTCCCAGTACTCGTAACCCGGATAAGTCGAATGAAGGGCATTGTTGGGAGTACTTGTTGCAAAGGGGGAAAAGAGGTGGGTGGGATTCGGCGTCATGGGCGGGTCCAAGTACCCTTGTTGTCGGTCAAACATACCGGGGAGTTGCGTACCTTCTGCGCAATATTTTTCAGGGGAACCCACCAAATAGATGGGATCCTCAATTGCTATAACAGATGATTCCGGTAAAACAAACCAGTCTTGCTCTTCCGAGGCCAAATTTTCTGTTGTCGGTTCGTCTGGAGCTCTAAACCAATCGGATTCAAGGCACAACCGCTTCGGCTTAGAATAACTATCATCAAGAGTTCTTTTGCGACGTCTACATGGAGAGCCTTCTGGTGATTGAATCAGGTTGCGCAGCGTCAGTGTAAAGAGAATTTTATCCAGCTCCGAGAAAGCGACCATAAATTTTTCCTCTGTCTCAGTGACTGCCCATAATTCTACCACCAATTGCGTTCCCTGTTTATAGCGCACGGGCAGAGACCAACTGGATGAATCCACTTGAAGCCTGGTGTATCTCACAAACTCCCCTTGCTTTGCTTTAACGATTTCTGGAGAGATCGTTTTGGTCACTCTCTGCTTGAGATCTGAAGGGTCATTCAATTGGCCACTGCCCACCGGGACTGGCACTAACTTGTATCTTTTGTCCCGGTCTCGACTGACAATTGCTAAGGGAAACTGGACGCTGTCATCATCGAAGCTGTGCAAACGTAAATGAATGAGGAATTGTTTCACCTTCTGGTTATCGATATATGAGTCGCCTTTAATGGCATTTTCAAATGAGTATGCTGCTGATAGGGAGAGGTAATTACGTCGATATGCAGTCCACCCGGTTGGTAATTTATCAACCCCTTGATCCACACGTGGAGAAATTGTTGGAATTATAGGTCTTCCCAAAGCATCGTGCAAGTGGATAAGTTGACAAGTGGGACCAAAACCGGGACCACCACAATTGAAAGAAGATACTAGATCAGGTAGAGGTGAATTGATGGTGCCAGCTGGAGGAAGCAACAGAGGAATGGAGAGTAGTTTTGTAGCACGGCTCATGGCGCATTAAAAGTAGCTCAGATTGCGAAAACACAATTTAGTACGGTAAACTTTAAATCACGTGACTGGAAGCTGGAATGGACGGTTACTCAGTAAACAGTTGACGTTTTCGATAAAGGTGGTATTATTTTCAACAAATAGTGTGTTTGTTATTCTTGTGCTATATCGCCTTAATCTCGTTCGCTCGGATAACGACGTTGTATTGTAGCACCTAGCATTCAAATTAGTCGCGCCTTCTAGGCGATTTCGCAGTGAGCGAAGAAAGTTTAAATCAATCAACTTCCTTAAGCGGAACTAGCAACCGCTTGCATAATCTACAATCAATGTTGCTAGATAATTATGCTTTACTTTTTAACGAGTCTTGGCCAGTCGACGCCTTGAGTTGTTTGGAGTGATGCCGTACGTATAAAACGAGTATAGCTACCGCTATCACGTAGATCCCAGCGATTAAGGTGTAGCAACCCCCCAACCCTAATGATGCTGTCATATAGTCAAGCACTGCAACGAATAAAGCCGCCAACCAGCAGCGCATCAAATTCATACACAGTGCCGCTCCCAGGCTTTGTTTGGGAAACATATCAACCAACATTGTTTGTACCGCCACCATGAATGATGACGTCAGGGACGAAATGAGACAGGTACTGATGATGATCAGAATGATGTGTTGGTTGTACTGAATGCACCAACCAAAAATAATCAAACCAAATGCATTGAGCACGGCTGGCACGACACAAACGTCAAGCCTAGGTCTGATTTTATTAAAGCGTTCCCCGGTGGTTTTCAACTCAAACTTTCTTACCGATTGACGGTAATACCAATTCATAATACGGCCGAATAAAATCGTCAGCATCAACAGAACAATACCCTGGGGTAAGTATATGAGACCGATATGGATTACCAGATAGTTATACTTCGGTCCCAATTGTGTCAGAAGCAGCAGAAGAACCATCGTCCAGCCTGCAAACAGCACCCCAACTGGAAAAAGAGTGGCTAGCACCCTTGGTTTGATGAATATGAAAAGGGCGTCCCAGGGTCGAAATGATGCTCGAGGCGGAAGTGTCAGTGTATCGATAGTCAACTGCTTTCTTATGTGCGGCACGTAAAGCAATGTCAGACGATATGGCCAACGAGGATATACCAGACCATTGCCGACGATCAGTTTGAGGGTTTCCGGAAGCAAAATCAAAGCGATACAGAACGTGGCGCCCCCGCCGATCGCAAGAAATATGAATATAGATCTCCACGTGTGCCATCTCGATAATAAAGCAGACCCAAGAAGACCGCCGAGAGCATTACCAAGTAATTGACCAGCAACTACTCCTCCCATAAACCCGGCGCGGTTGTGAGGGGTGCACACATCGCCTGAGACTCCCAGGCCGACTGCGATGACGGGGGCGATGCCCGCTGCCTGGATACACCGTAAAAATGCCAAAAGCCAATAGACATTGGTCTGTGATATCGCGATACATGCAGCGATATATACCAGGAGCAGCCACACTATCATTGGACGGCGGCCATAGCAATCGGCCACGCCCAGCACAAATGTGGGAATGATCCCCTGAGCCAACAAATACGCTGTCACCAGTAACTCCATCGTGGTGTCCGATACCTCGAAATGCAGTCGTAGTGTAGGGAGTGCCGGGAAGTAGATGGGCAGAGAGAGTGTCAGCCACCACCCAATCAACGAAAGCATGCCACCTATGACGATAAGGTCGACTTTTGTGAAAATGGTATATGGAGGGTCCTCATCGACTAGTCGCAGCTCAGTTTTTGTCTCATCTTCTTGGCCCATAGTGGTTGCAAGGGACGATGGACAGTCATTCAACTTTGCGCGGCTTTAGTGCCGCGCGCGGCGAAATTGCGCGCTATTTATCCAATTAGTAAATCACTAAGATAGTTGAAGGCGCCATCGTGTGACCAATATCACACAGGTTTTGCAGTATGTCATGAATTTTGCCTCTATAGGTTTATACCAATCAAATTCCGTCGAGGGGTCACGCACACGGAGCTCGTGATCTTCCGACACTTATCGTTTCTGTGATACGTAATCTCGATTGTATGCATGGTAATCTAACTTCCCCAGAAATAATTTACGGGTGCCAAGAAAACGAAAAGCGGCTGCGAAAACAGCTTGTCTGCTTTTTTTATACTTTTGCTTACGGCTTTCAAAAATGACGGGTATCTATTAATGTCTATCCTTATTATACTTCTGTTGGGGGGGATTTTTCGGGGTTGTAATCATAAAGTTGATCGCCAGCTTCACTTTTTGGCGCTTGTTTGGATGTTCATCGGGAATTTCCGCCGGACGGAATACGTTATTAGACTCCTCCAGCTGGAACTTATGAGAGGGCACCGGTTGTTTAGGGGGATGGGCCGCCACCGGCGCCGGCGCCGGGGGTGCTCCAACCAGGGGCAGCAGAACCACGTAGGGAGCATTAGTAGGAGGCAGGTTAACGAAATACGGGTAATGCATAGGGATATAGGGCGGTTGGCCCATAATCACCGTAGGAGTATACTTCTGAGAATACGGCAGGCCCAATTTGCCGAATGACGGGTTGGCAGCGTCGGAGTAGTACAAGGGGTAAACCGCAGGTTGAGCTTGTTGAGGTTGAACTGGGGATGAATTGGTCCCGGTTCCGGTGGTCGCCACCGGGGTCACCACCGTGGAACCATAGATATGGCTCACCGACGGAGCCAGCACCAGTCCCAGCGCCAGACCCGATGCCAGGCCCAGTGCCAGGCCCCGCGCCAGCGCCAGGCCCATCGTCAGCGTCATGGCTAATTGAACTCGATCCAGCGAGTCCAGCACCGTCCGGCGCTTTCTTAAAGGGGGCAGGGGCTTCGCCGCTACCGGCTCCGACACCAGGGTGGTTTGCGGCAGAATCGCCACCAGCTTCGGCAGAGTTGGTGTCAGCTCAGGATTAATGAGTTGACCCAATTCAATTTTATGGAACTTCTCGTGGAGTTCTCGACGTACCTCTTCCTCGGGTTTGGTACGGTATAACTGTAATTGTTGTTCAAGATGATGGGCATGTTCAGGGTCCAGCACGAACATCATTGGTACCAAATGCGGCAGGATATGGAGCGATTGAGCCAATTGCAAGAGCTGTAACAGCGTCTGGGTGGTCTCGTGACGCATCAGTTCCTGTTTGGTCTTTTCTTGTTCAATCTTGAAACGAATAATCTCATTTAAGGTGTCGACGTTGTACGGCCAAATCTCGTCTTCCAGAATTTGCGAGTGTTTGGGAATGCTGAGGATGTCACCCAAAATCTCATCAACGACGTACTTGCGCAGGGCCAGAGTGGGAGGGGTTATGGTTCCTTTTTCGCTGTCGGTGGTGGCGGTGTGAGAATAGAAGCGAGGCTGCGAAGGTTTGGGAGGGGCGATGGTTGGGTCATTGGGGGTATTAGTTGATGATGTGGCTCCGGTATGGGAAAAACAGGCCATATGGATTGCTGGGGTAACACTCATGGAGAAACGCCCGAACTCGGTGGTGGTGACAGCAGGCCCTATTTTATTTATATCGACATGGCTTCATAAATTACCTATTTGGGTAGGTTTGCATATGATCGCCCTTGCTAGTAACCGGTAACACACGTAGGGGACAGGTCGAAAAAATACTCGCAACCCTCGCCAAACCATGACTCTCCGACTACCATTGACAACCAGCAAAGCAACAGGGCAAAATCCTTACCCCTTGAAACACAGCCTCACCCTTTCCGGCACGGTTTGCTCCGGCGGTCTCCGAGAAGGCCGTGGTGGCCGTCAGCTTAGACAAATCATTATTACCCGATTCAGTTATGTACATACTAGTAGTTCTCCTGCATGTCTACTCTCTAACTGTCAACGCGATGCCATATTTCAGGAGTATCCTACGAAGAGGGCTCCACCATCGAAGATACTGGCAATTATTGTTGACTAATAGGCCGCATCATACCCTGGTCTCCGATTCACTGATTGTTGCGTGTAGGGAGTGACGTATCCTCTTCTGCGAAGGTGATAACCTTTTACGGATTGATGGCGCTCAGTCGTAAATTAGACGCCGCGCGACTTCTGGTTTTGGTAAAGTGCGCTAAGGCATGGCAGTATCCCTTGCGGCGAAACATATCTATGAGATGCCTATGTTGACATCCGAGCTTTGAGACTTATTAATAGACATGTGATAAAAGAAACCTGCTTGAAATTAAGTTCACTGATCTCTAGGTATCATCACGACGTGTGTTTGTTTTTTTGCTACAGGCATACCCGAAAATAATCTGAGGCATCCTAAAGGTATTCCGAAAGCGTTTACTTCATATGCTCTGTGCAGTGCTGGGCCCTAGTCTGACGGGCAAGACCACCGCCGTTCAACAACTTGCCGAGCTCATCCCTCATTGCAAGGTCGTTCACTTAGATGACTACTACTTGACAGACAGCGCAATCCCCATTGATGAGAAGCTGGGTTACGCCAACTGGGACTGTGCTGAGGCCATCGATTGGCACCGTCTTAAGCGCGACTTAACGGCCATCTCTAATGCGGCGCGCGCCCCTACTAATGCCACCGAATCCATCGAGCCCCAAACAAACCTGGGGTTCCTGGAGCTTCAGGTACAAGACTTGAAAGATCGAATTGAGCAAAAGGGTATTGACAACATCACCTTCATTGAGGGCTTTTTGCTTTTCACTGGTGATGAAGAGCTTGAGAAGCATTTTCAGCGAAAGCTCTTTGTCTACGGCAGTTATGACGTGTTGAAGCAGAGACGGGCCAATCGGGTATACGTCACCGCAGAAGGGGAGTGGACCGACCCGCCAGACTACTTTGATGCCATTGTGTGGCCGGAATATGTTCGTAATTACAAAAGTTTGTTCACTGACCCTCCTGATTGTCGTGATTTCAACAAGGCCGCAGCCAGTGCTCGTGGGATTCGAGGGTTTGACTCGTCCGCCGCGTCGACATTTGATCTTACCCTTTGGATTATCGATCAAATAGCGTAGGGCCCTTGGAAATTTCCTGTTTAGGTTTGCGTGCGAGCCCGCGTCTAAAAATTTTTGCAACCTTGAACAATTGCCGACGATTGCGGCCCTTTTATCGATGTACAAAATAATATGGTCCCTCGCATACCATCTTCTGCGATAGCTTGATTTTAGGTAGGTTAAATGGATGGTAGTGTTCATGGGAATTGGTGCTCAGGTGCTCCATGGGTCCCCTGATCGGCACCTGTGCCAATTGAATCATTGACGTGCTTAGGTATGCACCCCAAAATCCTGCTGTCGCCGCGAGATTGTTGTATTGGTGTGTCAGGGCAGGTTGACCCGGCATGCGGATCTTTATTGCCGTCAGTATCATGTAGGAGTATCCTCAAACAATAAGAGTGCCGTATCGTGTATGATGCCCGTGGCGGGCTGTAATTAGGCACGATGTTCTTCATATCGTTTCTTCTGGATTTCACAGTTCTATTCTTTATATATGAGGGTCTCGCCCTTCGGCACGGATTGTTTGCTCCGATAAACAAAATCAGAAGAAAGTCCATGTAAACACCTGGTTCGTCTACTGAACTATGGTCACATCTCATAACACATTGCATACATTTCCTCTCCCAGTTAGCATAGAAACGATTTTAGAGGATGTGCGTAGTTGTTTGTCTGGTATTGGTCTGGCTATTGTTAACTGAGACAAGGCGAGAATTAAGTTGCCATGTCATAATGTAATGCATCATCCCGTCAAAAGTATGCTTGTCGCCCCCTTGTCTGAATTCTTTAGTGCCATTACATACTTTGCGAAGGGAACCATACCAATTCACTGTTGTGTACAATTAATGAGAATTACATCTACTTACATGCTTTTACTTTTTGCTTTTCTTTCCTCTCTTGACCTGCTTCATTTCTTGGTCATAGATGTCAGTCGCCAGTTCGGTAGACCGCTTGGTTGCCTTCTTCACAGCCACCGTCAGCCCCTTTTTGGCAGCCTTCTTGGCCAGGGCCTCATCCCACTCGGCATCATCGGCTATGGTGTATTTGTCTAAATCCAAGGCATTGATCAATTCTTTCTGTTTTTCCCGAATATCCTTCATGGCTTCATCCCCCGCATCATCCAAATCTTGGTTGAACTTGGCTTCGATGGCGTCATAGTCGACATCTTCCGCTTCGCCATCCATTTCCTTGACAACTTCATCATCCAACTCCGGCATTTCCTCAGCGATTTGCTTCAGTTGCAAATCACGGAACACATTCAGGAACTTACGGATGATTTTAGCAAACATGGCCATGGCTTGGTTCGATGCCAAGTTGAGCTCCTTGGAAATTGCATCGATATCCTTGCGTTGCAACCCAATCGCCAAAAGGATAGCTGCTTGCACCAGCAGCAACTTGAGTTCGCCAGCCTCACGACTGAAATAAAGATGAGCAATAGCCGGTAACAAGTCGACGATGACGTGGTAATCCAACAAGTTGTTGGCATACAGCTCAAGACGTTTCATATCATACGGGGTGAACAAATCCTTCAACTCCAGAATGGTCAAAGGCTTACGCTTAAGCCCCTTTTCCCCTACTTCAGCCAGCTCAATGATGGCTAAAGCTTGAGTGGCAGTAAATTTGCGGAACTCATACAGCAACAACAGGAGGAAACGGCGGTGAAAGTCGCTCGCAAATTCACCCAACCACTTGGAGTCTCGTCCTTCCAAGGACTTGAGCATAACAGTGGTATGCTCACCTGTGAGTTCGTTGGCAGTTTGTCTGAGGTAAACTGGCACATAACCAGCTCTCTTCCAGAATTTGTGAAGCAGTGGTGTAAGCCCGTACAGCACTCCTAAGTAGTGCAAGTAGTAGGGAGGCTTTTCACTTAACTTCATCAACAATGGCGGTAATTGCTTGGCGTCACGCAACTTGATTTCGTCCGACAACTTTCCTGATGCAATTTCTTCGTCAGTAACACGAGGGAATTGGGCTTCCTTGAGCGAGCTAGATTCAGAGATGTCAGTGAACTTGCCTTCAAAGTAATCCTGTAACAATTCCAACGCTCTCGAACCGTACCCCATACCCAGGTATTCGGGGTTGGTGGCAATACGAACCACTCTAGCACCCAGCAACAGCGCAAACTCCTCGTCCTGGAATTGCTGAGAGATCAACCAAGGGATCAAGTCACCACCTGCCCGTTGACCACGAGACAACGATTTACGTACACTTTCCTTCGAAATCTCCCCCTCAAGGGCCAATTGAACCACACAAAGAGGGTCGGGGATCCGGTTGTTACCGGGTTCGATTGGAGGTAACAACACAAACAATTGATGAGCAGGTGCATCCAGCATCAACTGTAAATCGTTGGGAGAATTCTTATAATGCAGAGCCACGTAAAGAGCCATCATCTTTTGAAGGAAAACTTCCAGCACGGGGTGATAACTGAACAAAGTGTCCCGGTTGACGAAGAATAAGTTACATTCATTGGGGTGAGGCATCCGGGGCAACTTCAACTTGTCAAGGGTGGCATCAAGGCACAACAACCGATTCAACCATTTTTCCATGGGGTCGCCAGGAGCATAACGGATCGGTTCGTCAAGAACAACCTCCTTCAATTGTCGATGTTGCGCGGGAGCCACATGCTTATCTTTCAGATCCCGCGACACCACTGCAGTCTCGCTGGCCCCCAGCACGCTTTGAGTTCGCAATTGCTGGATGAGTTTGAGCGACAACGACCGGCCAGTCCCTTCGTAACCGTTGATAGTAGATGACATAAACACCAAGTAAGGACCCAACAACCGCTTAACAATAGGCAACGGGATCGCAGCAGCCTCATCGATCACCAACAACTCAGCTTGACCCAACACCTGGTAGTCTTGAGGGGCAATATATTGGATCACTTGACGGTGGTCGGCATGCTTGATGTCCACCCGCACAATAGCCTTGTTGAACGAAGGGTTGGTCAGTTGAATGATATCGTAGTCAATATGTTCTTGATAACCCAATGCATCAAAACCTTTGAACACAAATTCAAAAAGAGTCTTCAAGTTTTCCGGCAGCGGCGAGGTGACGAATACATTCGAGTAACCTTGAGAAATGGCGGCAGCCATGGCGATACCGAGAGCAGCAGATTTACCCCGACCTCTGCCGGCAGTTAAAGCCACGGTGGCGTTGAGCGACTTTTCGGTAATGACATCAATGAATTGAAGAATTGCTTGTGCTTGATTGATGGTTTTCGACAATGCCACGAGAGACCCCGCAGGTTTGATATCAGCAAGCGACTCCTTAAGCTCTTTAAGTTCTTTGGCTTCGGGAGTTTGGTAATCTTCATCGGGAGGTGGAAGTGCCTTCACATGCTTACCACCAGATATCGGCAAAACATTCAACTCGTCATCAACAACTAAACAGTTGTTGCAATCACCCAACGACAATAAAAACCGTTCGTTGAACCGAGCCACAACATCATCGTGAGCCTCGGTCCGGTAACGCGAGTGGATGTCCATAGACATGGTATACAATTGCTTGAGTGAAGTCATGCTTTTCAACAAAATGACCACTAACCCACCACCTTCGACAGTTTCAACCGTTCTGGCGAGTAAATTGGGAGTGATACCCTCGAAGTCCTGAAGAATACACATACCATAAGTGTTCCCCAAAATCTTCTCGGTCTCCTTGTAGTAGACGTACCGGATTTGACGGTTGGAAATAAACGCTTCAAAAGGGTCCTGATCATTGGCCTCACGGATGCCTCTTTTAATATCTTTCTTGATTTTGTTTTCTCGCTTTTGCTTGTGAGACGTAAAGCCTAACAATTTCTTCTTGTAAGCCCACAACACCAGCTTGTTCGCCTTCAAGTCCGCACTCAACATGAGATAATGGAGATTTGGCAACTGGTTCTTGGCCCGATCACCAACAACGATGAGAAAACTCCGCTGCTTGGTTTGAACACCATTCCGAATGAGTGCCGGAATACGCAGATCGATCGCCTTCTTCTTCGTGGTTCCGGCCATACTGATGGTGCGTGCGATGAGATGCGATGCGCACGGTATCTCGAATATAAGATAATGAGCTACACTGTGATGCGAACGAAGTTCGTGTATGATAATGAACTAAAAAAATTCAGCTTACCCGCTTCTTCGTTGTGGACTCCGTTTGTTCAATCTTACGTTTACGATTTGAGGGTTTTGGTCCTTTCGTAGAGGTATCATCATCGGGTTCATCTTTGATGGTGGTTCCCTCCCATTGCCTAAAGCTCGACTCGTTGAAATCTGATACATCAATCTCGCCACAGGTATACTTGTTTTCGTTGTAATACTTGAGCGCCCAACCACCACGTTCTAACTCATCTAATGTAGCAGTGTCCGATTCAAGACCAAGCAATATAGGGAGGTACTCTTTCAAATATTCTGGAGCCAGGTACTTTATTTTCGTATCGGGTCTTTGGGGATCCAATACGTAGTACATGAACGCTTCGTCGCTGAAGAAAGGTGGCGCTCGGGGATTGATTCGAGCTAGTAAAGATAGTATAAGGGTTGCCGTTGCAGGACCCACACCACGTAGGACGCTTAGATCCTTAATTGCAACTTTCGCAGCTTCTATGTAGGCGTTATTCGATTTGATCCCGCCAATCTTTTGTAACCACTCTGTTAAACCTTTCGATGTAGCCTCTCTAACCTCTTCATCCGAATTTTGTGCAATCAACTTAGGGAGGGTTGCACGAAACTTTCCTTTCTGAAGCTTATAATCCATAAGGCACTGTAGTTCTGATTTCGTTAACCAAACTTCTTCCTCTGACTTCCATCGTTGCTCGAGTATCTCAGGGAGCTCATTGTATCGCCAATCATCAAGCTCCTCAAACAGTTTCTTATGCCATCTCCCGGACTTCTCTTTAGCAATTGATTCGATCACTTGACCGTAGAAGCCGTCTCGCTTGCTTGCAGTAATAACATCCGTTAACATGTGCGGTGCGCCGTTGAAGCGGAATCGCATAAACCTAATCTTTAACTGATAGACGTGTACGAAACATATGGATTCACCAAAAATATTAAAAGTAGCTATGTTTGGGAAGCTGTCATTCATTCGACGCTCACACTTGAAGGGAAGGTTAGCTCATAAATTTACGAAAACTGTAAATTATTGGAAATACCGATAGTTATCCATGGCCTGATTCAGTGGGCTTAGATATTGGAGTATCAAAACGCGTCGGCAAACACTCAGAATTTACTGTTATGGCCATTTCGTCTTTCGTAGTCGACAACGTCTTCGGCGAAAGTCTATCACCGAACAAGAAGAAATTTATTGTACTGCACCAAGTATTCCAATGGTCTAAATGATCGGGTAACTTATGTGTTATCTATAAAGTAAACACTTCATCTTATATTGCTGATAGACTATTCTATACTCAGTTCAAGCCAAGCGAATGTTTAATTAAGGTGCTATGTTACAATTGGTTGTATTATTCTCTATATAACTCTTGAAATGTATTGAAAACTCTTTACTTAATTGGAAAACGTACTAAGAAAAATATTAAAAACAGAACAATAACCAATATCGACGAAATTCATTAGAATTCAAAGATGATGGAAAATTACCAGGTATGATAAAGTGCCGATCAATTTTTGTCAGAAAAGTCTTTGGTAGTATAACGGTTAGTATTTCCGCTTGTCACGCGGGAGATCGGGGTTCGATTCCCCGCCAAAGAGCTTCATCCGGTATGGTGTAATGGCTATCACGGTTCGCTTTCACCGAGCAAATCAGGGTTCGATTCCCTGTACCGGAGTTCTTTTTATGTGGCAGATTGACTACACCCGTTGATTTATAAGAGCAACCCTTCATTTTTGAGATACAACAACCAATGCGGCCGCAAAGTTATATATCCAACTCATGACTTCGTATTCTTGTTTCCAGATGGGTAGATGAAGCTATCCAGAGACCGATGACTGACAAATGGCGGGGGGTAGTCGTCAGCGATCTCAGGCTGAACATACGCAACTGCTCCAGGAGCATATCGAGCTTCAAAGTCCCGCCGCAAACGAGCATCCTTCTTCTTGCCATGATTATACTTGTAGAAGCAATACACGGCAATACCAGGAAGACCAAAGAAAAGCCCACTGCACAATATATAGCCCACCTTATACTTGGCTTGATATTTCACGTAGACAGGCTCACCACTCGCAGACCACATAACTTGTGGATTATCATCCATAATAATGACTTTGCCAGGTCGTGCTGTTGTAGAGGTATCCATTTCGAAATTACGGGTTCAGGGTGACATCCCCGGGAGATTTATATGCGTTCAGCCCTGACGAGACGCATGGGGCTTAGACGATGGTCCCGAAACCCCCAGCCTCATGACTGGAATTTCCGCATCGAGTGCTCATAACGTTGACTGACGATCGAAATTGCATGGACATACGTTACGGCTGACGAAGTGCCGGCATAGCGATCAAATCTGTTGGCTACAATGCGTATCCTAGTGTAATGAGAGTGAAAATACACTGTTTTCATGTACAAGGGTTCGTCTAAATCAACTCGTCAGCAATGCCGATCATGGATTTTAATAATTATGCACTTCTACATTTATTGCAAAGGGATCAGACCCAATACCTCGGAATCATTGTCTTCATCGCTGCCAACTCCTTTTCGCCAGCGTTCACGATAGTGATAGACCAAGTCTAGAGCTCCTAAAGCACTTCCGTTACCCCGCTTAACCAAACCCAGGAAAAACAACTCGAGCCGCTCGAAATCGTCCTCGGAAGTCACAAGACGCGTTACCACCAAATAGGGCAGCTGGATCATGAACGTTCGAATATCAAATAGCAGACTTGGTAGAAAGTAATGAGCAGTTTCGGCCAAAATATCTTGCTCTTTGCTATATTTGGCATAGTTATCTTTCAGTCGCAGCTTAATGAATCGGAGAGACCTTATCAATTTGCGGATGATCCTTTTCATCACCCCACTCAGTCGTCGAGCCCCAAATAGACCTTGAGTGCATACTAACTGAAGATAATGTGCATCCAAATGAGTTTGTTGGGATAAATCAAACCAAGAGTAACATTTGTCTCCTTCCCACCAGTAGGCCGCTTTAGTATACACCTGTCGGTCAGGCCCAATATACTTTGGATGAGCTGGAGAGTCTAGGGGTATTTCGTAAGTTTCGCGATTGAATCCAGGGCAGATTTCCTCTTGAGCAGTGCGTTCGATTGCCACCACAATTTTTGCGGCATCTGTAGGGTCATAGCCATCATCAGGATATTTTCGACAATACAGAAGCGCCTTAGCAATCTCAAATGAGATCCTAATCAAGTTAACCGTGACTCCTAAGTACAATGAGAACTCAGTGACTCGAGGATTTGTGGGTGTGGTCAACATGCCAATCCGGCGTAGCACCAAGTTATACAAGGGGTCCAGCGCTTCGTCGTAACATCCGTTCTGCAAGAATAACTTGGCGTGGACATCAGCAGTTTCAGAGTCATACAGCAATACCCCACCGAACGGGCTAAACAAACTAGCCATAGCTTCAGCAGAGAAAAACCACATCTTAGCCAAGGCAAACCCGTTGCTCAAAAATTGCTTCAGACTTGTGATGGAGCTGTAACTCATTAACACGTCACGAGCTTTATGAAGATGAATTTGCCATGAATTCATCACCAAGGAGCTGCTATATGCCATCAGTGAAAATGTCAGTGTGAGGACGAGTACCGTAAGCAAAAGATTTTCGATGTCTTGGGCTTGGCTTTGTTGAAGAGGTCCCAAACCCTCCGTTTTGATGTGATTAGTGAATGCATCAGATAACAGCAAAAGACAGATTTTGAGATATTTCTGACGAGCCTCCGAATGGACTTTGCGACCTGTTTGATTGTAACGAAACGTTGCCAGAGTCGCCAAGAGTGCTGTCAATAGATAAGGACACTCTGACGCTCGGTCTAGAAGAAGCTTCACCACCCCATTGCTATCAATGGAGGCGGCAAATGGAAAGAAGTTGTACAGCATGTCGCCATTAGATAACAAATCAAGGTAGGTAATGTGTGGCTCGGTAAGATGCTGCTTTGTCACCACTTCTATCATCAACCAGTCATTCAGCTTTTGTAATATTTCATCGACGACAACGAAACTTGAAGCCGGCGGCGGATCTTGAATGGCAAATTGGCTCAATAAGTCGTTTACCTGAAAGTCAGGGTTGAACAGATCCAGACTTGGCGGTCTCCCAGGTAAATCATGGAATTCAGGTTGGCTATTCCCCTGAGCGTGGAGCAGCTCATCCATAAACTGGTTCATATTGCCCACCAACAGGGACGCTTCATCAAATACAGATTGGATGTTATCGATAGGGTCAAACACGACATCAGTCACCAGTGCGGGCTTCATCAACGTACCCTTTGTTTTAGGAGCCTTGTTGGGGTAAACATGTTCAAAGCGGAATGTTCCGCCAGTCATGTAGACACACAGTTTGCCGAGCCGCGAGCACTGGAGGCAATCAGGTTTAGTTTCATCACATTTGATTTTGCGACGCTTGCACTCTTGACACCCTTTCCTCAGGTATTTTCGCTTCTGGATTTTGGGTTTTTGCAGGGGCATGGTTTCCCCATGGAATAGCTTGCCCTTTTTAGAGAGCCGCGAATGCGCAGACCACAATTTACGCGGGGTAACAGTAGGGGTGAGTCTGGCGCGATGGCTTCCCCAGATATTGACCGCTACACCGTGATACTAGATGACGGAGAGACATGTGCCACATTTTACCCTGTTTTCAATGCTGACGAGATTCCACGAGACCTATTCGAGTTTTTATGCAATGAGATAAACATGGAAATTGACAAGGGCGAGACACTTCCGTTCTTTGACTCGTTGACCGAGGCGGAATTCGAGGACTACTGGTTTGGCGGCTCCTTTGCAGTGTTTATGGTCATAGGTGATGATGACTGTCTTGTAAGCGGACGCCAATGGGAGCGAGAGTGGTTGGGTAGTTTCTTCTTGTCACCAAAATACCCAAAGCGAAGTGGACACATTTGCACGGGCAATATGCTTGTGAACGCAGGGATTCGAGGGAAGGGGATTGGCAAGATTTTGATGGAGTGTATGTTGCGATGGGCACCCCTCTTAGGTTATACCTACGCCTTTTTCGACTTGGTGTACGCGACCAACTTATCTGCCACTCGATTGTTTGAAGCGTTTGACTTCAAGCAGATTGGCAAAATTGCCAACGCCGGGGTTGTCAAAAATAGTGCCCTCCCCATTGATGCGTACTTTTATGGCCGGGGTATCCTGATCAATGAAGCTAAACTAGACCCCAACAAAGTGCCATCGCGATTTGAAAAGTTACGCTACTATCTTCAAACTGGCAAGTACCCTGAAAATTCTGGACGGTTGGAGAAGCTGAGAATACGAGCGAGTGTACTGAACTACTCGCTTGTTGGGGGAGCACTTTTGTTCAAAGGTCGCGAGGTGATCGAAGATCCAATACGTCAAATTGACCTAATAACTGAATGTCATCTTGCAAACGACCACTCAGGGATCAATAAAACCACTATGATTATTGCTGAGCGATATCACTGGCTTAAGATTAAGCTGACGGTGGCGAAGACACTTCGATCGTGTCAAGTGTGCAAGTATAACCCAAGTCGTTCTCATGGATTGACCGGCGACTCACCAGCATCTACAGTAGTTGATGGCTCTGATTCCGAAGGTAATGATTAGCCAGAGGAATTACTCGTTTATTCATCATCGGTGTCAAAAATATCATTAGCGATACGCATCAACTCCTCCACAACCTTAGACTTATAGCCCAAGTCTTGAGGGTTCAACGAATCATCGTTAAGAATGGCTGGGCCCCATATGATCGCTAACAGCTTTGCATTCATACGATTGTTCTTCTCATGAGCAGCAACCTTATTCAAATGGAAAATAAGAGCCCGAAGAGTGAAGTAAGCTCCATCAGGGAGCTTGAACACAAGATGATGCATCTTTTTAGCAATGTAAGTTTCGTCCATCAGTTTTACAGTCTCGATAAACAGCTGGCAATACTCACGTGTAAGCAACGGCTCAGGTAATAAATTGAAATAAAGCTTCAACAACGAAGCCACGCAATAAATGTCACCATCTAACACATTTCTTTCATCGATATTCAGACCAATAAGGAGGTAATTGGTGTACTTTTGATCAATTTGGTCACGCAATTGCTGGACAGTTGTTTTTGAACCCAGCGTACGATAAATCCCCTCAATATCCATCCCATACTGCTCAATGACATCAATGCATCGTTTCACCACGAGAGGAACATTATCGATGCCAGCAAACGTAATCACTTCTTCAACAGACACTCCAAAGGTAGGTTGAGCGAGGTTTAATGGTTTGGGTCCGGTAAGTTCGCCAATTTTAGGAGTTCCCGATGCCAGAGGATCAAGTGAAGAGTACATATATCCATCTTCTTCTTCATCTTGCTCGTTCGACATTGGGTAGGGGGTGGAAGATGGTGGAGCCAGAGTTGATGTCGAGGGCGGTTCATAGGTAGACTGATAGGAGGGCGGCAATGCTGGTGAAGCTGCAGCGCCAATAGCAGCGCCCGTGGCAGCCCCAGTAACAGCGCCAGCAGCAGTACTTGTGGCAGAGGTCCCGAACCCAGATGATGGGCCGGAATTGGAGGGAGGAACCAGATTTGTGCCATTGTTAGTGGGAACATGAGCCTGAACCGTTGTATGATCAGGCTTATTCAAGAATGTTTTTGGTTGCGTTGCCTTCAGGTATTTAGCAAGCAGTGGATGCACTTGATACTCAACTGGTTGCAATGCTTTGGTGGAATTTGGAGCCCGCTCGTGCTTCATCAAGTAGTCGTACAAATCTTTCTCGTTATCAACCCCCAGAGCAATTTCACGCAAACTCGGCTTAGTGCCTCCTAAAGGCACCGCCAAAACCCCCAGATTCATGATTAAGTTCTCATTCCAAGTAACATACTTTTGCAATTGCAAATTCATGGCGATGTCCATTTGCAAAATGAGTTCTTTGAGTTTTTTCGAATTGTTTGGTCGATGCAATACCATTATTTCGTCTTTAAGCTTCTTGCATGTGGTGACCTTCATTTTGTAGTCTTGATCCGCAGCATTCACTTTACGTTGCATGTCTTCTTCCTGTTGCGTGACCAGTCGGTTCCGCAAACTGAACAGCTTTTTGTTTGGATCAGCAGTTCGGAGTCGATCTAGATCCTCAGCAAGATGAAAATATTTCAACTTTGCCTTCTCTGCGGCGACAATGGCGTCCTGACACTCTTTTTCCTTACGCTTGCCTTCTTCCTTAATCATCTTCCTCAGTCTCAGAACTGTGTCGACTAAACTCATGAGTTCATCAAACATGACATTGAGTGCCTTAACGTAGGCGTTGCCCACACCGTATTGGGTGTCGTCGAACTCCACGATCTTATCGAATTGACGAGAAAACGAGTCTTGTTTGAGCTTTCCATTGTTGGCGGACACTTGGCGAGTATGGGCAGCGGTCTTTTTCAACTGGGTATAGTGGTCGTCCTCGACTTGGGCCTTCTTCTTGATGTAGCGAGCAAATTCCTCACCCGTATTAAGCAGCTGCTTTAGCCGGGTAAGCAACACATCAAGCGCCAGATCGGAATTAAGAAACGACTTCACCCGGTCTTGCTCGAGGAGCTTGGCCAGGGGACTCGACGTCAGCATAGTGGGGTGAATCAAGCTAATCGAAAAACTGCGAACAATACCGTGTTTTGTATCTGTCACGCACGTAAACTAAAAGTGAGGCAGTGTCGACGATCCTGGCACGGCGCAGTAAAAACAAGAGTGATCTTTATTTAGAAACGCCCGGAGCCAGCATTTTACGGTAGGAGAAAGAAAGCTTTTTCGGGTGGCAACAATAAGCCATCAATTGGATGATGCGTGGCCTTTCTTGACTGTCGCACACTAGGGGCTTCAAACGTTACGTGTTAATTAATCATATATATGCGTGAACTGAGGTTTGATATCACTAACAATTATGTTGTACAAAGGTTTGGACATGCAAGTTCGAGCTAGCCACGGTAGTCATTGTCTCGAAAGGTGAGACCCCTATATCTTCGAAATACGAATGTGCATAATGCTTCGCGAGAATAGCTCCGTTATGAGCGCGATGCCGTAACCCCATATATCGCTGATTATGCAGGAGAGTTGCCAAAACCTGCGCTAGTTGGTTGTTGTTGCAAATACTCTTTCAGTTGGGTATAGTAGGGCTGGGAATATTGTGAGCCGTTGGAATGGAGTGACGTGCCTGTAGTAAACAGCGTCATGGGCATGTCTCGACTTGAAAAATCGGGCTCATAGGGCAGTCCTCCGTAACCACCCGTGGGCTTATAGTTTTGAAACTGGTTTTGAACTGGACCAGTTTCTTGTGCGCTCCCCGTAGGTTTGTAGTTTTGGAACAGTGCCGGCATTGTTTCCTGTGGATTCCCCGTTGGCCGATAATTTTGAAACAGAGTAGGGGGAGGTCCCGTAACTTGCTGACCGGGAGGATTAGCTGTCGGCTTATACCCTTGGAATTGTCCAGCATCAGCTCCTTGGTAGCTCTGGTATTGATTTTGAGTTGGTTGACTTGCCTGATAGGGATAGTTGCCGGTTGGCTTATACTGCAGAAACTCACCAGGAGTAGCGTAGCCCTGTCCGGTTGGTTGATATCCCCCTTGAGAAGACTGTCCGTATTGTCCAGTGCTTTGCGATGGCTGTTGAAAACCAGTATACGCTGGATTGTGGGAGGGTTGCGTATATTGGTCCCTCTTCGCAGCGATTTGCTGGTCCACCAATTCATTGTACTCTTTGAGTTCCTTGTTAACCAGAGTGTGCAACTGCATCAATTCCTCCTTGCGGCCTCCATACTTGTCGATAAACTTTCCCACCTGAGGACGTAAGGGTACAATCTCATTATACAATGCTGTCACTTCATTTTCGTCGGCATTGGGACTCAGTAATAGAGCCATGAGACGATCAACTTTGTTAGATTCCCGTTCCAAAATACGCTGCTCAATCGCCTCCTCTTTCTTCAACTCCTCGGGAGACTTTCTCACAATAGGGGTAACGTAGTTCAAAGGGAATATACCGATGGTTCCATTCGGCAAAAAACCCCTCCACCAATCACGATATACACTTTCAATCACAGTGATGACATCACCTTTACGAAATGACAATTCGTCAGGTTCGTAGCTAATGAGGTCGTAGAGAGCTCTGACCTTGGAAACAGTGGCGATCGAGGCTGGATCCAGACCAGATGGTTGGGCCGCCGGAACTTGTCCCTTTTGTTGAGGTTGATGCTGCTTTTCCCAAGTCTGTTGTTGTTTCTCTTGCTGCTTGATCTTCGCCATAGTTTGCTCACGCTCATATTCTTGGAGTGATACCTTGAGAGCCCTTTGCAATTCATCATCTTCTCTTTGCTTATCTGCTGGAGTCATTTGCTGCTTGGCTGGCTTCGATGGAGCAGGCGCAAACGTCAGCCCTACACTCAGATTGTCGTTCAAATACTGAGGAAATTGCCGTTGGATTTGAGCGTATGCGTCTGCCATGGGTCTAAGACTTGGATCCAGTCGGAACAGCTGATTGAGCTGACCAATTGCTGCGGCAACGGCCACCTTGATGGTGCGGTGAGTCTTGCGATCCCCAAGCTTTCTGAGGAGGCAATCGTCCAAAAACCGTTTGGAAGCTAATTCCTGTTTCATACGACTCCCACAGTTTTCACCCATTGCTACCATAAGTGCCAATGACCGGAGAACAACGTTGGCATCTTTCTGATTCAACCTTGCTGTAAGAGAGGCCATCGCTTCCTTCGTGCCTGATTCGGGATTGGCGGAAATGGCATCCGTAACGTCAAGAATATATTGCCAGTTGTCGGTGGTAAGCGTAGCATCGGTTGCCTTCTCTATAAGGCTGTCGATGCTGGTCATTTGTGTCTGGTGGCGACGGTTAGCCTGATAAGGGTGCTCGTGCGCGCCGCATTGAAGCGGAACCGCCCACCCCCCTCATCACGTGACTCAATGAGGGATGACAAAGTGTTTGGAGGCGAAGTCGCTGATCTGCTCTCATCACCTCGGTTCAATTCAGCGCCGGTGGGCTGAACTCGCATGAATCGGCAGTGTACCACAAATTATGACCAAAACCAAAATTGCGTTTTTCTCCATGCCCCTGAATACTCCCCTCGGTAACCCTTTACTCGCCACACGAACCTCTTTGCTCTCTAACACATCCCCTAATTAACGGTAATGATACGTCTCGTGTACGGCTCACCCACCTTGTGATGCGCGACGTGGCATACAAAGATATCGAATGTTAGGGGCTTAGGGCATAACGCGTACACTTAGTTCAAGGTCGACTACGGTGAATAGATTCGTTCATATGTAGGGAAACATCATCATTTAGTCATCGGAAACCGCCACAAAACCGCCTTACCCCAGAGAGTTGGTGTCCGAAAGCCAATATCGCTGCGCCCCTATTTCTCAATGTACGCTTAAGTTATTCTCGTCATATGGTCTGCTTATGTGCACTCCACCCATCTCGACGCGATGATTTAAATCTGGTAAATCCTAGCCAAAGACGCCATGTCGACGTCACTTAAGCCTGCCGCCAACATCCGCTCCCGTGGTCAGAGCATGGGTCGGATCAACGTCGGAGACACTGCCGCTCTGCTCTCAACAATGCCGTTATCGCCTCTGGCTCGTCGGAACTCACAGGCTCGACAAGACGCCATTGACGACACCAAGAACACCGCCCCTTGGTTGGCACGCTTCGACCAATTTTGCTCTCAGCAAACTTGGGTGAAGCCGTTGTTGGCTTTGCTTTTCACCCTTGTGTTGTATCGGTTGGTACCGGAAAAGTCGGGATGCCGCAAAGTGTTGGAGGCGTTCATCTTCCCGTCGTATAAGTTAGAGAACGGTGAATACGGGAAGGGTGAAAACGACTTCTATTTCGTATTTTACTATGCACTTTTCTTCACGTTCTTGCGTGAGTTTGTAATGTGCGTAGTATTGCGTCCGTTGGCCAATTATTTTGGTATCACCAAGGAAACGAAAGTGAAGCGGTTTATGGAACAAACTTACGCCATGTTCTATTATGGGATTCTGGGGCCCTTCGGTTTATACATTATGAAGCAATTGCCTCTCTGGTACTTTAACACCTACTACTTTTACATTGACTTTCCTCATCGCACCCACTCGCTTTTGTTCAAGATCTATTACCTTGGTCAAGCAGCTTTCTGGGTTCAACAGTCGATTGTGCTTCTTTTGCAATTGGAAAAGCCAAGAAAGGATTTCAAGGAACTCGTTTTTCACCACATTGTTACGATTGCGCTTATCTGGACGTCGTATCGTTTCCACTACACGTGGATGGGTATTGCTGTCTATATTACTATGGATGTTTCGGACTTTTTCTTGGCGACGTCTAAAACACTCAATTACCTTAACTCGCGGTTGACTCCGATTTTCTTCGTGTTTTTCGTGTTTGTATGGGGTTACTTACGTCATTACCTTAACCTCAAGATTTTGTGGTCCGTGCTTACAGAGTACAAAACTGTTGGTCCTTATGAGCTCAACTGGGAAACGCAACAGTACAAGTGTTGGATTTCGCAACCTATGGTGTTTACGCTCATCTTCTTGTTGCAACTTGTTAACCTTTACTGGTTCTTTTTGATCTTACGCATTTTGTACCGATTTATCTCTTCTGGGGTGGAGAAGGATGAACGTTCTGACGACGAATCGGAAGAAGAAGAAGACTCGAAGAAGAAGCAGTAGATTACGAAACCTAATATTAATGACTTGCTAAAGCATTACCCATGAAATCATCTCCAATTTATGGTTATTTTAATATAGGTAGGCTTATTGACAAAAGAAGCATAATGCCACTCATTATTAGTATCACATCACACGCGGGCCCATCGAAAATATCCTTGCGCGTCGCGTCCAAATACCTCCAGCCATGACCTATGTTAGTCTGCCACCACCGCCTGACTTGCTGTCGATGGCTAATGCCCCGACATCCCCTACTCCAAGAACATCAGCAGAGCCCCCAGACTCGATTGTTGATACGGTGCATGTTCGTTCCATTTGGGATACTGCTGATGGTAAAGTCTCGTTATACTTAGGTCAAGCAAATTCTCTCCTCGCTGAAGCACGGAAATTGACAGATAGTACGCGTCACTACCATGCTATTCATCTTGCTTTGAAGATGTTGACGCTTGCACTCAGACATTGCACAAGCACCCCACAAAAGTTTGACATCATCATCTCGATTTTTGCGATTTACATTGATGATCTTGGCGATAATATAATGGCTGAGGAATATGCCAATAAAGCTATTGAACTTGTGAATGACTCAGATCGACCAGTGGTTGACTTTAACTTGGCTCGTGTTATTTCACTTGTATCGTCAAATACCTTTGCCATAAATCATATATCAAAGCATACGTCAGGGTCATTAACGGAGCTTTTGCGCATTAGGTTGTTACTAGCTCTGCCGGCATCTACAGAAACTGCAAAAATAAGACTTGACAAGTTGATTGCCTCAAACCACAGCATGTCATCCGAATTCCTCGCGTACCTATACGCGATCAAATCCGTTATACTATTGAAAACAGCAACTCCGACACAAGTCCTTGACCTAGAGTATCCGCCTGTTGAAGCGCCTCAGTTAATAGCCATCAAATATTTGATGAAACTTTTGGCGGCGGTGCGGGTCCCACTGATTGACAAAATACGGCACTATATCAAGAAATTAAACCATTTTATTGGATTTCATCAACTGGGTGGTTGGAATCGATGGGATATGACAGGCGTATTTGACTTGGAGCTACTCCATGGTGCTGCCTTGAAAGTCGAATGGCTTACCCCCTCGGAATTGATCATCGTGTTTTACATCATTTCTGGAATAGGGTACATCACCATGAATGAAACCGGTAAACTGATGAAATCTTTCGAGAAAGCCAGGACTGTTGTGGAGAAGTCTTTGGTCAGACTCACCGAAGGTGATGAACAAGCTCATGGATGTCAAAGTGATAGTTTGCGGAGAAAAATGACACACTATAAAATCTCAATTATTTTTTATCAAGCGTGGTACAATTTTAACCGAAACAATTATGAACTTGGTGAGTTATCTGATTTATTAGATCACTACAATCAGAGAAAATGTTCCTCCTTCGAAACTGAAGCCGTCGAGCATTTGAGGCCACAAATCTTATATTTGTTTGGGATTTATCATATGGCGAAACGACAATACTCAAAGGCAGAGTCATTTTTCGAATTGATAACTGATATGGATGACGTATTAGCCTTTGCTTCGTTACAACTTCTTATTCTTGCAAAACAATCGCAAGACGAAGGTCAGAAGAAACTCGAGTTTATCAAAATCCAAGAATATCTCAGCAACATTCATACATCACGTTATAACGGCACCACTATGTTTGGCTTTTCTTACGAAGTTGTGAAGACCATATTTGCTGACAGTTTCAATACAGAGTGTTTGGAGGTGGCCATGATGAACGACGCTGTAAAAGCATTTCCAATACTTCATAAAATTATAGCGTTGTTGGTAAGCGAGCAATCTATGAACCCACAATTGAAGCAACAGGCTTTGATATATTTGCAAGATTCAACTATTTCAAAGGCCTCTGGCGATGAGACTGAAACGAGAATCAACGCTTTAATTCTCGAAGTGCTATTAAATCATTTCAAAGAAACCGGAGATCAAGATAAGTTTAATTTAGCTGAATTGCAGTTGAAGTATTACAAGCGAGTGTTGAATGAATGACTGTTGGTGGGCAGGGCACTCGAATAGTTCTGCTGCTTGCAGTTTCGTTTTTAACGATAGACAAAAAGGTATTGGATGATGTATATATATATCGCAGGACGATATTAAGCTGCATATTCAAAGATTTTAGGATATTTATTAAATGGTTATGTGGTACAGCGACTCTACTCAGCGTTGTCACTAGAAACTTCTTGCTTGCTTTCGGTAATAGCCTTCTCCACAGAATCCGCTTGTTCCGTTTTGGGCTCTTTCTTAAGCTCGTTGGGCAATTCGGGATAAATATCTCCAATCTTTGACCAACTCAAATTACTCAAGCGGTCATCTTCTTTCAAAATATTATTGGACTGAAGTACGAGAACCATGTTTTTGAGCAATTCGGGAGCTGCTTCGTCAAAGTCCTTAGCTGAATCTTCCGACACTTGTTTCCTCATCGCGACAAAATTGTCCAAAATGTACAACCAGACTTGCTCAACTTTTTCAGCAGTGAAAGTGGCGCAATACTGTAAGAATACCTTCGAAACCAAGGATAAAGATTCAATTTGAGTTGACACAAATCCACGACGGTCTGTTTCGATCACTTCAACTTTACAAAGCTCCACGAGCAAAGGGAACAAACCATATTCGAACAACCCAAACGCAGTAAGACTGGTTGAGTCGTCTTCCGAATTCTCTTCAAGTTCAGTGGCTAGGATCGTGCTTCTCAAAACCCCCATAGAGAAGCCACGCACCTCACGGCATGGATTGAAACATTGATGAGCAAGAGCTTGTAGAAGAGAGTATCTCAAACCAGTGAAATCAGGACGTTTCGTTATGGGTGCTAATTCAGCAGTCAAGCAGATCAGCCGCTTAGCATGAGTGACGACGTCTAATTGTGCTTGAGTAGGTTGAGGGCGTTTCTCACCTTTTGGCACGGGAAGCTCTTGCTGCTGCTCCGCCGCCGCGCCAAGTGCACCCATCAGGGAAATCTCGTCAAGAAGACCCAAAATAAACATGAAGTTATTTGGATCGATGTTTTCAGGTTGTGAACTCTGGCACAATCTCTCAATGAAGTCTAATATATCACCACTGAATTGTTGAAGAGACCCTAATACACGTAACACCTTCCAATAATCTTGAAGATGCAACACCATCGGAATCAGACGTGGTAATTCTTTGAGGATTGCATCCAAAATATAATCTCCGTTTTTGGCCAAAAATTCCTTGTCCACTCCTTGGATTTCTTTTAGGATAAGTTCGGCAAACTGTTGCTGATGTTCAGTTGATTTCAAACCAGTTGTTAATTTCAATTTCAAGGTAATCACCTTGATGGACGCTTGCTTAGAGAAACCCTTGATTTCGTTGGCGGCTGCTAAAACTTTCACGATTTCATCTTCAGTATTAGCAAATTGAACTGATAACTGAAGTAAAAGCATCAGTTCTGCTTCAAAATAACGCTTTGTAGAGTCATCCAACGTCGGAATAAGACTAAGGAAAAGATCAACAAAACTTGCACCGGCAACCTTTTTAGATGTGGTCAACATTCTTTCAAATATAGTCGATAATTGCAACAGAGACACACAATCTAGCGTTGACATCGTAGCGTCGATCTCCGCGGCAGTAGGCTCTGGTTGAGATTCACCGCCGTATCCCTTGAGGAAAGACGAAAATGTCAGCAAGATTCCCAGGTTATTGACACCACTTTTGATTTTACTAATGATGTATTTCGGTTTGACTGTGGGCAATTCAGAGTCTGGGAGAAGCATCAGCGAGTCGACAAGACAATTCTCGTAAAGCGTCAAAATAATACGCATAGCCAACTTGCCCAGATCATCTTTCCCAAGGGCGTAACCCACTTTTTTGAGAAGCCGAAACAAAACCACAGTCGAAATTTGAGCTTTAAAGTCACGACCAAACCAAACGGAAAGAGTTCCGACGGTAATAGTTTTGGTGTCGTCACCATCCTCGATGGTAACTTGAGTGAGGGGTATCGACTCGCGTAAGTCGTCATCAAGCGTTTCCACAGGCACACGAATTGAAGAATCGAGCAAATGAGTACATTTGCAAAGCATTTCAACCAACAGCTCATAATGTGACTTGAGCAGATAATGTAAACAAATATTAGCACATTTATCCACTGCCAGCATGATTCTGGTGATGACATGATCATCCGATGCTTCTCCAAAGACCAGAAAAAGCGTTTCAAATATTTTGGATGCGATGCTGTCAAAAAATGCCCGATCGAATTGAGCTTGATCTTGGGGAGACACTTCAGAATCTGTTCCGTGAGTCTTAGTTTCAGCCTGCACAACATTATTCCATACATCATCAAACCATTTATCTGTGCCATGGTGTTCTTCCGGCATGATAATCTCTCTGTCCTTGATCAGATTATAGATCTTGCTCAAATACCATTCCGGATAGTCCTTACCATTGCATTGACCTCTTAAATTACGTTGGTAATCCGCGAGTAACATTTGCTTCTTGACTTGGGGGTTGTGCAAGTCAGTGTTGAGCATAATGATGGAGTACAGTAAAATGAACACCGAGTCACGATCGGGTCGCACAGGTTCGCGCCCCTCTTCAGCTTCCTCCTCGTCATCAGTGTAACATTCGACATACCTCTCCGCAAACAATTCCACGATTCTCTCAATTTGTTGAGATTCACCAGGCAAACGGAATGTCTTGAGCAAAATTCTAATGGCCTCATCCACTCTCATGTTTGTGAAATCCAACAAGCCAATGAACTCCTGCAAAAGCTGTTTCGAAGTGGGCTTCGCTAAATACTCGCCAAGAATCTTTTTGTTAAGACGTCCCAGCTTAGACAAGAAAAACTCTGCCAACTCCTGAAAGTTTGTCGCGCTTGAGATGAATCCATTCTCCACAAGCTTGGCAATGCCATCTTTGGGTTTCTTGTTGAAAGTGTGAGTGCATTGAACGAAAGCAGTTTTCCGCGCACGGTTGTCAAGGCGCGAGTGTGAATTACCCACCAATTTTGGTGCACGCTTTAATTGTTCATTTAACGCAAACACTAACAGCAAAATCCCTTCCAAACAGATAGGGGGTACATTGTCTGTAGTTATCTGAGCCAGTTCAGGTAGCGCCAACTTGCAAAGATTATCCACAACTTGATGGGCGAGATCCAGTTTTTCAAAATCGCAATCGTGGTATATGAACAAATTCACAAAAAATTTTCTAGGATCACGAGTCCACAACAATGACAACAGCTCAAGCAATATCTCCTTCGAGAGACCCAGACGTACAATCACTTTAGAGTTGGGGGTTGCTTGAGCCTTCACCGCAGCCTGTGGGGTTTGACTACTAGCAAGAATCGACTCGAAGATGAGCTTCAACGCGAGCTCCATTTGGGGTTTGAGCTCATGCCCCATAATTATCGCAATTGTGGTCAACAACTGCATCAGAGCTTGTAATAATGCCGATGATTCTGTGGTGGCAATAATCTGAAGAGTGTGCTTGAATACCGGATCAGCAACTACCCCTAAAAGCGCCGGATGGTTCAAAATATCACGCCCAGCTACCTCAATAGCAGTATTGATAAGCAGTAAAGCAAACACACGAGTCAGTTCCATGTTAGAGTACTGTGATCCAGGGGCAATCATCAGAACAAGAATGGTGAGGAAATCGTTTATCGCAAGGATACCGAAAGGCTCTTCCTGGGGATTCGTCAAATTTTCAGTATCTTTTTCAGCCTCGCCTTCTTTGGTCTCAATAATGGATTCTTCAGTGGCTTCCGCAATGTCCGAAGTAATATTCGCATCTGAAGTATCGTTAGCTTCACCATCAGCGCAAGCACCGATCGTATCTTTGGGTAAAGAGTTGGGATCAAAGTGAACTGTTAAATCGTCATCGTGGCGCGAAGCAGGAATTTGAGCCAATCGTGAGAAAATGCGGAACGTCATAGCTTCCATGGCCATCTCCGCGGCCCGCCGCAACACCTCTGAACGGCGCTTATTGATAGCAAGCAGCCAGCAAACTTGTACAACCTCCAGAATCAGTTCATTCGACAACATGTTAGATAGAGGCAGCTCCAAGATGATTTCAAGCAAACGCAACACCTTGAGAAGCACGGCATCGTCCAGATTTTGATCACCTTGTTCAAAACGACATTTACATAGAGCTGACACCACTTGGATGAGCGCTTGCTGTAAATTTCGCAGCTGCACACTGATGATCTGAAATGTCAAGAATTTCAGCACTGCATTGAGAGCAAGACGAGTAATGTGTCCAGAGGTTTGGGGCGCCTTGATAACCATCAAAAACGGCTGTAATAGCGTTAAAGAATCCAATGAGTAAATGTTGTCAGTTGAAGTTAACATCAGTCGTAATTGCATGAAGCTCAGTGTCAAGGGGTCTCCTTGTGATTGACGCGTAGTCAAATTCTTCAGCGAGCCATTATTCATGATGTCATCATCCTCACCGAAGAAGTCACCACCAAGAAGCGCTGCAACACCAGACAGATGGCGTTGGGCTTTCCTCATTGCCAGCAGAAGGGCTATACATTCGTTGATAGCCAAAGTTGTGGGATCGATGGCAGGTTTCACAGTGCCGTGATCCTCAGGGCCTCCTGAATATGAAGGATCCCCGGGCAACAGCACATTAGACCCAGCACCAATGCCCCCGAGCGTGAACATATGGCTGGGGGCTGGTGTGGGCAGATTGAACCGGGCCAGCATGGTGGTGATTTGGATACGTGGTAACCGAAAAAGTCTACGCGCGTGCGCGCTACCTCCCTCCACCAGCATGGGGGAGGCACAGAAATTAAATGAGAATATACACCGATCTACGTCATCCTGCAAATCACACTATTGAAAATTTGACTGATAGATACTGGTTTCTCACAGCTTCTGAACTGTCTTCAAAAGTAATGCGTGTTATTTATTTACAGGCTGGAATACTACATGCGATATCCTATGTAAGCTTTACAATCTAGTCACTTCCAATTTGATATTCTATGTACAAGTCAATTAAATAAAGCTAGATCAGCCTCGAGTAGTAGGAGCGAAACGATTTGTAACCCAACTTCCATTCCTTTTGTTGCATCTTCTTGGCGAAAACGTCAAAGTCAAGCTTTTGCAACTTTTCAAGATAAAGAACCGTTGGGATGGCTACCATATATGGGGTAAATATAACGTCAGGAATTCCACCCTTCCATTTTTTTGATTGAGTGCGGATAAGCTTTTCATCTGATTCGTTTGTGATCCTCTCGACTTCCCGCTTTATCGTGTCAAGCTTGCTTCTGGCTGAAAGGATATGATCGTTCGCAGTTACCGCTGTTTCAAAAACCACGTTTTTGAGCTTACTGCGAATCTCTTCCTGTTCCGATGTGTTCGAGATATGACCTTGTGCCAATCTGAGTAAATGCTCCTGGGAGAGATCATTCTTGGTCATCAAGTCAATGGGGAGTGTCACCCGGTTTTGTGATTGAGCATAATACTGCATCCCTAAAATCATCAGGGAAACTGCTGTGGCCTGACCGATATGAGCCGCAATATCCAGTACTAGCCCTTGTAGTTCCATCAGTCGCTGAAGTAACTTGATCACCGATGGTGAGATCAGTGGGGATAGTAACGCCGCTTGTACTTCATAATTGAGTTGCGAGTAAGTACCCTCACCATAGGCACAAATGTCGTTTGTGGTAGAAAAAGTAGATCCCTTCAAGAATTGCTTGCGAGTTTGAAGGAATCTAAGAAAATGATCGATGTTCAAATTGATATCATTTTCTAAGCTATCCCTCAAAAGCAATGCAATTGGCTCCGCGGGAGCATCGCCCCCAGCGAACACTTTGTGAAGGGTGTCAGACCAAAACTTAAATTTCAAGTCCAGAATCAGAGCTCCCATCTGCCTCAGCATTGCTGATGACGCCTGTGACTTCACCGAGCCCAAATTTGACCCACCATCATTTATTTTATTGATTTCGATGTTGAAGGCTCGAGTAGCAAGGAAGGCTGGGCGAGCTGGTTCGGGGATGTACTGTGCCAACACATACAGCGATCGGTCATGCGTTTCAAGAAGCTTCAGAACGTTTTCCACTGCGTTGTGTATAGCAGCAGAAGTGGTATATCGACGGATGCGTACCATAGTCAGGGATAGATCGGTGCGCGCAATTCTTAAACTTCATTTGGTTGGATTACATAACTACAATACTTCAATATGCCAGTTAAATTTTGATATTAATCTCTATAAAAAATCCCCACCGTTCTTATTCTTATGCTTTAATGACCCGAGTGATCAACTTCCTCATTATCCAATACGTTGAACAAATCGCCATGTTCATCTTCAGGAATTTCGACTTCGTACAACAAACCCGTCCCCACGTCGTACATCATACCCCAAACTTCAATAGAGCCGTCCTTCAAAGCTTGTGCAGCTGAAGGGTGACGCTTTACCGCGTAAACGGAGTTGATGACATTCAACTCGGCGAGTTTCTTACACTTGTCCTTGGGTTCTTCAATTGCCTCCAAGGCTTTGATATTATTGGCGCGTACTTGACGAACCGGGTTTAACCACAAATCAAGAGCCCCACCGATTTTCTTTGCCGATAACGACGCCCACACCCCACCACAGTCAGTGTGGCCACACACAACGATCTTCTTGACTTTCAAAACATCGACGGCAAATTGCACGACACATTGCGACAGAATATCGGTGGGAGTCACAACGTTTGCAATGTTTCTGTGGGAGAACACTTCCCCTGGCAAGCAGGACAAGCATTGATCCCCGGCACGAGAGTCTGAGCATCCGATCCACAAAGTGTGAGGAGACTGTCCCTTAGCATTAGACTCGAAAACGGTGTCATTTGACTTGTTTCTGATAGAATCCGCCCAGTAGCGATTGTTTTCAAGATAGTCCTCTTTGGTCGAGGCCTTGTTGAGAGTGAAAGGCACAGCAGTCATCAGGTATTGTCGAGTGGATCTCAGGTACAAACGTGGAAGACGTTTGGTAAAAAACCGGTACGTATACAACTTGGGCAGGTATTTATATTAGGGGTAAACCCAAAATTGGCGATGAACCACAATCCCAAAAAAATGCCCCTTCATAAACTTCGTTTATAAGAAATAGCAGTCCGTGCGATGGTTGACGTCACTTTATTCATGTACAGTAGCCGACGACATCTACGACACTGGTGTTAAAAATTGATGCCATAATGTATGCTACAAATAAAGATACAATCGGCAAACTTAGATGTAAATTCCTTTGAAAAATTCAAAAATACTCGCTTCAGAGTTTGACTTAGTCTAGTTGGTTTAATATTCTCTTTGATGCATCTTCAAATACGTCATCGTCGGGAGAAAAAATCAAATCGCGCGATAAGCCCAACACCAGTGAAGATGCCACGGAAATGCATCGATTGCTGATATCTTTCATGTTGAAGCGCTTACGAATACTATATACTGGGAAGTTGCCACGATAATCAGCTCATCGAAAGGCCAAATGCATGATATGACATGCCTATCCTACCGAATTGATACAGAAATTTCAAGTAAGCCAGTAAAATTTAGCTTCCGAGGGAATGCACCTATTTGAGTTCGGTTAATGCCCCGAGTATATTGATAAGTTGTGTGGCGCTCAAGCTTTCTTATCTCGCACGTGGAGACGTCAACATAGGAGTGGCGTGAGAATGCAATCGCATTTAGGACGGACTTCGCAGCCGATCTGAGTTGCATCGAATTTAAAATCAATTCTAGAAATTTCCATCACCCAGTTCCGCCACCCATTTCGAATCCTAGTAGCTTCGATTTTTCTTGTGCGACTTGTTTCACAGTGGCACACCGAGCCTTTTGTCATCCGTCGAACCCGATGGAATGTTCCTCCTGCACACACGGTGAATATTTCAACTTTGCTTGTGCACCTCATCAGTCTGCGATTTACCGGGATTAAATCAATAAGATGGTGGCCGATACCAAATACTACGACCTCTTGGGGGTTGATGTGAAAGCCGACGACAATGCAATCCGGAAGCTGTACAGAAAGCTCGCTCTTAAGCACCACCCCGACAAGAACTCCCACCTTAGTCCTGAGGAAGCAGAGGCCAGCTCTGAAAAGTTCAAGGAAATCACCCATGCCTACGAAGTTCTCAGTGACCCTCAAAAGAGAGACATCTACGACCAATATGGTGAAGAAGGGCTCAGCGGCCAAGGTGGTATGGGCGGAATGGGCGATGATATCTTCTCGCAGTTCTTTGGTGGCGGCGGCTTTGGTGGCGGCCCTCAACGTCCTCAAAGAGGCAAGGACATCAAGCACTCGCTTGCTTGCACTCTTGAAGAATTATACAAGGGCAGAACCGCCAAGTTAGCTCTTAACCGGTCAATCTTGTGTGCTACTTGTACCGGGACTGGTTCCAAGGACGGTAAGCTGAAGAAATGTACCTCCTGTAACGGTATGGGTATGAAGTTCGTGACCAAGCAAATGGGTCCCATGATTCAACGTTTCCAAACTGTCTGTGACCAGTGTCAAGGTCAAGGTGACATTATCAGCCCTGATGATAGATGTCCCACTTGTAAGGGCAAGAAGGTTGTTCAAGAACGCAAGATCTTGGAAGTTCACATTGAGCCTGGTATGAAGGATGGACAGCGCATTGTTTTCTCTGGTGAAGGTGACCAAGAACCTGGCATCACCCCTGGTGACGTGATCTTTGTTATTGATGAGCGCCCTAACGAAAACTTTGTTCGCAAGGGTAATGACTTATACTACGACGCCGAAATCGATTTGCTCACTGCTTTGGCTGGTGGCTCCTTTGCCTTCAAGCACGTTTCGGGCGACTACATCGAAATCACTATTGCCCCGGGTGAGGTGATTGCGCCTAACACTGTCAAGGTCGTCGAGAACCAAGGTATGCCCGTTTACAAGCAATCCAGTCACGGTAACTTGTTCATCAAATTCTCTGTCAAATTCCCCGAGAATGGTTTTGTTGGCGAGGACAAATTGAAGCAACTTGAAGACATTTTGCCCCCTCGCAAACCGGTGGAAATCCCTCAAGGTGCTCAAGTTGACAAGTGTGACATGGTTGATCCCGACCCTAGAAAGCACCAAGCCCGTTCGGGTCGTGAAGCGTACGACTCTGACGATGAAGACCAGCACGGGGGTCCTGGTGTTCAATGCGCATCGCAGTAGGTTATGATAGAGCAGAATTAATATGCATTTTTGTAAAGAATCAATATGTACCATTTATGATGGTTGTAGCTTTCCCTTTAACGTACACGTTTGCGTCTTCAACTCGTACTGAAATATGACCGTCGCGGCCGATTGGACGTCCTTGGCGAATGCTAAATTGTGTCTCGTTACGTTTGGTGTATTGACTGATCGTAGCGCCCAAAGCACCCAGTCCCAGTCCGCAAACGGGGTCTTCCGCCACCCCAGTGCCTGGAGCTAAATTGCGAAGTTCGTAAGTTCCGTCGCTGTACTTGCCGAACAACTCAATGCCGGTCCAGCCATTTTCAGTACTAACCTTGGAAATAAACGCCCAATTAGGGATCGCTTTCATGACGTCCTCCCCGCTTTTCAATTCGAAGCAGGCCCATTTGGGTCCATCGTCGACGAGCACACCTGGTGCAAGGATGGCCGTGCTATCAACAGCTTTAGCCACTTCGTCAGTGGTTGCCTGATCAATTGCACTGAAATGATAATAGGGCAATTTGAACTCAACACCAGACTCGTCAATAGTCAACTCGACAAGACCTGCTTTACATTGTTGGATAACCTTCCCGTTCTTGGGTTTCACCAATCCCGATGAAGTTACGGCGTAACAAGTGCCAATGGTGGGATGACCAGCAAATGGCAACTCCTCAACTGGAGTAAAGATACGGCATTGGTAGTCTGCGTTAGGGTCAGATGGCTTGAGTACAAACGTAGTTTCAGACAAATTGGTCCACAGCGCCATGGCTTGCATCTCCTCCGTCGACAAATTGTCGGCATCAAAAAAGACAGCAACGGGGTTGCCTTTGAATTTCTTCAAGCTAAACACATCCACTTGTTGAAATTGGGGCATGGCTTAATTTAATAAGGACGACTCAAGCTGTGTATTTATAGCACGTACTGAACATCATTGCTCACAAAGCGTATATAAATGCATACAGGACATTTGGTTGCAGATGAGTCATTGTAAAATATCAACTCTTTGACCACTAAATTCTGATAATTGAGTCCCCATTCGGGATTGCATTATTTACAATATGATACACTAAATTACATAATGGCCTGAATTTTTGTCATAATACGGCGGCCATGGGGCGTATTCTTGATTTGTGGTAGCAAAGGTTGTAAAGAAGCCAGCAAACGCTCGACGGCCTTCGGCAGAGCGACGTCTAAACTTGTCTGCAAGACGTAATTACCGTACGCATCGTTCAACAACTCCTCAAATTTGTCTTCATGTTGCAATAACTCATCAACAAGAATTTCGGAGTACTTCGACATTCGTAACAGTTTTTCGATGACATTTGACCCAAACTTGTGAAGTGAGAGTGTAATGATGTTACGTTTAACATGTGCCAAAATAACGTCAATCAGGTTCTGATCACCTTGAGAATAAACATATTGAACAACATAGTTGCCGAAAGGATCCAAGGATAATTGAGTAGCATTATTTGCCACTTCCCGAGACATTTGAGCTTTTTGGGATGTGGACCCATGATCTAAGCATCGTTGTAAAACACAGCAACCATGGCGATGGGTCGCAATTTCAACACAATGTGTCAGAGCAGCATCGAAAATGAATTGATTTTGTGCCGGGGGAAGCTTTTGTAAACACTTTTGCACCACGTGATTACCATTCAAGTCTCTCAGAAGTGAGACCACGTTGGGAGCCAACAGTTCAACTAAAAGAGCAACTTCTTCAGAATCTTCAGTACAATCAATGCTTTCAATAAGCTTTTGAAGTGCCCGGGTGCCATGTGGATCCAATGCAATGCGCACAAACTCAGGAGATGCATTCTTCACGAGAATCAATCTTTGATCAAATGTAACCAGATTGAACAATTTCTGAATAAGATAGTTTCCAAAAGGATCAGTCATAAGCTCAACTATTTTGAGGTAAATTTCGTTGAATATCATAGAAGCTGCTACCAGCTGGTCGCCTTCTTTCTCGATCTCAAGTTGGCGTTGCAAAAACCGACACCCATGTTGATCTTTACACAATGAATATATGTCGCCAACAAAATCCTCAAGCTTGGCGTTAGCATACTTTGCAGCATCATCCCCTTTCCGACGATGGCCATTCTTACGATGGACGTTAGCAATCCGCCTATTGGATACCCCTAACGGTGCCAGCATTTGATGTCCCAGAGAAGTAGCCTGTTGAAGCATTGCTTGATTCATGTTATATTGCATGCTTTGCGGTTGGAACATCACATGATTGGCAGCATTTTCAACAAATGGAGGGTGATGACGCATGATTTGATGTAAGGGGGGGCCGGGTTGACTCCATAATCCGCCCTGGACCTGGGGAGGGAGCATTGGTGGAACTGAAAAATTACCAAAAATGGGAGGTGGGGGATATCCTTGAGCATGTAACAGGTAGTCGCTGTCTTGTTGAGTGTTTGCAGCAGTCAGCGTCGTCAGCTGTTCATCTCCGCTAGTGACATTCGCGATAAAGGGAGGCGCGATGATAGGGGGGGGACTAAGATCGGAAGCTTGCAGACTCAAATCGAACAGTGGAACCCCCGGAACAGCTGCAGAGCTGGCATTCCAAGAAGAGGCGCCCATGGGAGATGACACTGCTGACTTCAAAGGATTCTTTTCCTCATCCAATCCAAGATTGAGAGACCCAATCAAATCAACCGGCGGAGACGGCGGCTTCCCATCAGATGAATCCTTCTTACCCTTTCCATGAGTGAAGAATTCCAGATCATCCTCAAGGAACCCTGGGAGTCCTTCAACAATCGATCCAGAGCGAGTAGTCATGGTATTTGCAGCAATAGGCTAATAAAAATACAACTTGGAAATGAAATCAAACAAGAGCTAATGTACACGCATGTAAATATGCAAATCAAGGACTAATATACAAATCGGAACGGTGGAGGCAGTTAATGAACTTCTGGAGCACTCGTGGGATGGATCTGGGGAAGGGTGATGGTTGTACGTTCGCTTTGAAAATTTTAGTGCGCAAAGCGCTACCATCCGTATTACCGGGGAGTATCTTGCAGTGAATCTTTCAAAGCTATCATTGCTTGCAGACATGCCCACTTGTCGTCTCTAAGACTTCAAAAAATTGTTCTACGATTACATCAATTGATTGTACGCTTATAAATGTTCATTTCGAATGAGATTTGCGTAACTAGAATCAGCTTCAATCCAGACTCTACTTGAAGCTTCGAAAAAGCAATGATTGAGACGACTCATTCTGAGCTCTTGGATTTGATCCCATGCCATGAGTCAACTCACTGATCCTCTAACGCCACAAAACTTCTTATCTAATCAACGTGTGTATGGCTGAAGTTCCCCAGGTATGCGACATGAAAATCTGATAACGAAAGCTTATCTTCCACGCTATCTTAACGTCGTGTGAACACAAAGGAGATGGTAATTGGAAACATATAACTGTCAAGTTTTCCAACGATACACTTCACATCAGCTTTCAACTGAGTGTGCGCGTTGGCACATCGAGAAGCTCTTTCAAATTCTAGAAGATGGACGAAGAACGCAAACGAGCAATGCAACATTACGTCTGCAGTTTAACAGACTTCACATGAGTCCAGTTTGATGACATGAAGTTCTCGGATATTCCCGTTATCGAGAATAAGTTTGGTTCCTATGGTGCTATTACCTATCATTATGAAATATTGTGCATAATCAATGCGAATTATGCAGCACGTGGTGATAGCCGATTGTGATATGATTGCAAATTGATTCAGTTATAAACGTTGGCATCCGTGAAATTGCAGAAGAGCAGACCCAATGAAGTCTTTATCCTTGAATGCAAAGAAAGCATTTAGCAAAGAGCTTTGGCTTGGAGACTATGATTACAAACACCTTTTTGTACCCAGATTACCTTTCACGAAAGGTGATAAGACCCGTCAACCATTTTTCGGGCTTGACTCCGATATGCCAGTTCTACTAGGAGCTTTACTTGGCTTCCAGCACTCCTTATCAATGCTAGCAGGGGTGATGACACCAGCAATTTTGATCTCCCAAACAGCAAATTTGCCATCTGAAATGCAAAGCTATTTGGTTTCCGTTTCACTCATTGTCAGCGGCATTCTTTCAGCAGTTCAAATAACTCGATTTACAATTCCCTTACCAGGGGGACGCAAGTTACATATTGGCACCGGTTTACTATCTGTTGTTGGTACAAGTTTTGCAACGATCACAATCGTAACGAAGGCTATACCGCAAATGTATGAGGAAGGAATCTGCAAAATCGCCGATGATGGAACTAAACTTCCTTGTCCAGATGGCTATGGGAGATTGTTGGCATCATCGTGTGTTTGTGCTCTCGTCGAGATCTTCCTTGCGCTTCTCATTCCTGCAAAAATTCTACAGAAGGTGTTTCCTCCATTGGTAACTGGTCCGGTTGTGTTGTTGATTGGTACCCATTTGATTGGACTGGGATTCGAGGATTGGATGGGTGGTTCAGGTTGTGTGAGTTCAGGTGTTTGCGCCATGGGAAAAGAAAGTTTAAGCAAACCTTGGGGTTCCGCCGAATATCTTGGTTTGGGGTTTTTGGTTTATGTTACGATAATCATATGCGAACGATGGGGATCCCCCATAATGAAGCTGTGCGCTGTTATCTGCGGGTTGATTGTCGGCTGTATTGTGGCTGGTGCTGTTGGCTACTTTACTTCAGATGCAATTGACTCAGCGAAAGTTGCCACTTTCATGTGGGTGCACACTTTCAAGTTGAAGCTTTATGGTCCAGCAATTCTTCCATATGTGGCAGTTTATTTGGTTCTCATGATGGAGGCTATTGGAGACATCACCGCAACTTGTGATGTTTCCAGATTGCCTGTCGAGGGTCCAGAATATGAGGCACGTATACAAGGTGGCTTACTAGCGGATGGTTTGAATGGTCTTTTAGCAGGACTTATGACATTGACTCCGATGTCAACATTTGCGCAAAACAACGGTGTCATCACTATCACGAAGTGCGCTAATCGGAAGGTGGGCTATTGGTGTTGCGTATGGATGATTGTTATGGGGATTTTCTCTAAGTTTGCAGGAGCGTTGGTGTCGATTCCCAAACCAGTGTTAGGTGGCATGACCTCATTTTTGTTCACCCTGGTTGCAGTCTCCGGAATCAAGATCATCTCTACTGCTCAGTTACTGAGACGTGACCGATTTATTCTTACGGCCTCGTTATTACCGGGGTTTGGCTCTGTCTTGGTACCTAATTGGTTTGACCATGTTTTTACCTACAATGGCAACAATAGCGCTTTGAAGGGGTTCTTGAATGCAATTGTGCTTGTTATGGAAACGGGTTTCGCAGTCACGGGGTTTTTGGGTGTGATTTTGAACTTGTTGCTCCCAGAAGATGAAGACGATATCGAAGAAATTCTGGAAGTTCAAGTGATCGAGGCGTCACTGGTTGATGAATACAAAAAGTCTGGATAAATTATTAACTAATGTGTATCTTTATCCGGTTGATCTATTTAATGAATGAATACTTTTGCACATGAAAATTTTATACGTAACTCATAATATGCTAACATGCAAGGAAATTATTCTCCCATGATTTTTTCAGCTTGGGCGACTTCTTTAGCGACGGGTCCTTCAAACTCAGGGTCGTGCTTCTTCTTGCGTTTCAACCAGCCAAATCCGACCACATAGATTAGCTTGTTGAAATATTTGGTAGGGAATATTTTTTCGACCCACCAATTGGGGATGATACGAATAAGCCACCCAACAGGAATAGAAATTAAGCCACAAAGAATAGCAGTAGCCCACTGGCCACCTGTCTGACGCGTAATCGAAAAAGCAGCACCCCCAACAAACATAATGAGGACTTGAATACCAGAGATAATAGCGAAAATGGCAATGAAATACCAGTTGCGGAATAAATGCTGGAAAAAGTCTAAATTTTCACGATTTATGCGTCCACGAATGGTACGCACATCAGCGCATTCGTCAAGCTTTCGGGTGACCACAAGCTTCCACAACTGAAGCCACACAAAGGTGTTGAAAGTCATGGCGTGAAGTTGCTTTTTCTCTTTGTTGCTTAAATGATGGTAGTGATCTGAGAAAAACAACTGAGGACCAGCAAAGTACAAAGTGAAAGTAACAGCAAGCTGAGCAATCGCCTGACCAATGATCATCTTCCACATCAGGGTCGAGATCAAGGGTGCGTGTCGACCCGCAGGTTTCTGATTCAAGAAATTTTCATCAGGTTTGTCAGTAGCAAGAGCTAGAGCAGCGAGCGTGTCCATAATCAAATTCACCCACAACAACTGCACTGCAGTCAACACAGGCTTACCCTCAGAATTAGACACTGCTGACACAAACGTAAGCACACATGCTGTGACGTTGACGGTGAGCTGGAACTGAATAAACTTTTTGATAGAAACGGCAACTGTACGACCCCACTTGATAGCTTGAACGATGTCAGAGAAGTCATCAGTCATCAAGATAATATCCGAGGCTTCGCGGGCAACTTCGGTACCAGAGATACCCATCAGGAACCCCACATCAGCCAATCTTAAAGCTGGGGCGTCATTTGTCCCGTCACCCGTCACAGCAACGACTTCACCAAGCTTTTTCTTGGTATCAACCAAGATACGTTTGTCTTCAGGCAGAGAACGCGCCAAAACTCGCAAATGAGGAACGATTTTCTTGCGTTCCTCAATCAGCAATGCACGGAACTTTGGCCCTTCCATAGCTGCATACTCATTCGTCAAATCATCAGGAGTTAAAATATGGCAGTTTTTGGAAATGGCCTTGGCTGTGTTCAAATTGTCACCCGTGACCATAGTCACAGACACGCCAGCGCGTTTGCATTGCAAAACAGACTCAGCAACCCCCTCCTTCAAAGGGTCTTGAATACCAACGAGAGCGTCAAGCACTAACAATTTGGAGCCAGTTTCCAGGGAATTGCCATAGGCTAACTTCAACAAAGCATCTGGGTTTGCTTCTTCCGGATGATCGGGATTGACGAGTTCTTTAGGAGGCCACAGGACAATGTCAGTGTAATCGCAATGGGCTAAGGCCATTGTTCTGAGAGCTTCCAGAGCATAAGTATCAATCCTTTGCAAGCACTCATCACGATCCTCGCGCAGCAAGTCGCGAAGCTTTCCTTCATTATTGTAAGTGTGTCCGCAAAACTTGAAAATTATCTCAGCAGCTCCCTTAATGTACAAACGATAGCCATTCGGTACCTTAAGCACCACACCGGCCCATTTACGCAGTGACTCGAAAGGAATCACTTGCACGACCAGTTGTAGATCATCCAGACGCCGGGTTTCCAAACTAGCGTCGTCATACCAATGGAACTTGCTCTTGGCCCAACCAAGAAGTGCCAGCTCCGTCTTGTTGCCAAAGTAAGGCTCCGTCCGACTTCCTAACTGCGACATTTCCGGCTTTTGACTCAACAACAACTGCTTCCAAATGGGTACGTGCTTGGGTTTGGCGCGGGCCTTTTCTGCCTCCGCTTGATCGTAATCAACATTTTCGAACGCAGTAGAATTGATCGTGATGTTGGTGCAAACATAGTCTTTTTGCTCGTTCGAGATATTCGAAATGACCTGCTCCAGCAGAGCATAATCAGCGGGAGCACTCAGTGCACTGAGACTTACATCAGAAAATTCCAATGGAATGTCGCCCGTCATGCCGATGAAGCCAGTGACTACCGTCATGCGATTCTCAGTTAAGGTACCCGTTTTGTCAGAACAAACTGCAGTAGCCAGTCCCATTGTTTCACATGATTTGAGTACACGAACAAGATTACCATTCTGTGCCATACGCGTAGTAGCGAATGCTAAAGCTAAGGTGACGGCAAGAGGCAAACCTTCGGGTACTGCCACGACAACAATAGTGATTGCAGTAATCAAAATGTCCATGAAAAGCCGGCCTTTCTCGGACGAAGGATGATGGTGATCTCTTCCTCCAGGAGCGATACGGACGCAAAACCGAATAAACAAAATGATGAATAAAATAAGCGCCACAAGCATACCGTACTTAGAAATACCCTCAGCAAGACCATCTAAGCGAGCTTGTAATGGAGTTACTTCCGGCTCCTCGCTGAGGTTCATCATGGTTCGACCATGTAAAGACTGAACTCCAACGGCGGTCACCATGGCATTCCCCAACCCCGAAAGAACGGTAGACCCTGAAATCAAGTAGGGATCACTGATTGACACTAGGTGCAGACCAACATCCTCCAGGGTGTCAAGTAAGTCGTATGCTCTAACAGCTTCAACAACGGGAACTTTATTGATTGTGTCAGATTCACCAGTAAGAGCCGATTCATCGCACTCGACGGCACCATCAATCAAGATTGCATCAGCAGGAATGACATCACCAGTTTGAACGTTGAGCACATCCCCAACTTCTAGATCAAAAATGGAAATCATCTTTTGAGCGCCATTGCGAATGACAATGATTTCACGATCTTCCTTTTTAGCGTTGAGTTTAGCAAATTGACGTTCTTTTTGGTAGTCGTTGGCAGCACCAACCACAACAACAATTACAACGGCCACAAGAATGGCCACACCTTCGACCCAATCAACACGGGGCAATGGTATACCTTCGTCATCGAGTTCGGGGGGTGCACCAAACGTCTCGTATAATCCCAAGGCTAACGACACGATGGCGGCAATACACAATAATATAAGAACTTTGTCTTTCATGGCATCCCAACAAAGTTGGAAAAAGTTCTTGACCAGTCGTTGAGGAAGACGATTTTTACCAAATGTTTCTTGACGCCATCTCATATCAGCCTCGTTTGAATCGTCTAAACCTCGAACTGGGTCCAGGTGAAGAACATTGTGACACAAGAAATCGAATCCGCCAAACTGACGTAATAGTTTCAACAGTTTAGGATCGTGAAGTTTCAGAAGGGCCTCGGCATCCAATGGTGAGGAATTTCCGCCTGCAAGTGGGGTGGTCAGGTTCACCAGTGACGTTGGCAGGATGTCCAAGCCTTTAGGCTGTTGGTCCGGTACCGAAAGTGTCGGCAGCGAGTCAGGTTCTTCGCTCATGCCTTCGAAAGGGGATGTTCAAGCAATCAGGTGAAAAGCAAAGTTATCAAAGGATTGAACGTTAGTCTTAAGCCACTAACAAACGTGTCGATACAAATGATGAGATGGAATAGACGCCACTAAATTTTGAGTATGGGGTTGCTTTTATTGAATCACACTTTTCCGCCGTGTTAGTGCATGCGCTCCCACATTCATAACGAGGCGCAGTCGAAGCCGTGCCACCACCCGGACATGCCCCGCCTTCCCACCCCTAAGCTCCGCCGCCGCCACCATAACTATTGTAATGCATGATACTCAGAGTCAATATCATGGTGCCGACTGCAATTTCGTACTGTCTCATAATATTGAAGCATGTCAAAAATCGGTCGGTTTTCCGGTGTTTGGTATACGCGCTACACTTCGTATGGGTGCAACAGTCTCCAGACATTGAATGTTAAAGCGGGTGAATCTATTCTGTGCTTTGGGTCACTTCTTCATCTTCACAAAACTACTGCTATCACCCTAAATTGTTATCAACGATGCAATTCCAGATCCGTGTCGTGCTATGGCTTTGCAAAAATTCCTTACATGAATTAGGTTTTCTTGGCAAGTCGGTGACAAGATATCAGGGGCTATGCCGAAAATTCCCGGTGCTGAGAGGCCTTGGGTGCTGGTCATCGTGCCAAGTCACGAGTCTAAAATATCGTTACATCATCTCATCTTACGTGGGTCATTTTCGGCTATGCTTGCGGTAAGGGTAAGCAATTATTATGGTCACGCTTAGCAAACAGTGCTTCGCTCCCCAGCTTAGCGAGTGAAAAAATCCACCAAAATCTCATTCATTCCTAATGTGGCTGTACGTGAAGAGTTGCTGGATGATGCCATCAATGCAAGCAAATTCGTACAGGCTAAGCCCTTGATTATGGCCAAGCCTTTGACTGGCTGAACCCACCTCCTTTTTGAGTGCCAAGTAGGAAATTACGCGCGTTTTGATCAAGTTTGTGGAGATTGTGACGCAAACTGCGTTTGATAACCAGTAACTTCTAACGGACGCGCCTATCAAGGGCGCGAACCATTAAAAAAACTGTAGTTTATGCTACAAACATGGAGACGAGTTTAGAAATTGCCACAGTCAATCTCGGGTGCCATGTCACCCTTGCAGAGGGCATTGCAGAATATGTCAGGGCGTATTCATGTGTCAGTCAGAGCGAGTTTACGTAAAGTCATCCCAAGAGTATCAATACTTCTGTTTTTTCCAGTTAAAGTCTTGTGACTACGGTATTCGTGGCGGAGGCTGAGCACCGCCAAGATATTCCAGTTACGTACCTATACAACTTCGGAGTTCCAGGTGTAGGAAGTATGCTCACGAGGATTGCTCAAGAATGGTCATAAACGTCATCCACCCTGGACTCTCCACCAACTCAAGATAATCCCGGTCGTCTTTGTTTTTAATATACTTGATGAGGGCTCGCCATTCGTTTGCACCGAGGATCCCAGTTTTGGCAAGGTATGCCAAAAAGTGAAAGTCGGCCAAGCGCGATCCGTCACCACCATTAAGATATTGTCGAGCGGCACCGAGATCTTGCAAGACGCCAAATGATTCTCGGTTTTCAATGGGAAAGTTTGTTGAGAACATTGGTTGTGGCTCCACTGGGAATGAATCTGTCAATGACACCAACAAGAACTCCACCGGGAATGTAGGCTTTGCGTTCGTTTTCACTTCAAGTCCGTATTTGTTGATCTTGCTAAAGGAGATATCGGGGACATAGCGGCGCAGCGTAGTTTCGTTAACCATTATTTCTGAGGGCTGGGTCGAACCCAGGATCATGTCAGCTTTGATGAGCGCCTCCGCCAGCGCCAGTACCATATACGACTTAGGCTCAATTTCACCCTGTAACCCGCCCAGAATCACAGTGGTGACAAACTTACTCGAATATTGGCCCAGGGCCAGCCACTGGGAAGGGTTGGGATGGCGTATCTGATTGCGCCCCGCCATTAAGATTTCCAAATTTGATAAGAAGTACAGGTCTTTGTGGCGTTTGCATAACACCAGACCATTTCCACTGCCACTATCGGTGAGGTCTGTGAAAGTCATCCCGACTTGATAGAGCCCCAATTCAGCAGCTAACTCGTCAACTTGCTTTTCGTTCTCCCATTCGAGTAATGTGATGCCATCGGCCTCGCCTGCTTGCGGTGGCTCGTAAATAGCTTCAACCACTGCCTTGATACCTAACGGTACATCGGGAGCTTTCTCGTAATGACCATACATAACACCAAACCGTTGTATACCCGTTCTTCTCCAGGCATCAATAAATTGATTAAGAACATCAAAACTGGCGAATTCGACGTGGTCAACCATACGGAATTTTTGCTGAGAAAGAGTGATTGGCAGAGGTTGACATTTGCTGCAAATTCCTTTAGGATATGGCTGGTGACCGTTGGTACACGTAAGGTCAATCTTGTAGTTAGGTTCAGTCAATGGTGCAATGTAAGACAGAGATTGGTTTCTGTTGTTGGTATTCTCGTTAAGCTCCCGCAAGTGTGCGTGGAACAGCATATGTTTGATGTTGTGTGACTCTCGGTAATCCTTGTCCCACGGAGGAAGTGGCAGACAATATTCACACATACCCTTATCGCCGTGCCGACACATTGAGGACCGTTGCCTTTTGATTTGGCCGTCCTCTTTGCTGAGCTCGATGTCCACGTCAAACTCCTTCGGTTTCAAAGGCAAAGAGAGCGCATCCTTGATTTCAACGGTAGCACCCGCAGCGTTGATGGCAACAGTCAGGGGTGCTGATGGTTCTGAGTCGATGGGATCGTATTTTGCATAAAAGAGATGTCCATTCGTCAATCCCATTTGATTAGGTGTTTGCCCACACATGGAATTTGCTGGATGCCCTTGATCTGATGGGGAAGAGGCAAGAGTTAACAGCTGGAGCAGCAGGGTATGTATTTTAGTCGCCAATTGCTCGAGAACGAGAAGGAAGTCGCCATCCGGATCGGCTTCAATCCGTAACATGCCCTCCTTGGTCCGAAAGCGCAAAACAATCATGGTATCGGTTAGTGGCGACTGGTTGGTGGTGCGCACAAAATTCACCTGCGTGAGAGTATGGTGGCGTAAGTGCACTAAATGTCCTTGACGGAAGGAGATGTGTCTATTGAGCTACATGCAGGTGATTTCAGCGGATAGTTGATCGAATATCTTCGATCGAAATTGCTAAGGTCAGCTATTCACATGGTGGTTTATTTTGAACATTAGTTGTCTATTCTATCATCTCATCGTATATACTTGTATATGCACCTAGTCGGTTTTCATGTCGTTCAACCCCAAGTCCTCATTCTGGTCATGAGTTCTTTCGAATTCTTCGATGGTCATATTAGGGTCATTATCGGGAGCGTACACGTTTTGAATGTACAGCGCGCCTAACGGGTCTTCCATCTGAATGGTAAAACCAATTTTACCATGGATGGCATCGTCCAATCTAGCGAAGAAAGTAGTCCAGTTGTTCTTCGTAGCTTCATCCATCGAGTCCAGAGTTTGTGTGAAAACCCTAGAATGCAATTCTTCCATGACTTGGGTTAACAAACCTTCAATGGTAGTAAATCTCCCACCAAGCGTACCCGGCGTAAGATCGAGCGAAAGTTCAGGAACAACCATGCCACAGGTTTCCGACTTCAAAATGTCTCTGGCCAAATCTTCAGGATCGGTAACCTTCAACGTAATACGAGTACCCTTGTCAGGAATGGCACCTCCAGTCTTCACTTCGTTCGACTTATACCCGCATGAGTCACACACAGTGGACATCAAAATCACTTCCTTGAAATGAGGAATGTTGACCGGCTTCATATGAGTCTCACAAGGTTTGCCGCATGAGGAGCAGGTAGCCTGGAAGGTTTGGATTTCATTTTCGAAGTTGTCGATCTTAGATTGGTCGGAAACAAACCCACTAGTCTTGGGGGCGTCTGACAACGAAGCAGACACGTTAGACGAAGTGGCAGCCTTCTTCTTCTCGAGTTCCTCCTTTTGACGCTGAGCAACCTCATCAGCGGAGATGAGACCCAAGAATACATTTTGTTCAGCAGTTCTGGGATATTCGTACATGGCCCATTTGTGAGAAGGTTCACCAGGCTTGTATTCGATCCAGGAGTTACCAGCGGGATCATCCACCGATACGGTGAGAGGGAACTTCTCCCCGTTACGGTAAGCGTTAATGTTTTGAATGACTTCGTCGATCTTCTCAGCAACTTCTGGTTGAGCCTCTTTTCTTTGCGGTTGGTCAGCCTCCAAATCCTCCACCATCTCGGCAAGAAGACCCTCGGCATTAGTGAGTTGACCTCTCTTGGGGGGAATTTCAATGTCAAGCTCTTGGAATCTCACAGTAGCAGTCTCTGACTTGACGACTTGTCTAGACAAATCGTCCTTGTTCTCACACTTAAGAACGTAACGAGCCCCCTTTTCGGCAACCTGGGCAGCAGGTTGAATCTCGGAGTTCTTGAAGTGACAGTGAGGACATTCAAATGACATCAAAATGATTTCACGGAAGTAGGGGATTCTAGTAAGCAACAACCGAGTGGTACCATTCTTGCCGCAGTTAACACAGTAAGATTCGACCTCCTTAACCGGTTGGTCCTCGATTTGAGCACCTACCTGCTCACCAACGTTCTGGAAATGATTGGCTTGTCCGTCCGTTTGATCAGTCATGATCTTTCTTCGTTTCAGTTCTTGATCTTCAGCGCTCATCGCAGCAGCACTTTAAATCGACCTGGGAGTGTGCAGGCATTTTCCGCGATGACTAAGAAGAATCTAGAAGATTCTAAATAGTGGTTCGATTCTTAGAGTCGCATTTTCCATAAAATTCTATGGCAGTGCGCATGCTCGTCAGTCTGTCGTGGGGAAGGTGGGGGCGGTGAGGGGGTGTAGTTATGGGAACGGTGGCGCAATTGTTTATCAGTGAAAATTCAGACTTGGAAGTGACTAAAGCCCAGAGCCTAACATAACCTCTGGCGTGCACGCAGTGAAACCAAGAATTTTCAGTCCGATAATCCCTCTGAATAACAGATGTAGGCTGTCATTTTTAGTCGTACTTTAGCACCCGAAGACGTGTACTTCGACCGCGTCAGATGAGCCTCATGAATCGGGCGGATGTTTTACCAATCCACAAGTTCCGAGCCAAACCGTGGCTCATACACGAGTTGACGAGCGTTTTCGGCAAAAATAAAAAGAAATAGGTTTTCTTCGAACGAGCCACAGTTGCCGAGCGAATACCACCCACAGCTTTTACTAGAAGAAGATAATGACCACAACTTCATAAAGAGAGGTCCTGCAATAATTTGTGTGTGCACACATCGTCATTCACTGCGGGGCGTGCCACATGTGGTCAGCTCGACCGGAGATCTTTTCTTGTGTGAGCCCTGGCGATGACCTGTATGCACAATATCCCTGGGTGTGGCGCTCGACAAAATACAACCCTATCCATAAATCCCCATCATGGATCTCTCCGAACTGTGTCATACAGACCAAATATCTGACCTCACAGAGGACGAAACTAAAGTTGTCACTCCATTCTTGGTGAAGCACATCAGTGACCAGAACATGGCCCCTGCGACCGTGGACAACTTTCACAACTTTTGTTATCGTCACAACCCTGAGATTACGTGCAATAAACGAGCTGACGAAGACAAAATGAAAAGAATCCAAGAACAACTCGAGCTGCTACCGAACCGAGACAAGAAGGCTATAAGCCATGTATGGCTGATATTCTCGGCTGCCCCCGCACCACAGCGAAAACTCATACTACTGGGGCTTTTGAGTCAATGTTGTTTTCCTCAATTAAGTTTCATCAGTCAAGAGGTTCAATCACTTATCCGGATCGATTTCATTTCCACTCTTCCCCAGGAAATCGCTCTTAAAATCTTATGCTACCTTGATTTCAAGCTGTTGTGTAATGCAACTCTTGTTTGTCGCAAATGGAAACAATTGGCAGATAACGATTGTGTTTGGCATTACATGTGTAAGCAGCACATTGATCGTAAATGTCCAAACTGTGGATGGGGTCTCCCTTTGCATATTGAAAAAGCGGCTATCGAGGCCAACAAGATTGACGTAACTGACACCCCTTCAACAAATGTTGATGCTGCAGTTACAACCACATCAACTGAGGTTGCATGTAAATCTTCAGATGAACCACCCCGGAAAAGATTGAAAAAAAGACCTTGGAAGCTGGTATATTCCGAGAGATTTTTGTTGGAACGTAATTGGAGGAAAGGTTTCTACAAAGTGAAGATGTTAAAAGGGCATACTGATGGGGTAACCTGCTTGAAGTTTCACAATAAGTTGTTGATGACTGGGAGCTATGATACCACGATAAAGCTTTGGAACACTGAAACTGGGGAATGCACCCGGACGCTTACTGGTCACTCACGGGGTGTTAGACTGTTAGCGTTCGATCTGAAAATTTTAATTCTGGGTTCTCTTGACAAAACAATCAAAGTTTGGAACTACCGACTGGGTGAATGCATTGCCACATACAGAGGACATGAGGATCATGTGGTGGCGGTTGATTTACACCGCAACATCATCGTGAGTGGCCTGGCAGACCATACTGTCAAAGTTTGGCACGTGGATCTGCGAACATGTTATACTTTGAGAGGCCACACTGATTGGGTTAATTGTGTTAAGATTCATGCACCATCAAATACGGTATTTTCGGCGAGTGACGATACGACAATTAGAATGTGGGATTTAACAACGAACAAGTGTATTCGCAAGTTCGAATGTCATGTTGGGCAGGTCCAGTCTGTTATCCCATTCACCTACAACGAGTCTTTGGTTCAAGATGAAGAAGAGGTTGATTGTGTCACTCGTGTGCAACCGGACCCCGATTTCAAATGGCTGTCTAAGTATCCTCTGCATTTATTAACATCTTCGTTGGATAATACTATCAAGCTTTGGGACGTTCGTACAGGAAGATGTATCCGTACCCAGTTCGGGCATGTTGAGGGGGTGTGGTCGATCAGTGCAGACACTTTCCGGATTGTTAGTGGTGCTCACGACAAGTTGATCAAAGTGTGGGACCTTCAGGATGGAAAATGTTTGCACACTTTCAGTAATGATGCCAGCGTTCTGTGTGTGGGATTACTGGATTCGCATGTTGCTGCCGGCTTAGACGACGGCACAGTAAAGTTGTACCGCTTTGATGTTGATCCTAACGATCTTCCTCGTAAAAAGCTGACGCTGGAACAAAGCCATGAAATTTATACCCTGGTTTTACCGTGTGGAACTGTATCCAACTGAACGTAACTGTTTTATGAGTAATGAATTTATAGAGCCGTCTGTACGGTATTTCAATAAGTAACGTGACGTTACAACTGTATATCAACTTGTGATTGTAAACTTGTAGTCGATGCTAATGTTCGAACGCGTAAAACATCCCCTCGAGATCGAGATCTAGAAACACGCTTGATGTAATCAATTATTCAATACAATACTAACGACCTTCATGGCTTCCCAGTCTACATAATTAGTACCTGCTTTGTTTTGTCGATGCAACCTCGCAAACTTCAGCTCATACGCGTTACTCAGATACAGGAACAAATTGATTACAAAAGTTCTTTACCACCTTTTCGGAACTAATGACTGCCAATAGCGTGTCGTTGGAGCTGGTACGTACACTAACATACTCGTTGTCCTTGGCTTTCCATGGATAACAAAGTCTATTATTTCCACAATAACAAACTAACTCATCAGACACCGGGAGTGGATGCACCGCCTCCGATGATTCCAAACAAGGATAAGTACTTCATTGCCAATGATAGGAAAGTACTTAACGTCGCATCTACCAGAAAGCGTTTCGAATACCTTCTAGGGCTTACTGGTCTTTTCAAACAATTTATCGACTCTAAGGCTGAAAAAGATCCCCAAATCAAAGAGATTGTTGATGAGATTACTGATGGGCAGCTCAAGAAGAATGATAAGATCGCTGGTTCTGGGCGTCGACGTAAGACAGAGAAGCAAGAAGATCAAGAGTTGTTGGCTGATGAATCACATCTGTCGGAGATTATGGAGTTCACGGCATCTCCAGGGTATATCCACGAAGGGACCATGAGGGAGTATCAATTACAGGGTCTCAACTGGTTAATTTCCTTGCATGAGAATAATTTGAGTGGTATTCTAGCTGATGAAATGGGTCTTGGTAAGACTCTCCAAACCATCTCATTCTTAGGTTGGTTGCGCTATTATAAGCACATCAATGGGCCCCACATTGTTATTACCCCCAAGCTGACATTGGATAACTGGGCACGTGAGTTTAACAAATGGATTCCCGATTTCAAAGTTTTGGTCATTCAAGGTGACAAGGAACAACGTGCCGAACTCATCAAAAATCAAGTTTTGGAGTGCGATTTCGATGTTGTGATCGCTTCGTACGAGATTGTCATCAAAGAAAAGCTGACCTTCAAGAAATTTGATTGGCAATATATCGTTATTGATGAAGCTCACAGAATCAAGAATGAGGAGTCGCTTTTGTCTCAAATTATCCGGATGTTCCACTCTCGCAATCGTTTGCTCATCACTGGGACGCCTTTGCAAAATAATTTGAAAGAATTGTGGGCTTTACTTAACTTCATCTTACCAGATGTTTTCTCTGACGCGGATACGTTTGATGAACACTTCAAAGACTCCGATAATGGAAATGACCAGGTAGTCCAGCAATTACATAAGGTTTTGCAGCCATTTTTATTGCGCAGAATCAAAGCTGATGTTGAAAAGCTGTTGTTGCCAAAACAAGAGATGAACATCTATTTTGGGTTACTGAAGATGCAACAACAATGGTACAAGAAAATTCTTGAGAAGGATTTGGACGCTATCAATGGGGTTAATGGTAAGCGTGAGCTGAAAACTCGTTTACTCAATATTGTTATGCAATTGCGTAAGTGCTGTAACCACCCATATTTATTCGAGGGTGCAGAGCCAGGTCCCCCGTATACCAACGATGAACATCTTGTTTTCAATCTGAAGAAAATGGTGTTTTTGGACAAGCTTTTGAAGAAGTTCCAAGAAAATGGTCTGCGCGTGCTCATTTTCTCGCAAATGTCACGGATGTTAGACATCTTGGAGGATTATTGCTACTTGCGGGGATACCAGTATTGTCGCATTGATGGGCAAACCGATCATGCTGATCGTGTGAATGCTATCGATGAGTATAACAAGCCAGGGCTGGAGAAGTTTATCTTCTTGTTGACGACCCGTGCTGGTGGATTAGGTATCAATTTGACCACCGCTGACGTTGTGATTCTCTATGATTCAGATTGGAATCCACAAGCTGACTTACAAGCGATGGACAGAGCTCACAGAATTGGTCAAACCAAGCAAGTGAAGGTATTCCGTTTGGTAACAGAAGGCGCCGTCGAAGAGAAAGTTCTAGAACGTGCAACACAAAAGTTGAAACTTGATCAATTGGTGATTCAGCTGGGACGTACCAACGTTGCTGGTTTGGATGGTCAACAACTGAACAAACTGGCCCTGCGAGGCGAGTTATTGGATTTGGTTCAATTTGGTGCCAAGGAAATATTTGACGACAAGGGTGATGATGAAGCTGCCGAATTGGATATTGAAGAAATCTTACGTGCATCATCCGAAAAAACTAAAGAGCTCAACGATCGATACGATAAGTTGGACTTAGGTGCCTTACAAAACTTTACCAATGATGGCTCTGTCTATGAGTGGAATGGCGAAAACTTCAAAAAGAAAGATATTGGCCTGGGAAAAATTGGGGGAGATCACACTTGGATTCAACCGGCTAAGCGTGAACGGAAAGAAAATTATTCGATTGATCTGTACTACAAGGGTGTTCTCAGCCATGGTTCATCTTCGAAGCAATCATCCTCGCTGCAGGCTCAATCTACTGCTGCAAAGAATGGACCTCGACCTCCAAAGCAACTCAACATCTATGACCATCAATTTTATCCGGCAGAATTGTTTGAGTTACACGAGTTAGAAAAAAATTACTTTCGCAAGCTCACAAATTATAAAGTTCCGCTCAAAGCCGGGAAGCCTGACACTTTAGCAAAACGTGAAGCCGATCAGAAGCTTGAACAAGAAGAAATTGATAACTCCCGGCCTCTCACTGAAGAAGAGAAGGCTCGCAAGGAGGAATTGTTGACTCAAGGGTTTTCACTGTGGAACAGACGAGACTTTCAACATTTCGTGTCGTTGCTGACGAAGTATGGTCGTAACCTGATATCATTGATTGCTCATGAGTTTCCTGAAAAAACTATCGATGAGGTTCGGGCGTATGCTAAGGCATTCTGGCGGCGATACAAGGAAATCGAAGGTTTTGACAAATATTTGCATCAGATCGAACAAGGTGAAGAGAAAATCGTTAAGGTTCAAGTGCAAAAAGAGTCTTTAAGGCGGAAAATCTCTCAGTACAAATACCCCTTACAAGAACTTGTACTCCGTTACCCACCTGCTGCCACTAATAAGCGTGTGTTTTCGGAAGAAGAGGACAGATTCTTGTTGGTGCAACTTTATCGTTTTGGTTTAGACCTGCCTGATGTGTATGAGCGCATTAGACAGGCCATTCGTGAGCTGCCGTTGTTCCAGTTCGACTTCTTTTTCCAATCACGTAATACTGGTGAATTAAGTAGACGCTGTCTGACACTTTTAGCTTGTGTGCTGAAAGAAATTCACCCGGATCAATTGGCCGGGCAAAAAAGAAAACGTGATCAACGTTAGTCATTTATTATAGTAATGCTTTAATAAATGGTTCCAATTGTAGTGGCGTCACCCCGGATTGAAAGCGGGCAACCACGCGGCCCTTCCTATCTATTAAAAACTTTTCAAAATTCCACTTTATGCCCTCAAAACCAAGGAATCCTCGTTTTTGACTTTTTAAATAGGCATATAATGGAAGCTGCTTGTCCCCATTGACATTGCTCTTCTCAAATATTTTGAATGGCACGTTGAACTTGGTCTTCACGAGCCGTTCTATTTCCAAACTGTTCAAGGGTTCTTGATTGTCAAATTGATTCAGTGGTATGGCAATGATTTCGAATCCATCCTGGTGATACTGATTATGTAGCTGAACAAGTTCGAGGTATTGTGGAGTGTAGCCACAAGCCGAAGCAACATTCACAATCAATAACACTTTATTCCGGTAATTCTCGAGCGGAACTATATTCCCGTGGCAATCACGTAATTCAAAGTCATAAAGCATCCGGTGGTTCTTGGTTCGGAGTTGGTTAATTGAGAATTTGAGTACTGCAGATAAGTCGTTGGGCATTGGGTTGAACTGAAGTATAGCCCATGGAGTGGTGAAACTTAATTGACAAATAGGTAACAAACTATCTGACAAATGCCTTTCATACATGATGCTGCAAAATTACACATAGCTTGGTTTATCAGAAGACATCTTTTTGTTATTAGCGTTCATTGTGCGGCGCGCCTTGAACCCTCAGCAGCTAAGTCAACTAGTAGCTGGCATCCACACCATGGCCGAAAACAAGGATCCCAAGCAGTTGCAAGCCCAATACACCCAATATCAAGACACTCTCCGTCAATTACAGAGTAACCTTTCGGAATTTACCTCCAAGATACAAGAGTATGCTATAGTGGATGCATCGTTGGCACGAATCCCGCCTGAAAAACGAAAAGGTCGGAAGTGTTTCAAGATGATCGGTGGGGTCCTCGTTGAAAAAGACATTGACGAAGTCAGCAAGATACTCCATTCAGAATTGGCACAGATGCAAACCAAGCGCAATGAACAGGAGAAGAAACTAACTTCAACAAAAAAAGAATTTGACGAGTGGATCACGAAAAACAACGTCAAAGTGATGCGTCCTGAAGATATGGAATAGATAAAGCTTTCGTCGTAGGGATTTAATATATACCGATCACGTACTGCATGTAAGGGCCCTTCTGATGCCTAATGTATTGTGTGTCTTGCGATGTGAGATAAATCATGGACTACTCAGATCGAGTCAATTCGAAGCAGGGTGGTGGTGGTGTTGCTGACACTGCAGAAACCAATGTTCAGACAAAGAAACGGATACGCGAACTCCTCACCGATTCGCTTGACCTTGATAATGATCCTTACGTTCGTAAGGCCCACAATGGCATGCTAGAGTGCAAGCTATGTTTCACTACCCACGTTAATGAAGCAAGTTACATCAGTCATATGGGAGGAAAGAAGCATCATATCAATTTGGCACACCGCAAAATGCTCGATGAAAAGCAGAATCAATCCCAGAATAAGCATGGGATCTCGATAAATTCGGTTCCAAAACGAAAATGGCAACTGATCGGCAAACCAGCGTTTCGTGCCACCAAAATTCGGGATCCAGAGACAGAAAAGCTAGGTTTATCGGTTGTGGTGAAGTACCCAAAAGCTATAGTTGTTCCTAATTTTCGAATAATGTCATTTGCTGAACTTAGCACTAAACAAGAAAGTGTGAAGTCAAAGTACGGCGAAAATCATCAGTTTTTGGTTATTCTGGCTGAACCCTACGAAAACATCTGTCTAGTGATACCTGACCGTGAAATCGATAAAGGTAATGACGACCGCCAAACAGAGAGTTACTGGAGTCATTTTGACGACGCCACGAAGGACTTTTATATTCAATTCTTGTTCAAATAATGAGTTCGTAATGATTTATATGATTTAAGGCTTGGGGACATGCAACAGCTTCGAGATTTGAGCACTCCCTTGCAAGAAAAAGATCAAGGAGAAGAGGTGGAATTCAAAAGGAGTGCCCGTGAAAGCAGTGCCGAAAGGTAAGGCAACGCCCACCCACAGCTTCGAAACAAGGAAGGCAAACACTGCAACCCAAATCAAGTTCAGAGGAATAGGCATACCCTCAAAGTACTGTGACTTACCACGTTGATCTTTAGGAATTTTGTCAGTGGAGATGTTAAATCTAGCCAAACGAGTCAACCCACATAACACCCAGTATGTCAACAATAAGGTATCAACGGTAGTACGGAAGCCAATGCAGAAGGCAATAGTAGCAGGCGCGACGCCAAACGAGACCAAGTCAGCCAATGAGTCCAATTCTTGGCCCATCAATGACGACTTATTACGCAAGCGAGCTACTCTACCGTCAAAGAAATCGGCAAAAACACCCAATAAGATGAAGAATTCAGCACGCATGATGTAGCCCAAATCGCCAGAAAGACAATAGCGACAACACGAAAGAATAGCGTAGAATCCGGAAAACCCATTGAGCAACGTGATGAAGTCGGCCATGTGTAAGTTACGGATCATTGAGAAGTGCCTGTTGTCGGCAATGAACTGTTGGTACTCAGTGTCATCGGGCTTGGGGATGTTCTCCTTGTCGCTGAGTGAGAACAAAGACAGCGAGCGCCGAAGCAAGGGCTGGCCAGTAGTGATCTCAATGGCATCTGTATCTGACTCGAAATCCGACAGAAGCACCGCACTTTCATTCTTTCTGACTCCGGTGGCTCTGGCGCTCATGGTATCGTTGTTTTGAGACATTGGTAAGGGGTGGAACTCTTTTGTACAGCCTCGAGAAATACGTGGGTGCGACTAATGACCTAAGAGCAATTTGAGGTGGCATGTACCGATGGGAAGAAAAATGTGAATGCATGAGGCCGAAAGAAGCCAAGAATATTAGCATGTCCCCTCAAAAAGAAACATTTACCATATTTGACTTACAAACTAGTTTTGTAAAAAGACTAATCCTTCCCACTACTATCGATACTCAGAGACGGGCAGATGAGTAGAGATTGGCGCGCGTATATCGGGTTTGAGACGCTTGTCAAGCAATTGAGCAAGCCGTACGCTGACGTAAAATTACCGAAGGTGTCGCAACGCGTCGACAGAATTGAAGTATTACTTTATTCCAATTCTATAAATCAACCAATTATATAAAATAATACTAATCATGATGGGATACGCTCAATGTCGGAACAGGCGATTGACGCAGAATAGGGTTTCCGAGGGATGTCGTTGGCAGGTGCTCCGGGGGCAGGGTGATTTTGGTTGCTGAAGGCAGGTCCTCCAGATCATCGTCTAAAGAAAATGTGGCATGGTTCTTGGTATCGTGCTGGGCAAGGATTTTACCCACATCAGGGGCTTGAATCAGCATCATCAGCTTCAACAGATCATTAGAACCACGGGGGGTGACCAATTGATTGGAGCTAGTCAATTGGGCGCTGGCCAACCGCTCAGACAACTGAGAGCCCAATTGTTGCTGGATTGCGGCTTGCTGCAATTTCATAAATTGATCATGAGTAGTCGCAGACGGTGTCGGTTGCAGCGTAGAGTCGGGTGTTTGCGTATCCGGACTCTCCTTGTTGGAGTCCGTCGTAAATTCGAAAGGATTGATCATTTCATCCTCAGGCAGCTGGATTCTGGGAGTAGCCACGTGGGGTTCAAACATATCTTCAAACACTTGGGGATGCAACAGTTCCTTCGGCATCGCCAAATGCTCCTTCAGGGCCAGTTGTTTCTTCAAATTCAAGCGGGTCTGCTTGTCAGCTTCACGACGATTCATAATTTGGCGAATAAACTCAAAACGTGCTAAATGATCGCCCTCAAAGCTCAAAAGCTCGCGAAGCTCACTATACCAACCTGAAAAGTCGTTTGACGCCATGCATCTGAAAGTAACCTTACCGTGCATCGACTTCCCTCGTTTCGAAAGTACGAATTTGAATTCTCCCTCGTCTTTGAGGGTAATTTGATACTCGTTCAAGTTGTATGACTTCACGGGAATATCCTTGTGATTGATACCAAATTCATTCACCTTCTTCTTTTTTGGAGTGCCATTCTTTTGAGGCAATTTCCAATCCTCTTCGCGGTACTCATGCAAATAGTTGGCACTCAACACGTAGTAGAACTTGGTGTAATTTTTGAGCATCTTCGACTTTTTGTACATCGGACCAGTACGCAAACACTTTGAGTGGATGGAATCGCCATAAGGCACGACAATCTGCTTGAACAAGCGCGTCTCACGTTTGGGATTGACTTCATTATCCTCGTAAATATTGAGGAACGCCTTGTTGTGAGAAATGAAGAATCTCCAGTCATAAACACTTTGCTGGCGAAGCTTGTTGTTGAAAAATTCGTAAATCTCATGAGAAAACTCAAGCTTCCCGAACTTTTCCATAAGTAACACCAAATCCTTAATGACGTAAGTGTACAAATCGTGAGAGATTTGTTGCAAATTGACATAGGAGGCGAATTTGTAGTTTTCCATGGTCAATTGCTTCTTGATTTGATAATCCAAACGCATCTTCACGAGGAAAGGATCGTCAAGCGCGGCATCTTCTTCTGCGTTGTACTCTGTTTGGTCGCTCAGCGGGTCATACCCCAGCATGTACTTAGTCTTCTTGACCACTGGTTTTGGGGCACTGTATCTCTCGACCAGCAGCATGAATTCGGCGACGACCTTACCGGTGTTGGAGATTTCTTCAAGAATCTCTGTGTTGGCAAAGGAATCGTTGCGGAGCGTTTGCTTTATCTCCTTAATCTTTCCAGAAAGGTTTTTCTGTAAGGCTTCGGCTCGAGGTATAAGACGGCCACGCAAGTCTCGCGCAAGCTTGGCATTGGTAGTACATTGGGACCCATGATGTTGTAATAACATCGGCGACAAGTTGCAGAAAAGAGAGTCGCCCGGAAAGTACAGTTTGGGGATATTCAAATCATTGGATTGCGAGACTGGAGCCGAGAGGGACACCGAAGACGCCAGTCCCATCGGGTTGTGCCCCATCGAACGCGTCTTCTTGTGCCCTGTAGCGAGACCAGCTCCCTTTTTGATGGTATGGGTCAACATCTGAAACTCCTTCTCCGGGCGGGCTAACACCAGGTTATTGCTGCGTTCACGTGTCAACAGCGGCCGTGGGGGTTCATCCATTTCCTTGGTGGGCGTCAGCGCTCCCAGGCCATGTGGCAGCTTGGTGATTTGAGCATTAATCTCGTGCTTGACTTTCGACGGTAAATCCTTGAAACCAGGGAATTGAATGGTATTAAGCAATTGCATATTGAGATTAGCCTCATACTCCTTGACGAGCAGGATCTCTTTGAAGTAGAAAATAAGGGCCTTAATGAAGTACTTCCAGTACTTGAAATACTCCACTAAGTTATCAATGGGACGAGAATCATGGGGTGGAAGATTCACGAAAAAGGGCAGTCGTCTGTCCGACTGTGGTAACACCACTTCTTTGGTGAACGTCATTCCCGTTCAGAAAAAAAAAAATACCGCTGATCTGCTCTCGCTATTAATGTCTTTGCTGTGAATTGCTTTTGCAGATCCGCATAAAATATTCCGGCGGAACATATCTGTAGCCCGAAGAAAAAGCTGAAGCACGAGGTGTGAGCGGCGCACGAATTCCGCCTTCTGACATGATAACAATGCAAGGGATTCAGGCAGCCCTTTGTGCGCAGCTAGATAGGGCGTGTCCGTCAGGAAGACTTTGTCCTTGTGTCATTGTTAACCGTGCCACAAGTCCCGCCCCTCACTTCCCGCTCACAGGCTCATCGGCATCGCCACCGAGCTACAGGACCCTGTAATCAGGAATGCATTTTTTACTAAATGTGTATGGTGCAACCCCCTAAAATGCTTTCTGTGCCCCGTCTGCCGAAGCCGACAGTTGCAATTGGCTACCGTCCGGCGACAACACCATCGACTGGGACGTCGTCGCTAGCTGGCGACGCAAAAGTGCCACCTCTGCCATTAGGCTACTTTTAGTCAGCGCGGCACAAATTTGTAACAATTCATGGTTGTCAGCCGTTAACATATCTAACTTCACCTTCACTTTGTGTGCTAATTGCTCTGGGCTGACCGATCCGACCTCCGTAATTCTGCTTCGCTGCACTTTTTGAGGGGTAACCACCGCCACCGCAGCCAACAAGTGCTCGTACGCTTGTTGGTAATGGTGCCACTGCTTTCGAGCGTGGTCTAGGGCAGACGTGTCGACGGGCGCCAGGACATCAAATTTTAGGTCTTCTAGTTCTCGCTCTAAAGAGCTTATTCTTTGTTTAAGAACATTGTTCTCCATTTCGAGCTGCTTCACCGCTGGGTTGGTGCCAATTGCTTGTGAGTCTTGTGAGGGATAATACCCGGCACCACTTAACGAGTGGGGTGTCGTCGGCATGATCGGGTGGTACATTGATGTTCCCGTCGCCGACGCGGGTTTCGATGACTCGCCAGAACCAAATCGTGAGAGTGATTGCATTTGGCTTCTCGGAGGTGTCCCTAAGGTGGGTGGAGCCGCCGCCAGTTGGTGGTACCCATAGCCATGTGGTTTTAGGTACCACTCGGGAAGCTGTGTTATAGTTAGTTTTTGACAGTTTGATCTGGGAGCTGACTCCTAACCATCGCGTTAGTCGTACGCAATTGTCCCGGCCCGGTTGAAAGTATACGTACATCATTACCCGCCATCTAAGCCTTGCTGTCTTTTTTGTGAAAGAGGTGGTGAATGGAAGGTTTTTAACCTAGATCGGTGGTACTTGGTCCCACTGTTTACGTTTCATCGCTATGAAACACACCCTGTGTTTGAAACAGTCATCCGTGATTCAGGGGTTTTTCTCACGGCGCCAAGTAATAGATAGTGTAAAAACATGCCTTTCCCCGCTTAATTTGCCTCTTCTTGGGTCGCATGCATTGGAAGCCACCAATTAAGGGTTGTTGTAGAAGCGACCTAACGTCGCGGGTATAAAAAAAAAACACGGAATTTCTTGACCCCGCGCACTAACTTACGCATAGTGACGTAGACCCGAGATCTAGGCCTCCCAATCAGGATTCCTGCAAGAAATATAGGGGGACTAAAATCTGCACGCCAGTAACTGGTGGATGGCGAAAAGCGGCTAAGATGTGGCAAATGCCAGCCGGCACAAGCGGCTACTTGGCGGACACTGCCCATTTCTCTATATTTAGAAGCCCCCTTAAAAACCGGGTGCCTGACTACATCAACGCGTATCTCTCGTATGCGCTGTCAGCATGTTGACTAAATAAGTAAAAAACTATTTGAAAAGTTGATTCTGTAATGGCCCAGTCTGTAAGGCCACTTTATAAAGTTTTAAATATGTTGGCCCAGATGTCCCGGAAGCCCCACCAGGAGGCACCCGTGCCGCAGACCCCGACCCAGAACGGAGTTAAACAACCGTCATAGAGCGACCAGTGGACGACCAAGGGGATCTGGATGGCGTTTCTGAACACAGCAATTTTCCAGTTTTTATCCCACTTGCTCCGAGGCACCCTGCGGAAAAGCTCGATGATCTCGATGATGACGTAGGCGGCCCACACCCGTGACGACCATACGTAAGTCCATGCGCTCCAGCTGGCGTTGTCACTAGTGCCAACCCAATTGTGGTCCGTTAACCAACCAGCATTCTCAAATAGTTCGAGGACAATGCAGTTCACCGCTTGTAAAAAGTTGACAAACCGGGTGACGAGGGGTCCCGTGGCCGAGGGGTCGACAAGAGCAGAGAACTCGTCGATGGCCCAGGGCATGTATTTGATAGCGTCGGTCAAACGGTTAAAGATCCGCACGTCGGCAACGTAACTCAGAATCGCCTGCAAATGAGTGGCTAAACTGGTCTTGAACTTTTCCAGCCACAACCTAGGAGTCACCCCCAAATGTCTTTGACACCAGTCAATGATATACTCGCGGTTCATCAAGATCGCCGCCGCGAGCTTCGTCAGGTAGCAGAGGAAGTAGAGGTTGGCGTCGACGGTGGCGGTGTTGGCCAACACTTGTTTGTTGATCTGGTCATAGAAATTGCGGGAGAACACGGTCCGCTTGAGCACTCGTGAAAGGGAAAACAACAACGGCAACGGCACCGGACGCTTCTCCATGTCGATTCAAATGATGAGGGGGGAGATGGGTATCGGTGGTTAAACAAGTTAAACAAGATTCCCCACAAACACGGGTTTTTTCGTTCCGCGGCTAAAACTGTCGTGGGGTTTCGTGCTTGCACGAGTGGTGTTGACGAATAATAGTCCAGCAGAAACAAATCTTTCGATGTGTGGTTGTACTGTTTATTTAAGTTATCTCAGATGAATTTTTTTGTCTTTGTGTCAAAGTTCCTCGGTTCGAGGAAGACCTCGGCTAAATAGTAACTCCGAGAACCACGTTCCTACGTATAAACGTCAACTGATCACCATCGACTTTAACAAGAATCGCTAGAGATAATTGCAGTGTTAGTGCATCTATGCTGTAATTGTGTTCCTGTTAGATTATGGAACTTAATCAAACAGCTTTGTGCACATGGAAGCATGCTTTTTTTTCTGTGAACAAACTAACGTTAACCACGAATCCGGCATCTTCAGCTGCAAATTGGCAACTCATCCCCACAGGATTGTTACCGAACGGTGTGTGTAAACTATAGAAACACATTGGCGAGTAGTCGCAAAGTTGGTTCATGTTTTCTAAATTGAAGGGAGTGCTCATGGACTCCGATCGATGTACGGAACAGTGATAATGCCCATGATAATCAAAAGCAACCTTGTGTCAATCGTATAAAAGGTATTCTGCTATTGTTGTAGATTACTTGCTGGATCAAGCGCCGACGCTTTTTTCGAGGTCGCACGGCGGATGTCTCGTGACCTGAAAAAAAGGCCAGTGTCCAGACCCATCTTCAAAGACGAGAAAGAATGCCTCCCAAGAAGAAGCAGCCTCAGGTTAGTAACAAAACCAAGCAAAAGGCTGCTGCTCAAAAGGCCGCTGACAAGACCTTTGGTCTCAAAAATAAGAATAAGTCGAAGAAGGTCCAAGAGCACATCCGTCAAGTGCAAACGTCGAGCGATGGCGGTTTAGCCAAAAAGAAGGAGGCAGAAGCCAAGCGCAAAGCCGAAGAAAAGAAAGCCGCTGAGCAAGCTAAAAAGGAAGCTGCGGCTCTCTTTGGTATTCAACAACAAAAAGTCCCCTTTGGTACGGATCCCAAGCTGGTTCTTTGTGAATTCTTCAAGGCTGGCGTTTGTACGAAGGGTAACAAGTGTAAATTCAGTCACGACCCCAACGTCGGCCGGAAAGACGCTAAGAAGGACTTGTATGTTGATCTGAGAGCGGCTGCCAAGGAAGAAAAGGAAAAGGACAACATGGAGGACTGGGATGAGGAGAAGTTGAGAAAGGTGATTATGTCGAAGCATGGCAACCCCAAGACCACCACCGACAAGGTATGCAAGTACTTCATCGATGCGGTGGAAAACCAGAAATATGGTTGGTTCTGGGTGTGCCCCAATGGTGGTAATGACTGTAAATATAAGCACTCGTTACCCGAAGGGTTCGTCCTTAAGACGAAGGAACAACGGAGAATGGAGAGGCTCGCTGAGGAACTGGCACCCAAAATCACTCTTGAAGAGTTCATTGAAATGGAGAGAGGTAAGCTCGATAAGCTGAAGTTCACCGCCATCACCATCGAATCATTTGACAAGTGGAAGAAGTTGCAAGTGGAAAAGAAGGAGGCGGCGGCCAAGAAGGAGGAGGCCCGGGCTAAAAGACCCAAGACGGGACGAGAGGTCATTTTGGAGAAGTTTGCCGACAAATTCTACCAAGAAGAAGACGACGGTGGCGATACTTGGGACTTGTCGCAATTCAAGAGCGAGCTTCCTGACACTGACGAAAATGTCAAGGACTACGGTGATGGGTCGAAGGTTACCTTCAACAATGCAGAGTAAATAGCGGGGTCTGTGACCAAAGGGCCGTCCTAGGCGGCAGGGATTTAATACATATATGATTATCCATCAAACTTTCATGAACATTAAAATAATACGACGTTTAGTGGTGGAACAATCTGATGGGGTTTTCCACGTAAACCATGTCATGGGCATCGGCGGCAGCGAACACAACCTTGTCCATAACCGAGCCCGAGGGGGCGGCGACGTACTTGACACCCGAACGAGCGGCTCTGTAGACGTTGTCCGGGAAGGGGAAGAAGGCGTCCGACGACAACGCAACCTTGTCGAGCTTCGACAACCATTCCTTGCGTTCCTCGGCGGTCAAAGGTTCGGGAACCTCAGCGAACTTCGATTCGTATTCGGACTTTTCCGGTTCGGTGGTGGGGATTTGGTTGGTCACGTACAAGTCGATGGCGTTGGACTTTTCCGGACGCTTGACACCCTTGGCCCACTTGAACCCAAGGACACGAGGGTGTTGTCTCAACCACCAAGCATCAGCCTTGTCGCCAGCCAATCTAGTGCAGTGGATTCTCAGTTGCTGGCCAGCACCAAGACCGATGGTCATACCGTTCTTAGCGTAGCAAACCGAGTTGGATTGAGTGTACTTGAGGGCAATGGTAGCAACAATCAAGTCGATGACCCCTTCGCGGGGCAATTCCTTGTTCTTAGAGACGATTTCCTTGAACAACAGTTCCTTGATGACGGCATCGTTGCGCTTTTGTTGTAAGGTGACACCGAACACTTGGCGCGACTCTTGCAAGTCAGGGACAAAGTTGGGGTCGATTTGAAGAATGCAGTACTTCCCGGCCTTCTTCTTTTTGAGAATTTCGAGAGCTTCATCTTCGAAGCCAGGAGCGATGACACCGTCAGACACTTCCTTCGAGATGATCTTGGCGGTGGGAACGTCGACAACGTTGGAGAGAGCAATGAAGTCACCGAACGACGACATTCTGTCGGCACCTCTGGCTCTGGCGTAGGCGGTGGCCAAGGGCGACAAGTCTTCCATGTCTTCCACCATGTAAATCTTCTTTTCCACTTCCGACAACGGGACGCCGACGGCGACACCGGCGGGGGAGACATGCTTGAACGAAGCCGCGGCGGGGAGGTTGAGCGAGGCGCTCAACTCCTTGACCAACGGCCACGAGTTGAGGGCGTCTAAGAGGTTGATGTACCCGGGGGAGCCGCTGAGCACCTTGAAGGGCAATTCGTTTTGCGACACGAAAGCCTGGGCCGGCTTCTGGTGGGGGTTGGCACCGTATCTGAGGGGCATCTGCGACAAGCCCTCCGAGTATTGCTTTCTGAAGTAGTCGGAGATGGCGGAGTCGTATTCGGCGGTCGATTCGAACGCCTTCAACGCGTAGCGGTTTCTCAATTCGGCGGAGATGTCGCCCTTAGCCAATTGTTCCAAGAAACCAGCGTAGTCCTTGGGGTCGGACAAGATCACCACCCGCGAGTGGTTCTTGGCGGCGGCGCGCAACAAGGTGACGCCACCAATGTCGATTTCCTCGACGGCTTCTTCGATGGTGACGCCAGCCTTGGACACGGTTTCCTTGAACGGGTACAAGTTGCACACAACGTAGTCGACCTTGTCAATGCCCTGATCGGCGAGGTCCTTTTCGTCCGATTCCAAGTCACGGGCAAGAATACCGCCGTGGACGGCGGGGTGCAACGTCTTGACTCTGCCGCCCAACATCTCGGGGGCGTGGGTGATCAGCGACACGTCCTCGACGGGGAAGCCGGCCTCCCTCACCATTTTGGCGGTACCCCCCGAGGCAAGGATACGGACACCGGCGGCGTTCAACCCCTTGGCGAGGTCCAACAACCCGGTCTTGTCGTACACCGACAAAATAGCAGTTTTGGTGTGAGCCATAGTGCAAACGTGGATGATTCAATTCGGGGTGATTGCTCCTGTAATTTATAACCGGAATTGACTCGGCTGAGGAAAAAATGTTCTCGAAGTATTAGATGAAAAATTGAGTCGACGACGAAAGAACGCGGAGGGCAGCAGAGAAAACACCCGATATAGCGGGTAAGGGGGCGTAGAAGTTACTGCTGCTACTTTTAACGGTTTTTGAGGGATCCATCATTGTCGCTAATTTAATTTACCTACGCTCACAATCGTTTGCTGGCGCCACTAGGGATCGACGGGTTGTTGGGCCTAGCAACCGTTATCCTTTCGCCCGCCGTGCCCGCCCCCTGTAATTGCCTAAGTTCTTATCGCCTCTAGCCACCCCGCAATATCTTTCTCTCGTTCTCAAATTTCCTTGACTCGGAACGACAGCGGTTCCGGAGTCATGTACGTCTACCAAAAGATACACCAATTCACTGTCAAAACCTATGAAGAATTGTTTTCAAATATGGTGAAATTCATTTATCATTTATCCTGATTCAAAATTTCAATTGTAACACAATTTATTAAATTTTCAATCTGGTAGTATTTTGCCACTATACACTTCACCACACCATCGCACTCCCGCCTCGATCCAGATGTCGGTCCTCATCAACCAGTATATTGCCACTGATGACGGTACCCCATACGTCGACCAGCTAGCCGACAAGTTGGTCAGCAAAGACCTCAGTCTTTTGCAATTTATACAGCAGCTCGGTCCCACCATAACTAATGACAACCCTACCATTCGGGTGAAAGCGGTCGAGCTTCTTGGGGCCGTTCTTGAGCTGATGCAACAACGTCTGCTTCCTCAAGGTGTTCTATCAAAGCAGGATGTGGTCGTCTTGCTTGAGTTCCTTCTCATGAAGTTTGATGACAAACAATGTCTAGAGGCAGTTTTGATTGCACTTGAAAAGCTTTGCAAACTTCCCCAATTTATTCCAGCTTTGTGCTCATCCAAGGTGTTAACGGCTATTCAGTCAAAGTATAATCCCCGGTCCCACTTGGCTAAGGTAAGATACCGTGCTTTCATCGTGTTGCAAACGTTACTCGATAATTACACGAATTTCTATCTGGGTCTGCACCAAAATACTGTGCTCTTCACCAAAGCATTCTTGGCAATTGCCGAAGGCGAGAAGGATCCTCGCAACTTGTTAGTATCGTTCTCCTTGAATGCCAGCATTAATGAGCATCTTCAATTTGACTTTGTTAATGATGTTGATAGACTGCTTGTCAATGACTTGTTCGATGTCAGTTTCTGCTACTTCCCCATTTCGTTTACTCCGCCCCCTAATGATCCTTACAAAATCACTGCCGACCAACTCAAGACTCAACTTCGAACGACGTTGGCGTCGCAACCATTATTCGCTCTGGAAGCTTTCCTGCTGCTTTTGGAAAAGCTCACCAGTACCAACCCAGTGATTCGCAACGATGTCTTGCAAACGGTGTTCACTTGCGTTGAAACTTATCCCACTTCTGCTATGAACGACTCATGGCTCCAAATATGGAACTCGCTCAAGTTCGAATTATTGCACCGTCATGACCACTTGGAAAATGTCTTCAAGGCGAATGAAACATCACTTCTTCCACCTGACTACCAAACTGTGGTTGATCCCACCGACCCGAATAAACTGTTGTTTTATGCGCTTGATATCATTGGTGTCACTTTCAATAAGATCGAGGATGAACAAAGGAAACAGTTCTTTGACCTTATCTTGGAGGATTTGGACCCTTTGATGTCGAAAATGAACGACAAAACCCGTCCTGCTATTCTTATATTGGTTCATTTGGCCTTAACGAACTCAGAGTTTACGAACGAGATTGCGCTTTTCATTGGCAAGCATTGGGGTAAATTCTTTGGCTCCGAAGACGGTGGGGAACAAGAAGTTCTTGACGCTACCCGACAAGGCACCTTCATTGACCTTATTGGTTTCGTTCTTATGATTCAGTCAGTTTCGGCATTAGAACGAATGAAGCCGTACTTATTGGTCTATCTCCAACGCCTCCTCTCATCCACGTCTCAAGTGAGATTAAAGGTAATCCAGCGGTTATTGCAAATGGTTCTGATCCCCGGATTAGTCAACCCGACCGAGACAAAACTTATCTTTGACACCGTGAATGCTAACCTCACGCCTCTGCTTGTGGGTAGTTTGGTGGATGTGAGTCAGCAAAACCCCCTGCTCATTATTGAGTTTGTCATCCCAGAGCTCCTTCAAAGACTTGAAACGGCTGGTAACTTGGATGAACAAATTAAGGTGCTTGGTATGCTCAACAAGCTTTGTTCATGTTATCAGATTCTTGAGGTGCTATCGATTCGGTACGCCTCGATGATCAATCGACTTGATGGCAAGTCCACTCAATTAATCCAACTCATTATCGAATCGCTTATTGAAGGCTTCATTCGGATCCAAAAAGAGAATCAATTTTTGGTGCAATGGAGCTGGCACGAAAAACTTGTACCCGATCTTCTCAAAGCCTCCAATGACTACATGGTGATCGAGAGAATCAGTGATTTAGTGGGGTTGTACGTCAATTTCACCGACAAACTGAAACACGCTGAGGTGCTTAAACTTTCTCTCCGTCGCTTTGAGTCGTTTTACAAGGATGCCTCGCCTATGATGCTGGTATTTTTGAAGATCCTCGCAAACCTTGACAAACTGGTGGAGTACTCAATTGACACTGCTTCAGTACTTGAGGTCATCGCCAAGTCGGATGATGTGTACCTTCGGTATGTGTATTGCCAAATGCTTGCCCTTGCTTCAAACAAATTCGGCTCCACCATTACACCAGAATTGGACCAAACCCTCCCATATATCTGGGACCTTAAGGGGAAATTGTTGCGACTTGACGCTAACGCTGTTAATGACTTCCAAAAGTTTTTCAGCAAGGATCAATGCACTCCACAAACGCTTGCGATTCTTTTTGAAGACATTCCCATTTTCATGCGGCTGATTCAATCCATTAAACCCCGTGACCTTATATCCAACGTGCTGTCGATGAACGTGAGACCCCTCGCAAAGCAGAGAATGTTTGAAATCGCACTTCCTGAACTCTTGGGCAAAAATGATGAGGATAGCTTGGCCAAACTTGCGTCAGTCATGGACCGCGTTAGTCCTGAGTTGGTCAAACCTCACCTGGCCGATTTGGTTCCCGCCGTCATTACTACCCTTGCCCAAAGTAACTCCTCGCTCATTGCTTCGGGGATTTCAATCCTCCAAATTTTGCTAGAGAACATCGAGTTGGTGTCTCCTCACTTCAGCTCCATCATCCCTCGACTCACCGAGTTAGCAGTTTCATCACCAGTCGCCGCAATTAGGCTTCTGCTGTTGGAGACTTTGATTGCGATATTCAAGAACACCGACGCTCAAGCCAAAGCCATGAACTACAAGGACTCTACTTTGGATATTGTCGCTCAAGGGCTTGACGATGACAAACGCAAAGTCAGAAAAGCATGCGCTGACCTCCGCCAGGTGTTGTATGAACTTTAAATCTATTAACACGTAAATCTCGTTTATAAGTAAATGGACCTAATCCTCATCCCCATCCTCTTCTTCCTCATCGGAAGAAACATAATCCACAGGAGCCAACCCTGGAGTCAAGCCAGGCACAGAAATCTTACCTTCCTTCACCAAATTGTTGTATCTGTCGGTGAGGCCTGAGCTGACCGACTTGGTGTGTGTGGTGCTCAACGACTTGTCCTTGCGCTTCTTCTGTTTGGCCTCGATTTCCGCGGCTAACTCTCGTTCAAGCTCCTTGATTTCGTCTTCAACGGCAAAGTCTTCATATTCTTCTAGCATCTTAAGCTGGTTAACATTGCGCTTGATGAGCTTTTTGAGATACTTCTGTTCGGCTTCGGTGGCGTTATTCTTGTGGCTCTTGATGACTTTGTACTTGACCAACTTCTCGAATCGTTTCTGTTCTTCTTGCTTCTTCTTCACAAGTTTATTCTTCTTCTGTCGGTCTCGTTTGGAAACCACATTCACAGGGGTCTCGAACTGAGCTGCGAGAAGTTCCGTAGATGACTTGGGCTTTTTGGTTTGCTTCCGCTGTTGGGCGTCTGGTATAAGACCGGCAAGCAACTTATTAACCGAAGCCTCTGCCCTGGCTTTCGACGTGGAACTCACAAACGACATGGGATACGTATGTGATGCGATGGGGTTGGTGCGGCTCAGATGCCCCACCACATAAACGCAACAAAACAAAATTTAGCAAGTTAGAGAGGGATAACCGGAATAGCTTGCATTGTTGAAGTTTGTCTGCCCATTTTTATTCTAAAATGTATTTCGATTTAGGAGGGTTTTGGACACAATGGTCTCTTATCAGTCAAGTGCGCAATCAATAGCGATCTATTGTTTTAACGTCTTGTATTGTCTAAACTTTGTAAATTTAATATAAATTAGTAATCGTGAAATAACATTAATTAACGCACCAGCACGTTTATACCTTGTTGGAGTCATCGATGTGACTCACCTGGGTCGAGAACTTCGGCTCGAGCTCGTCCTGACCGACGAGGTCAGCCATGCCATCATCGTCAAAGTCGGTAGTGTCCTTAATTCTGAAGAAGATCAAGGGGATGGCAATCACCATCGACCCGATCGACAACCCCCACGAGGTGGCAAACATCGTCATGTACGGGTGGTGCAAAGCGTCCAACCGCCAGGCGATGGCGGCCCCCGCCGATTGCAAACCTTTGAAGAACCCGGCGTACAACGCCGTCTTCTTGGGGTTGTTGGACAACGCTCCAAGCACCCACAAGATGAAGGTCTGGTAGATGGCGTCGAAACCTCCGTAGAACATGTACAAGAACATGGGGCCAATGTAACGGCCTTGCTTGTAGTTAATGGGAGACAACAACGGCTCGGTGCCCTTGGGGGCGTCGTCGGGAACGGTGACGTCAGCCCGGGTGAAGTCCTGGAACTTGTAACCACCGCCCCAGATGACCATACCCAACACGAACACGACCCCCCAGCCGATCTTGGCCCGCGTCGATCTCTTGACCCATGGCATGTCCAAGATGAACCCGAAAAGCACGGCGCCGATCATTTGCGAGAGCCAGTACAACAACGAGTTGAGCGATCTCGTGGGCAAGTCAAAACGGCCAGCGTTGAAGTCGTTGAATTGGTAAGTGTAGAACCAATTCGACGACAAGAACATCGGGAACATCAACACCACGATGGGCTCCTTGATCAAAAGCAAGAACAACCCTTTGAGTTCAAGCCACCAGTTGGGGTGCTTCTGCGCCGTCACTCTGGTGCCGTCAGCCTTCCACACTCTCGACATCGGCAACATGAAGCACGCGACCACCGACCCGAAGAACATGAGTACGATGAAGGCGATGTAGGTGCCGTCGTTGGCGGTGGACCCCCGGTTGTGGATATTGTCAGCCAAGGGAATAATCGAACCAATCACTGCCCCCAAGTTGAAAATGACCCAAAACACCATCAAGGCACGACCTTTAGTCCCCTCAGTAGGGTACGACATAATGATGGTACCCTGAGCGGCCCAAAGCACCGAGGCACAGATACCCAAGAACGCCCCGGCAAAGATGACGAACCCCTTGTTTTGGGTGTGGTAGAAACAAAGCAATGATCCGGAGTAGATACAGTAACCGATACCGCCAAACACCAACGAGGCGCGGATGCCAATGGTGTTGCAGATGGTACCCCCAAAGAACCCCACGGTGGCGAACGTCGAGTACAACGCGACCATGGCGTTGTCGGAGGTGGCGACGTCGGAGATGGAGGCACCAATCCCCGAGAGGGCATTGAACATCCCCGGGGTGAGGAAGATGACAAACGCACACATCACCACCTGGATCATGGCGTCGGAGTAGCGGAGGCCGAAGCGCTTCTTGTCGTACCACTTGCCCAGCGCCTCGATCTCGTCTTCAGTATGGTGGCGGGGCTGGTGGTGGTTGTCGTCGTCGACATGGCTGATCTCCTCGTGGCTGAGCACCTCTTCCTTCCCCGTCGAGGAGTTGGAGTCGATATCTATGTGGGTTCCAAGCTTTTCGTCGGCCATGGGATTGATCTGGGGGATATCTGGGGTAACGCTGCTTATATATAGAAGGTGCCGCTGGATCGGCGCCGTTCCCCACCCCAATGAGGTTACATCGCACGCGAAAAGGTTGCATCGCCTCTGCGGGTGCAACTTCGAGCGATGGCACCACTATCACCAGGGGGATAAGCTTATCGACCACGGGGCGATCAAGATAGTGTCAGGTGATAACCACCGAGATAGATAATACACGGCAATCAACCGTCCGGGGTGGCCACAAGTGTAATCAATTCGCTCTCAAAGGCCATTGTACGGCAGAATCACAAAGTTGACAGGGTGCAGGAGGGGTAGCGAGCTATCCTGGGGAAAACAAATGTCACCTCGCCGGCGAGGTAGCATCGCCCCCCGGAAGCCTCCCCGAGAAGCACGCGGTGCGCCACATACATCGTAAACGTCAATGTGGGCGTCACCCGCATCCTCAAAAAAGCGCTCTCCCCCATGTTCGTGTGCGAGTTTGGCGCCGTACGATATCGATCGTAAATATCAGACGCTAACAACTCCGAGCTTTATTGGACACTACAACGGTAGCCACTAGCATTAGGAGAGGGCATTAGTCATGGGGGACGGCGTTAGTAACCCCGGACACGCGGTGCCATGGTGCCCCCATTTTTCTCGTCTACTACCCCGGCCAATGGCACCGGGGAAAAAGATTTTTAAGGGACGTTGCAATGTGGGGAAGTCACCCCAGACGTTACCAAAATTGCAACCTCGGTGCATGTTGCAATTTACGTAAAACCGCCTGCGAGCAGCAACCCGCCAGCATTACTGTGGGGGACAAGCCATCTTTCCCTTGCTTTAGTGGTGACCTGTCGCCCCCGCCCCTTAAAGGGCATGACTTAAACAATGGACGTGTAGTGGATAGCGATTGGCGCGCGGCCCTCCCTCTATCCTAAATAGGCAACCGCTGCCAAACAGTAACGCCGCGCGAAAATCGTTCATTTCAAGTGTACATCATATATGCCATGCTAGGCACAAGTCACCGGGGTTTGCGGAGAATCTCGGGTGGACAGCCACTAGGTTGCAGCATCGGCACCGTTTTTGACATACTAGGGTTGGAATTTCTACACCGTTTTGGGGCCATACAAAATTTTCCTATATACTATGTACTTTCACTTACTCGGTGTACTCGTCGCCAGCCTTGATGATGGCGTTGTAGAGCCCGTCGACCAGTTCCTTGGAGAGGATGGGCGAGTTGAACACCACTCGGAAAAACTCCGGCAGGTCGAGCTTGGTGGGGTTGGGGGAGAAGTCCACAAGGTACTCGCCCGCCTTGTGTAACTCACGGCTGATGTAGCGAGTGACTGCGGTCAAGTCGTGGATATCTTCGCGAGGCTTGTAGTAGAAGCACACTTGCAAGCACTGGGGGTCCTCGATCACCAACTGGAACCGCTTGTCCTGTTTGACGAGGTTGACGAAGTAGTCGACGACGGCGTAGGCGTGGTCGACCCGCAGCGCCAACCCTTGGGTGCCGTAGTAGAGCCACGCCAAGTAAAACTTGAGGGCATCGGGACGACGCCCGCACCCCATGGTGCCGTCAGCAAGGTCGTAGTTGTCCTCGTCGTTCTCACGGCCGTGGAACAAGTACGGAGCCTTAAGCGACATCAGCGTCTGGAAGTGCAGCAAGTTCGGCACCAACAAGAACGAACAGGTGTTGGCCACCCCCAACATCTTGTGCGGGTTGACGGTGAACGAGTCGGCGAGCTCTGCTCCGGCCAACTTCTTTCTCTGGGTGGGGCTGAAGACGATGTTACCCCCCCACGAACCGTCGATGTGGAAGTGGCAGTCGTTAGCTTTAGCCACGGCGGAGATGGCGGTGAAGTCATCGTAGGAGCCAAACACCGTAGTACCCGCAGTGGCGTTGATGTAGAACGGAGTGAAGCCGTCCTCTTTAGCTTGAGCGATCGTCTTCTTCAACTCGTCGACGTTTAACGTGCCATCCTCGTTGATGGCGACTTTAAACACCGACTCCGAGCCCAAGCCAAGCAAGATCGCCGCCTTCTCCACCGAGTAGTGGCAGTGCTTCGACGTGAATACGGCGAACTTGTGGTTGCCGTTGCCCTTGGCCTTGGTGTCGGGGTATCTCAACGCCCGGGCCATGTGCATCGAGGTGATGTTGGACCACGAGCCACCAGGGAAGGTGAGCCCGCCCGCGGTGTCGGTGTTAAAATACAACTTGGCGTACTTTTTCCCGATCTCGTTTTCGATCACCGAGAGTACCGGACTCACGGTATAGACGTGGGAGTTGGTGTTGAGCACACTCAACAACAAGTCGCCGACGACGCCGATGGGGTTGTTCAGCGCGTACAACTTGTCCAAGAACCCCGGGTTCCACGTGTTGACGGAGTACTCGAGGATGTCGTCGATCGTCTTGATCAACTCGTCGCTGTTGCCCTGGGGCTGCTTATCGAGTTTGGCGGCGGCGCTTTGAGGGCCAAAGAACTTCTCCTTAAGCACCGCTGGTTCATGGTAGGTGCCGAGAGACCCCTTTTGATACGACGGCGAGTTGGGGTCGGCCTTGGCGATGTGGGCGAGAACCTTGGGCTTAAGCACCGTCAATAGCTCGTCGAGTTCGGCGACTCTGTTGGCTTCAAGCTGCGATAAAAGTTGTTCTGATTGGGTCATGGTGGTGTGGAAAGTGGTAAGTGGAAGAAACGATTCGCTCTGCCACAATTTTGCAACTGCACATGTCTCCCCCGACAATCTCAGCGCCGAAAGCGGGTTCGCACTGTAAATGTCGCAAACCTGGTGGGTAAGCGTCCGACGATAACCGATACGGCGATATTTAATTTACGCTTACGATTTAGGGGTCGTCGACGGATTTAAAGCGGTCGGATTTCCTATAAAAATCGCGACGAGCATTTGGTCTACCCCGAGCCGATTGCCTAGCGATAAGCTAGCGTCAGGTCTCATGGAGAAAAAATATATTTTCCCCGTGATCACCTCCACCTCGGACGCTTATTGGGTGGGACACGACTCGCGACCCGCTAGCTGGCATAAAAAAAATGGGCACACCTGTACAAAATTTACTTGGGGTGGGGGGAGGCACTAGTCGCGGCACCGAGGGCTGCCGGTGGACGTCGATGGAATCTTCCATCATGGGTGCGAACCTTCGCGCGTGGGAGAGGGGAGGCAAATCAAGATGAATTGTCGACAATTTTGCCAATGGTTTACCATTAATTGGCAATTGTCTACCCCGGTTTTGATTGATTCCCTTATAGGTTGCCAATAATTGAATTTATGGAACGATTTTTCACTATTTATTCCGATTTTCACCACTACATTTGCCTCCGACACTCCCGTAGAGGCACGTGACCTAGCCCTTTATATATTCAAGGGTTGCTAATTAAATTTCCAACTAACGAGACAATTGCCATGGCCCAAGACCCCGAAACTGCGACTGTGTTTCACCCTGTCATCAAGTGGGCCCAGAGGCTGAATGCCGACGACGCCACCAAAAACCTTGTGTTTCTTACCGTCGAAGTCATGGACCCCGTCGACATGAAGATCGACTTGACCGAGACCTCGCTCTCTTTCGAGGCCACCGGTCTGGAACTGAAGGTCCACTACAAGTTCCACATTGACTTCTACCAACCCATTGACGAGGCCGAATCGACGTACGACACTAAAGTGGGCTCGCACGTGTTCTTTGTGTTGCGCAAATCGGTGAAGCAGGCGGAATACTGGCCTCGCTTGACTAAGGACAAGCTCCGCCACCCCTCGATCAAGACCGACTTTGACAAGTGGGTCGACGAAGACGAACAGGACGAACACCGCGCCGACGACGACGACATGCTTGCGGGCATGGGCGGCGCTGGTGCTGGTGCTGGTGGCATGGACTTCAGTCAATTGATGGCGGGCATGGGCGGTGCCGGTGGTCCCGGTGGCGCCGGTGGCGCTGGCCCCTCGCAGGCTGACCTTATGAAGCTTATGTCCCAAATGGGCCAAGCCGGTGGCGACAATGCCGACGGTGACTTGTCGAACTTGGCTAGCACCCTTGGTAAGGCGGGCGGTGACGAAAAGGAGGAAGAAGCGGCTGAAGAAAAGTAATGATACAACGTTATGACCCTAAAAATGTGCTAAACTGTGCTAATGACTGTAGACCCACTTGGCGAGTATCTGGTGTAAAGGATGTCCCTCCACCTGGTACTGCTGAGGCCAACTATCGCAAATGTAGCCGGGCTTGCAATTGGCAATCAAGGTAAGTACGGTGGTGATCTGGTGGAGCTCAAGCGTCACGGCGTAGTCGATAAAGCCGTGCACCACCACCGGCTTACCCTCACTAGTTGCCTGAAGGAGGATCCGTTCGAGGTCGCCAAATGCCGCCACTGAAACTTGTTGCCACTGCGCTAAGTGCGATAACTTATAGGGAGCTAACCGCGTGTGGGAGAGGTCGATGGCAAACTCAGGCACGTCGACCGCCACCACGTAGCCGTGCTCGGTGAGATGATTCGTAATAGTATCGAACCACTGTTCCCGGTTGTCGCACCAACCCACCTCGCCCATAATAGGTTGTGGGCAGTGTGAACTGGACGTGTAGGTTGTGTGTGTGAGTTGCGGGGACCTAAATTCGCTCTACTACTTAAGTCTGCGACCACCAGACTACTGTGACAATTAAACGATACTTTCAGTAGTTGACTGAATTTGTGCTTAACTCATTATCAAATATTGCTTAGATGGTAAAATTACCGTTCGCTTACAATTTAAATTGCTATTAGCCATATTTCTTGTCTGTAGTTTCATCCTCTTCTTTGTACCCAGTGGATCACCAGTCGCACTTTTCAGCCCGTCTCAAATTTTTCACCAAAGACTGCAATACCAGGATGAGTGTCGTCGGCAGAGGCATGGCAAGACGGCTCTGCCAGCAGGTCAGGGCTGCGTCCACTGCTGCTGAAGGTGCTACCGCAGCTACCGCCGAGTCTCGTGAAAAGGCGGTGGCCGATGCCCTCGCCCGCGAAGAACAAGCCGCCGAAGAACGCAAGCGGATGAGAGAACTCAAACAACACACCTTAGAAGAGATCAACAAGCTCAACAAGGTTCCCCTGGTCCTCATCAACCAAAGATTGGCCAAGCTCCAAGCGGAACTCGACAACTTGCCGCAAAATAAGGTCAAACAATTGGACGAAGAACTCGAAGAGTTCTTGATGAACAACATGAACTTGCCCATCAAGAAGATCGTCAACCGTCCGTGGGCGAAAAACCTCATCGACTCTCAGGGTAAGCTCAAGTTTGACGACCACTCTACCAAGCTTGCGTCGACAACTCTGTTCAATGAGTTCCCCAACTTACAACCCACCCCCGACTACAAGGGTTACAGTGAGCAAGAACTATACCTCCGGCAGCTCCAGCACCAGCGCCAAACGGCGGCGCTTGGTCTGAAGCTCAAAAACGTGTACAAGCCCAGAAACGATGCCGTCAAGCCCCAGCTGATTGGCGACATCACTGTATCGCTGTTACTCGCTGCTGGCTGTCACTTGGGCCATGCCCCGTCGCTGTGGAGACCCACCACTCACCGGTTCATCTACGGTGAATACAAGGGGGTTCACATCATTGACTTGAACGAAACCATGGTCGCCCTTAAGCGCGCCGCCAACGTCGTCAAGGGGGTGGCAAAGAAGGGGGGTATAATCTTGTATGTTGGTACCGGTAAGCTCAACTTCCACCAACACCGGGTGTTAGAAGAAGCCGCCACTCGTTCTGGCGGGTACTACATCGCCAAGAGATGGATCCCCGGTACCATTACCAACTTCCTTGAAGTCACCAAGCATACCGCCACCGCCAGCATCGACGGGTCGTCTACTTCCCGTGTTGAAGTCGACATGGCTGACAACGCGTCGGGCAAGGCCATCACTGACAACAGCTTGCTTAAGCCTGACCTTGTTGTCTTGATTAACCCTGTGGAAAACCGCAACTGCATCGATGAATGTACCAAGGCCCGGGTGCCCACCATCGGTTTGTGCGACACCGATATGGAACCTCTGTTATTGACCTACCCCATCCCCGCCAACGACGACTCGGTGAGATCGCAAGCGTTGATCACGGGTGTGTTGTCAAAGGCGGCCGAAGAAGGTAGAGCCGAAAGACACGCCTTGTTTAATGACTACAAGAAGGCTCAGGAGGAAAGAGGCCAAGCATCCATGTAAATAGACCGTCGTCGCGCGACGATATCATTGTATAATAAACTTGAAGTTTCGTAACTTGAAATGCTTATAGTAGCTTCTGACTCATCCGATGGATTTCGATCAATAATTAAGCATTACTTTCTTTTTGTTACTGCTGCCATTATTGTTATTGTTGGAGGTCTTCCCAAGCCCTCTTCGCTCGAGCTCAGCTTCAAACTGCTGTCGATGGTTCTGTTGCTGCTGTAAAAATTGTTGCACTCGAGGATCCTGAAGGCACGACTCTCGATTGGCAGCGATGTTTCGATCAAGTGTCTCGCAATCAAGCTCGAGATCATCCAATGCAATCAGGTTCAGTTCAGCCTCAATGGTGGCAGGAGCCACTGGTTGGGCCAATGATGACTCTGGCCAAAGTTTGCGGCCTTTCAGTTGGATATATTCATAACACTCATCATCACCTCCATCGACGTGTTGGCGATGATAGCGTAGGAGTTCTTCAATGGTTATCAGCGCAGACATTCAATGTGATCTACCAAAACCGCGATGGTAACGTGACCGTTAAATATGCGAATGGCTACGCCGTGCAAAAACGCATCACAAAGAACAAGTAGTACTAAATAAATCGGCCAAACACGAAGGTTATAAGAAGTGGACATGAAAGAATCAAAAAAGAGGTCCTACCCGGATTCGAACCGGGGTTGTTCGGATCAAAACCGAAAGTGATAACCACTACACTATAGAACCATTTGCGAAAAACGATGCGTAACTGGTAATATAATTGGTAGATGATCTGGAATTATGTCCGCCAATTCGTTTCCGATTGCGTTTATATTGCTGTGTATGATAGCTTTAGTCAGTGAATACTCGAACTTAACCTTTAGTCGGCTGAAATCTATATAATTTAATCTGAAATCCTGCGAAATTCTCAGATTCTTACGACAACCATATCAAACTCACAATTGAATTTCCAAAGTACATGGTCAGTTGAGGAGGTATAAAACATGCATTTTAGCACATTTCAATTAATTTGTAGCTCCAACATTGCGAATTATTAAAAAATTATATTTGATAAAAGTGCGTTCTGGAAGAATGTAAAATGTTGGCAAAATTCAAAACACGAACCAAACATGAACTTCAAACTTTAGAATGACGGTTGTTCGAATCTTAGTAACACTTCATTGTGATTATTATCATAAAGCTCAAAAGTGCAGCTTACTATTCGTATAGATATGGTATATTGTACATTTATTAATAAATTGTTCATGTCTCGTTTCTATAATACAATTATGCTAACCTTGCTTGCGCAATTTCTCGAGCTCTTCTTGAAGTTTGCGTCTGCGGATTCTTTCCTCTCCCAATTTGACCTCATATTGCTCTTGAATATCAGTGACGATCTTCTTGAACTCCTTTCTCAAAATTCCGGTACTGGTAGAACCTTGGACTCGAGGCGCCACCAGTATACCCAGAACAAATGAGCTGTGTTCGTCTTGATCTTCTTCAGTCGTGTCTGGCAGAGTCTGAGCCCGAACAGGTGATATGGCAATATTAGCAGTGCTCAGGAATGGCAGAGTTTGTAATCCGCTCGGCAGATTCAATGAGAGGGAGGACAACCCGACACGATCAATCTTCATCATATTAATTTCCTTGCTCAAGCGAGAAATTTCCTTCTCTTTCTGTTCGATACTATCGAAGTTATCATGGTAAGAGATGTCAGCCACATCTTGACTCGATGCAAGTTCAGCCTCCAAAAAGGCGATCTTGCGGCGGTAGTCCTGGACAAGCTTTTTGGTGGAGTCTTGAGAGAGTTCGTATTTTTTGAGCAAGTATTGGTGGGAGAAGCGCAAGTCATTAAGAGCAGTGTTGAGTTCTTCAACGGACTTGGTGGACATTTGCTTTTGAGGAGAAGCGGTGGCAATCTCACGAGTTGTATTAGTGTTGGAGTTGGTGTTTGAGTCAGTTGCCAAAATGGCGTCGATACATTCCTGTGTCCATTTGACCTTCAGCTCAAGAGACTCAGCAACCGGTGAGGGAGGCGATGGCAAAGATACATTACGCTGAGCCGCAACGTGGACAATATGGGAGAACAACGAGTCAAACAGTTGCAGGATTACCGTCCGTGACTCGGGGTGATTACGGCTGGGAACCAGCTGACTGCGATGAAGAAATTCATCTTTTGCTTGGGAAGCCCCGGAGCTGAGTCGAACATCTTCGACGTAGCCGAGAACTAAACACGCCAAGTTATGGTTATTAAGCTTCTGTTGAGCCAACTCAACTTCACGAGTGGCTTCACGAAGTTGGTTTTGAAGTTCCAGGTACAGCTTTAGGATACGCAAAAGTAATTGAGGGTCATCGAGTTCTTGGTCAACAATGGTCGCAATGAACTGATGCAGCACCGTCATCTTATTGAGAAGATACAGTTGCATCTCGCGTTTCTCTTGAAGATGATTTTTCAACTGGCGAAGAGCAGCTAACGACAAGATGGCATCCTTAGTAATTTTCGAAGTATCAAATATGGAGTTTTCAATCAACACTTTCAAGTTCATATAATTAGGCTTGCTCAGCGTTCTGTCCACGAACTCCTCTAAATCAAAGTTTTCGTCGTCTTCCAGAGACAGCAGGGTGAGTGAAGGCACTCTCAAGGACACATCCCCCAGATCAAGTTGGGATTGCAAGTAGTTATTGAACAGCAGGTCAACAAACTGGGTGTTCAACAAGTGAAGGTCATTGTGGTCAAACTGCTTGAGTTCTTGAAGCTTCGAACGGTACTGTTCTTGGAGCTGGAGTTTGACGAGATCAGGGGTGGTGTTGTCGAGGCTGTAGCTGAAGTTGGAATCGTGGTTGCTGAGCAGAAACGGCAGGGAGCGGGCAAGCACTTCGGGATCAATCATCCTAGAGAGACCCGGGGTAGTGTCAGCGAAGGATATGGATACAGCTTTCAGTGGTGAATCGTTTCAGCCATGCGCGTAAAACCTGGGAGGTTTTGTGCAGGAGAGGGCACCATAGCAGACGTGTCATGCTGGCGCATGTAGACTATGCTTCTGAACGTAACCCAAAAACTACTCGGGCGGGTCCCGCTTAAACAAGGAAGAGACAGCCTCACCATATGATCCGTAAATACTAACGTAAATAAAGAATCGGTTGCACACCGTAGTTAGCATTCTCGATGTTGGCGCCCACCTTACTTTAAGTCCGACGCACATCGCTTGGCAAAAGCAGATTCTGACAGGCCATTTAGGCCGTAAACGGAAAATTCTCCAAGTCGAGGAGGCCAGATGGCGTCTCATCAATCTTAGCTACAGAAGAATTATAAGTAAGCGCAAAGTATAGGAACCACTACGGATTGATGTGGAGCTGTACCCCACAATATCCCAACCTTCATTAATCACCTGATGATGGGGGTTTGATGTAAAAATGTCGATCCGTGCTATCCGACAGACGCGTCTTAACGCTGCTTCCTTAGTGAACTTGTTTGCATTATGAGCATGAGTCCAGTGAACCGACCATACCTGCTCAGGCACGCGTGCGTACACAAACAACCCCTTTTTTCATCCCTTGCACGCGCGTCTGTCGATGAGTAGCAGGGCATGTTGAGACGATGTAAGATACTGATAAAACGATACGAAGTGGTAACCTAGAGTGGGGTCACCAACATACGCATGGAATGCTGATGTTGTGACAAGTCTCTTGCGTCTTATTTTTGCTGCTTTTCTAAAGATTGCTATCTTCTGACCTATAACGGCAACCTGTCTGGTGCGCACGCACCTCTTCATGAGCACCTTGGATATTCGCGATGCCTCTCGAACACTACGGTTGGTGACGTTTAATGTGAATGGGGTCAAGACTTTGTTCAACTACCATCCGTGGCGAGACACCAACGGCAACCTTGACGAAGTGCTTTCAAAGTTTAACGCCGATGTGGTGACCTTCCAGGAACTTAAGCTTAACCGCGACTCCTTATCAAGTATAAAAGATATTGGCCATCTCAAACACTTCCGCTCGTTTATTACTGTACCCACGACTAAGAGAGGCTACTCTGGTGTCGGAGTATTTGTGTCTAACCGATGTCACGTCGTGAAGGCAGAAGAAGGAATGACAGGGCACCTTTGCCCTCAAGGCTCCGCTGAATGCTATCGTGATCAAAATGATGGCATAGGTGGATACCCAGAAGTGGACAAACGACGAGGTCTACAGTTGGATGCTGAAGGTCGAGCCATCACTATTGAATTAGCCGGTGGCTTAGTGATCATATCGGTATATTGCCCAGCAAACTCGATGGGTACCGAAGAAGGCGAGGAATATCGCATGGACTTTCTTCGATGTTTGTTTGAAAGGTGTAGATTACTTCACCAACAGGGCAAACAAGTGATACTCATGGGCGATATAAACGTATCGCCATCGCTCATCGACCACGCCGACACTTTAGCCGAATTCAGCATCCTGGGCGAGATTGGCCCCATCAACTCTGCTTTAGAGAAGCACTCTCCTGAGGCATGTGCTAAGTTCAAGACTATCAGACCCTCCCGAATGCTTCTTAATGAATATCTCTATCGCCCTAATCGGGAGCAAAACCCAAAGCGGATATTCATTGATACAACACGTACCATACAAAAGCAACGAGTGAGAATGTATACCGTGTGGAACACTCAAAAGAATTGTCGTGAGATCAACCACGGTCTGCGTATTGACCTTATTCTTGCGACTTCTGATCTTAAAGTGGTAAACGCTAACATATGGCCCGATATCATGGGTCTGGACCATTGTCCAGTATTTACTGATTTTGAATGGCTGTGGGATACTGACAAACCATCACCAACAACTAAAATCCCATTCGAGGCAAAGACTCATTATAAGATGAAGAAAACTCATGAAATAAGTGCATTTTTCGGTCGCAAACGAAATCATGACGATTCAGCCACCGCAAGCCCAGACCCGCCCTCCACTGAGGCTTCTGTCGTTTCAATTGAGACGACGACATCGTCTGCCAATAACTCAGATGCTTCTACGAAAACTCTAAAACTACAGTACGTCTCCAGGAAGAAGACGAAGTTACAATCTAAACCATCGGACACTAAGGGGATTACAGGATTCTTCAAATAACCCGTTCTATATTCATACTCACATAAAATTTAAATGCATAGAACTCCTTCCCAATGATATAATACAACGGTGCTCAGACCGATTTCCGATAGCCTTCGATGGCTTATATGATGTTTTAAGTTTTGTCGTTACTCCACCGTGTCCAACGCCGATGAATAATGCGAGAATTAAGTGGTTCGTCACCCGACGCCAACGTCAAGTCGAGTGGTTTCATGCAAGTTGTCTTGTAAAAAATCAGGCTGTCTTCGCTCAGGACTTTCTGAATTCCGACAACACAGGGTAGATTGCTTCGAAAGCAGCGTAAATCTCTTCACGCTGCTTGGCACCGGTCAACACAATCTTCCCCGATACAAAAATCAACAACACAATCTTTGGCTTCACCATACGGTAGATCAAACCGGGGAACAATTCAGGTTCATACGACGAGAAAGTACCGTGCGAGAATGCCAAGCCTTCCAATCTAATGGGGAACTTGACGTCACAGGAACCCACGATGTTTTGAATCTTAAAGTCGGTGAACTTGGCGTTGAACCCAAGCTTTTGAATGATCCGAGCGTACTTACGCGAAGCCAACTTGGAGTCGTCCTCCGATTTAGCACCGGTGACGACCATCTTACCCAGGGCAAAGATAAGCGCAGTGGTCTTAGGCTCACGGATACGCATAATGACGGCGGCGAACCGCTTGGGGTTGTACTCGGCGTTTCTGGCGTGTAAAGCGATGGTCTTAAGATCCAAACGACAATCAAGGTTGACCGTGGCCACAATATTCTGAAGAGTGGGGACAATGCCAGCAGTCGCCCCGTCGTCTTCCTGTTGCTTGGGTTCAATGATGTCTTGGGTTTCTTGCTTCACCGGGGGTTGCTGCATCGGGGCGGGGACCGGCGCCGCACCGTCTTCAGGCTTCCCGTCAAACCCTTGCGGGAACACTAACGAGTCGGGGGCGGTGAACGCCTTGGCTCTCGCTGCGGTGGTGGGTAATTTGAGCGAATCCATGACGGGTGAGTGTTGAAATGAGGGGGTTAGATTGGTTAGGTAACCGCGCGAACAAAACCGAAAAAAGACGGGGGGGCCGATCCTTTTTATAGTCACCGACATCCTGCATATAAATATGGTATTAGATGACACTTGCTGACAAGAGTAAGGGGAGAGATCTCGACACCAACGCCATATTTTCGGGTTTCTGAGCAACCAAGATCATTAAAACTCCATAAATTACCCTTTAGTTAGCGCATTTCCTCCTCACAACCAAAGTGTGCCCTTCAGTAATTAATTTAAGCAAGTTTTTCACTTTTCACGGAGGAGGGGATTTTTGTTTTCGATGCGATGCGAACCGAGCGTTGACGCCACCGAAACCTGCCAACGGTTGAGAGCCTACTTACCACGTTACAACAGTTCATTTACCAGATTCGTGTATATCAAAGTATTTATGCAGATGCTTTTACGCGAAAGAAATTAATGGTGATCTCAATCACAATATAGCCGAAGACAGAAAAGACCGATGACCCTGGCATCGATAACTGACCGGCGTCTAAAATGCAGCAAACAAGTAAGTGGTTGCTCAGCGTTCCTTGAGGACCTTGTTTCTCTTCTCCTTTCTTCTCTTACGCTCAACCTTCTTAGCATGCATGGTGGCCGCCATCCGTTCGTAGCGTTCCTTCTCTTCCTTTGCCTCACGACGACGCTTGATCTCGTCGATACGGGCTTGGCGAGCATTGGCTTTTTCCTCCTTCAACTCCTTGTACTTAGCCTTGAATTGGGCCTGAGCCATCCGTTCCTTCTGGCGGGTTTCCCACGTCAGGAGCTTGCGGACCCCCAACGACTTGACGCGGAAGGCGTCCTTCTTGATCTTGTAGTCCTTACCGTTGACCCGCAGACCTTCACCAGGCTCCTTGGGCAACGGCATCAAGTATTTCTTGGGGATATCCTCGATGTTGAGATGGGACGTCGATGACATGGGGTATGTGTGGACTATCGTGCGATGAGGTGCAAAGTGCGACTTTAGGGGATATAAGCACAGATAAAGCGCGATAAGCCTGCCATAGCAGCTGAAACCATTAAATCACCTGATTCACTAAAGTTTTTTTTGTGGACTATTACTATGTATAGGGGGGAGGGTATCATCCGAAAAACTTTGCGTACCGTTGTTTCTCGCTGTTCTTGCTTTGTACGATCGCTTGCTGGGCCCGGTGTAGCTCTCTCAGAATCGCCGGGTCATTGGGCACTAAAGTGAGCGCCTGCTCGAGATCAGCCACCGCCTGGTCGTATTTACGTGTTTCTATTTCGGCAGTCCCGCGCCGGAAGAGAGCCTTGGCCTTATTCTGAGGAGTGGCGTTGTCCATCTCTAAGATGAAGGTGGCGTAGTCGATGGCTCGCGGGTAGTTCTTAAGTTGCAAACACACCAACAGTAAGTTAAGGTAGCACAGCAATTTGAGGGCACGGATCTTAGCGAACCAATCGGGTTCGTCATCGGGGTCAGGATCGTATTGCTGACAGTACCGCACCGCTTTTTGCCATTTGAGCATGGCGTCTCGCTTGCGACCTTCTTTGAAAAGAAGCGTACCCAGTTCCTTAATAATCGACGCTGCCTTAAATGCCAGCTCCGAGGTCTCCTCGATAGTCTCATCGTCGTCAGGGTACTCTTCGTAAATGTCTCCGCCGATAGGGTCATAACAGGCATTGAAAATGGGAACATCCACCACACCAGCTTCTTCACCAAATCTACCGCAATCAGTGATGATCACGGGAACTAAAGGCACATCAGGATGATCGCTGGCACGTCCACCAGTCTCAGATTTTTCCACTGCTCTCACCACTGACTTACCCTGGGTCACACGACCAAAAACAGTGTGTTTGCCAGTAAGATGAGGTTGAGGGTAGGTGGTGATAAAGAATTGAGAGCCATTGGCATCTTTCAGCCCGTCGTTGGCCATACAGAGCTTAAACACCTTGTCCAAGGGCTCATCGACATTCTCATCGGCGAAGGGTTTGCCTCCATTCAACGTCAGTACCAGACCCTTTCCCACAGTCCCGGGATAGTTGTCGGCACTGTACTTGTAAGTGACGTCGCCTCCCTGGATGACGAAGTTCTTAATCACCCGATGGAACACGGTACCCTTGAGGCTCTTCGCGTCAACTAAGTTGAGGAAGTTTTCCACTGCTAGCGGAGCCTTGTCGGCTTCCAAATCGAGCACCACCCTCCCGAGGGGCTCATCCCCCTGAGCGATGTCCACGTACGCTTGCGGCCCGACCAGCTCAATTTTCATCGGTGATTAGCGCGGACATCGCAATGCTGGTAATGGTAGTGCGACTCCACGCAGCATTAAGTGGATTCAGTTATATAAGCGCACTGAGGCATCACCGTGCCGCCTTCGGCGCCTATTGTTTTTCACCGAGGATCCTTAATCACTGTGGCTTTTGTGGCCTGCACGGATGCGGAGGGGACGTGTTTGCGACATTTCTTACTTGCCGTTAAGGGCCAAGGCGTCAGGCTCCACCGGTTTTGTACTCCTGATGGGTAATTTCGTGTGGGGTTTGCTGGTGATGGTCATATCTTATCTGTCCCGTGATTGGGTCTCTCGTTTTCATAGGGCTTATCGCTTTGGCTTGAGACCAGGGTTTATGTGCATTTTTTCATCGACTAATGACCAATACGAAATCGGACTAAACGAGGCAAGGGCCATCTGATACGAGGATGAAATATACCCCTCGTCAAGGGATCGTCGTCACTCCTTCCTCGAATGACCGCACGCGAGAATCAGGCAAATTGGCCGGTTCCGGGATAGTCAAAAAATTCGGAGCCACTCGAAAATATGCCGCTTTGTGCTGCACGGAACCGCGTTATCGTTGCGGCTTTATCGAAGAGCCACACCCCGAAGAACCTAGATACCGCTACCGCGCACACGGCCCTTAAGCCACCACTACGGGACCATCTAGAGATCACTCTGTCTCAAAATTAGATCCTTCTCTTAGCGGAGACTGTGGTGAATCTCCCCCTATGGGAAACGGCCTGAATCAGGTCGTTCCCTGCGTCCTAAAAAAATATCTCTATGCGGAACAATGAAAGCTCCCCGCGAACTCTAGTCATAATGACGCCAAGCCTTAGCCGGAGCCGTACATAATAGGGCGCCCTATAATTAAACTTACCAGGGAAAATGCTATATTATGGCCTGAATCTCATTGTAAATCATATTCCCACACCATGTCCGGACCCGTGGAGGCTGTGAAAAGTCAGGGGACTCTTGGTGATCCTAGTGCCCATGAAGTGAACTTGAATGCCATTACTTCCAACCAATACCTGCTTGGCCAGGTCGGTGGTCATTTGACCGATGCCCAAAAGGAATTTGTGTTGCTCAGATTGGAGCACCATGGGTTGGAAACTTTGGATGATTTACCTGCCGATGCTGTGTTCATTATCGAAAAAGTGGACACAATGTCAGTTGAAGAAGCCCTCGCGGTCCTTAAGCAAGCCATCAAGGACCACAACGGGGACTACAACATCAGTTCAGGCGACCTTGACCTCTGGAAGAAGCTTGTAGCGCATGAACAAGATAGTGACGTGGAGGTACCGCTGGGCGGAGACCTCGGCGACCTGGACAACGAAAAAGCTAAGGACGGGATCCAGATTTCAGAAAAACCGCATGGTGACATGATGAATGAGACGGAAGCGTACGACTACACCAGAATCGTTGACTGGTCATTCCAAACGCGGTTGGAAGCAACTGTTATTGCCTACTGGTCGCCTTATGTTGAGGTGAGATCGTGCACTGATCCGTTTGACGACCCCAACGTCCCCGTAGAGACGTTGCGGGTATACATTCTCGGGATTATTTGGACAGGTATTGGTTCCGTTATCAACACCTTCTTCCACAACCGTCAACCTGCTATCACCTTGCAGGCTGCGGTCGTGCAAATTTTATTGTACCCTTGTGGGGTGTTGTGTGCTATGATCTTGCCGAAATGGAATATTGGCTTTGGCAAATACAAGATGCCTTTGAACCCGGGACCTTGGAACTACAAGGAGCAGTTGCTTTGTACCTTATTTTATGCAGTGTCTGCAGGTGTACCGTACGTTATTGACAATATTCAGGTGCAAAAGATGCCCATGTTCTACAACAACGAATGGTGTGACTTTGGTTACCAAGTGTTGCTTATGTTGCTGTCCCAGTTCATGGGGTTTGGTTTTGCTGGTTTGTTGCGGAAATTCGTCATCTTCCCCGTGCAATGTCTCTGGCCCGATATGTTACCCACTTTGGCATTGAATAAGACTCTTATGAAGCCTGCCAAGAAGGAGCGCATCAACGGGTGGACAATTTCCTCGTACATGTTCTTTTTCATTGTGTTTGTCGCCAGTTTCCTTTGGTATTGGGTGCCTAACTATTTGATGGAATTCATTGGGACTTTCAACTGGATGACGTGGATTAAGCCAGACAACTTCAACCTCGTCACTATAACCGGGTCAAACAATGGGCTTGGTCTTAACCCGATTACCAGTTTCGACTGGAACATTGTCAATTTCAATCAATGTCTTCAGTTCCCGTTCTATTCAACTGTCACACAATATCTCGGTACCTTGTTAGGGTTTTTCATCATTGTTGGTTTGTACTACTCCAACTACAAGTGGACTGCGTTCATGCCCCCTAACAGTAACGCCTTATTCAACAACAAGGGTAAACGGTACGATGTGAAATCGGTTGTTAACGAACACCTGTTGTTCGACAAAGAGAAATACGAAAAAGTCGGGCCTCCTTTCTACACCGCTGGTAACTTGATGATCTATGGTAGTTTCTTTGCCATTTACTTGTTCCTGGTTGTCTACGAATTTGGTTCAAACTGGCGCCAACAATGGTACTCCATGAAGACGTTCTGGAAACAAATTCGTACCTGGAGAAACTCTCTGGTCTACGACGGTTTTGAGGACCCGTTCCTGGTGAGAATGAAGCGTTATAAGGAAGTTCCCGAGTGGGTCTTTTTCATTGTCTTGCTTTTGTCGGTCGTCTTGTCGATTATCTGTGTCCAAGTCTATCCCGCTCAAACCCCAACTTGGACCATCTTTTTTGCTTTGGCTATCAACTTGGTGTTCTTGGTGCCGTTGACTATGTTAAGAGCCGTGTCGGGTACCACATTTGGTCTTAATGTGTTGGTTGAACTTATCATTGGGTACGCTGTTCCTGGGAACGGTTTGGCTCTCATGTACGTCAAGGCTATCGGTTACAACATCGACGGTCAAGCACAGAACTATATTTCCGACCAGAAGCTTACTCACTACGCCCTGATTCCCCCTCGGGCTTTGTTCCGGTGCCAGTTGCTTTCGACTTTCATCTCCTGTTTCGTGTCCCTTGGTATGGTGCAATTCTTGATGACTGGTATTAAGGACTACTGCATGCCGGGCAACAAACAAAAGTTCACCTGTCCCAACAGTACCACTTTCTACTCGGCGCTGATCACTTGGGGTGTGATTGGACCTCAAAAGTCTTTCCAATTGTACCCGATTCTCAAGTGGTGTTTCCTCATTGGCGCTGGCGCTGGATTGGTGTGCCTTGTTTTCAAGTGGTACGGTCCTCAAAAGCTCACCAGACGGTTCCAACCTACCCTTTTCATCATTGGGTTGCTTGCCTGGGCGCCTTATAACTTGTCGTACCAAACCATGGGTTTGTACATGTCCATTGGTTTCATGTGGTTCCTCCGTACCAGATTCACCTCCTGGTGGTCCAAATACAATTACACGTTGCTGGCTGCATTGACAGCTGGGTTGGCGTTCTCGTCGATTATCGTATTCTTCGCCGTACAATACCACGATAAGCTGATTGACTGGTGGGGGAATAATGTTTCGTATGAAGGCTACGAAGGCGTGGCGGGATCATTGATGAACGCAACTTTACAAGCACCCGACGGCTACTTTGGTCCTCGTAAAGGCCAATTCCCTATGTAATTAAATTAGACGTGCGTTAATTATTTTTTAGGCAGACAGTAGATTTCAGAAGATGTGAGTACCTCGGTAGCCACAATTACCTGGGGGGTAGATGAAATGGCCAGAGTAGTTATCAGTTGACGAATAGCGTGGAACCAGGTGGTATCTGTTTAACTGGTAAGCTTCACAATTAGGTGTGAGGATCTACTGCGAAACGGGATTTGCAATTAACTGTGGCTGCGAAAACCAGAGAGGCTAGAATAGGAGGAAGACATCAGACAAGGACAACAGATTTTCGAGTCCGACTTCCATTACATGAACAACAAATCCAAAATTGGGATTGTAACACATGAAACTGTCAGTTACTGGCGAACACTCAATGGATCGATGACCACATCAATCCATCATTACACTATCCTTGGTAGTGTATGGTCATCATGACGTATGGGGGTTTGTTGTTTGTGCGACTTTAGTTTTTCGGATATTTTGTCACGTGCCTTAGGGTTAGCGACCTTTCCTCAGCTGGCGCGCCTTGTGTGAAAATTTCTCGCACCAGAGAGCTCCCACATCCAAAGGCTACATCATGTCGGTCGCTCAAAAGATCTTGAACGAAAAGCCCACTGAATTGGAAACCAAGGTTGCCCAAGCCTTCGTTGACTTGGAACAACAAGGTGACCTCAAGGCCGAACTCCGCCCCTTGCAATTCAAGCACGTCAAGGAAATCGACGTTGCCGGTGGTAAGAAGGTGTTGGTCGTGTTCGTCCCCCCTCCCTCGCTCCCCGCTTACAAGAAGGTGCAAACCAGATTGACCCGTGAGTTGGAAAAGAAGTTCCCCGACAGACACGTCGTGTTCTTGGGTGAAAGAAAGATCTTGCCCAAGCCCGCCAGAAAGTCGAGAAAGCAACAAAAGAGACCCCGGTCGAGAACCTTGACCGCCGTCCACGACGCCATCCTCGAAGACTTGGTCTTCCCCACCGAAATTGTCGGCAAGAGAGTCAGATACTTGGTCGGTGGCGGCAAGATCGGCAAGGTCTACTTGGACTCGAAGGACTCGAACGCCGTCGACTACAAGTTGGACTCGTTCCAGCAATTGTACACCAAGATGACCGGCAAGCAGGTTGTGTTTGAAATCAAGGGCGAAACCTACTAAGCGCCTTAGGGGACGGATGGCTTGGTAAGCCGTCAAATGTACATGTAGATTATAATAAAACGTGGTAATGAAATACTATATTTTGCGTACGTACGCGGTGGGGAACATCCCACACTCGCCGTTGAGCTCACCTTCAGTCCAACCACTGCCATCGGTGTCGTCCTGCACGAGGATGATCTTGTCGCCGGCGCGGATGCTGATCTCGTCGTCGCCGTCGGCGGTGTAGTCGTATAACGCTTCCAAGTATTGCACGCGCTTGGCCCCTCGTTTCGGAGCCACTTGCGGTCCCTTTCGCTTCTGTTCCTGTGGTGCTGCTGCTGCTGGCGCTGCTGCCGGTGGAGGAGGACCAGCACTGGTCACGTGATCAGTACTCGAAAGCTCAAGGTACAGTGTCGGTACAAGCCCCACCGCCCCGTTAATCTCCACTTTCGTCCACCCGGAGCCATCGTCAGCCGCCACTAGGTTGAATGTTTGGCCGGCATCAATGCTGATTTCATCGCTATCATTAGCAGTGTAGGCGTAGAGAGCTCTGCCGCCACTACCACCGCCACTTCCACCACCACCAGTAGTACCACCACTAGCAATACTGGCTCCCGTCATCTTTCGCCGTAAGGAAAAGGCTCCCAGCTTAGAGAAGGTCGGTGTTCGACTAGGGGTCGACATCATCAGTGCTGAATCTGATTCGTTGTGGTGGTGCGAGTCCTGGTTGATCTTGATAAGGCCGAAAAGCTTCTTCTTCTGAGGCGCTTCTTCGTGATACGACATGTCCTTGTCGCCACAGTAGTTCTGGATGATCTCGATCTCCACTTCGTTCTTCACCCGGTTGGCATCGGCCTTCATAAATTTAAGTAACACTTGAAGCAGTTGCGCTAAAGGCGCATCGAATTTGAGAGTGATCTTCTCCCCCAAGTCCAGCTTGCGCAGCGCCGTCAACTCTTCAAGCTGTTGTTTAGCGTCTAATGTATCTTGTTCTAATACCAGGTAGCTGTTGAGGTCATGGAACAACCGCCGCTTCAAATCGTGTAACTCACCGCCGTCATTGATCACTAACATCTCGTCGTCGTGCCAGAACAGACACGGCACAAACACGTTGTCGGCAGGCTCACTCCATGACGCCTGGTTGTGCTTGATGAACATCTGTGTGTCGAGCCCTGCCTGGTTCTGGGCGATGGTATTGTCAATGGTGTGCAAATGGTTTTTGACCCGGTCCAATGAATTGCGCTCTATGATGCCGGCGTTCTTCAACAACTTATTAACGAGTTCCACGCGGCACTCGTTAAGTTCTTGAAGATAGTCTAAAATCTCAGGAACGTCCTGATAGTAGTATTTGTCCTTTAACCGGTTCGACACCGCCAACTTGATGATGTAGTCGTTTTTGCCAATGTTCATGTCCACTTCCTTATCGTGGTACTTGTTTTGAGCACGATCCAGTGCCAGGCGTTCTGTTTTGGAGCGGGCGTGTTCGGCCTGTTGACAAAGATTATCGTAGGCCTTTTTCGCTTTGGCAACGTTATCTTCACTCTTCTGCTTCTCGTCGACCAAATACTGGTTGATGGCTTCCACCTGGCGAAGAATGTTACCCGTTTTCGTCTTTAACGACAGCAAATTGTCGGCAATCTTGGTGCTGAACTCACCGGAAAGATGGAGGTGTTCCTGGGCGATCTGCTCCGTCTGATTAAGCAAGTCGTTCCACACCACCATCAGAGCACTCTCGAGCGAACCCGGCGTGATCTGAGGGTTGTCGCCCACTGACACAGGTGCCAGGGCCTTTGCCTTTTTGTCAAAGTGGCGCTTGGTGAGGTCCTTCAACTTAGTGGAGTACTCTTTTTCGAGGGCGGCTCTCTCTCGGTAGAACTCCTCGGCGTCGCCAAGCCAGGAGACACCGTTGCCCACCCAATTGCTTGTCGGTTTGAAGGCGTCCTTGAGTTCGTTGCCAATGGAAAGGCTCATAGCGGCCTAAGCGGAGTCGGTGAGGATTACGTACGGCCCGTACTGCAGGTAGCTAGGGTCCGAAATCATCAGCAGACACTAACGCTCCTCTTGGCAGTGGCAACAATTATAATTTGGGAACTCATCAAAACTGATTGAATGGTGGTCATTGAGGTATATAGAATACGGAACACTCGTAAATTGCTTTATATTCCGTGTTTTTGTGGAAATATCGCAGGGCCCAGAGCTGGGTGCGAAACCACAGCCTACTTGGTGGTAATGTCTAGACTTCGTGTGAGCAATCACATATTGCAATAAAAATTGGAACATGCTGAATCGAGTTTAATTTGAGTTGAACTACTTCTCAACAGTTCAATTCGACTCGAATAACCTGTCAAGTTGAAACCGTCCCACTCCTTTCAGTGTCTGTTATCGGTGGTCGCGCGCAAAGCAAATCACCACCGCACCACCGTCACCCTCCCAGCCTCGGACCAGTGCCCCTCCCCCCACCCCCACCAT